GCCTCCTCCTCTCACTCCCCCTCCTCCACCCTCGCTCCGAGTACGACTCGGCTCGCGATCGCCCTCGCTTCGGCTGCTGCGCCCGTGCTGCGCCCGCACCACCCCGCATCGCCCTCACCGCTCGCCGAGCCCCTCGCCGTCGCTCACTCCGCGCCCTTCTCGCCCTCGCTCGACCTCCTCGGATCGCCCTCTCGGCCCGCACCGCACGTCCCACGTACCCACCGCCTCCCTCTACACCCGCTCCGACCGTCACTCGACCGCCGCCGCGCCCTCGACAGCCCGACTCGCCCGGCGACCGCGTCGACGACGACGAGGCCGCGGCGCCGCACCGCAGCCCGAGGCGCTCGGCGGCTCGGTGCACGGGCTTGTGCACGTCGTACGATGGCGCTGAGCTGGTCGCGAGGCCGCTGCACGTTGTTTGCGCGTGGACGATGCGGCGTCAACAACGAGATTGGCGAGGTCGAGATTGGCGAGGACGACTCGGGCGAGGCTGGCGGTTGCGGGGCAGAGTTGTAGAGAGGTGCAGAGGACGTCGGTGCAGCGCAAAGGTTTCTCTGGCGGCGTGTCGTGGCTGAGAGGGTTGCTCGAGAGTGCCGCTGTTGACGACGGCGACCCGGCGGCTGAGCCGGCCTGGGTCGTCTGGCGGTGCGTCGAGGCGACGCGTGGAGCATGATGGGCCCTCTGCAAGTACTCTCGCGCTTGTCGAGAGTGCGAGCCGAGCCGTCGAGGTCTCGAAAATCGTCGCCGCCCGCGCTGACTCCAGAAGTGGTCCAGGGGCAATCCGACAAGGCGCACGGTCGCTTGCGCTCTCTGCCTTGTGCACTCGCCCTTGTGCAGCCAGCTTGTGCACTGTGGCCTCGCCGGGCCCGAGCTCCTCTGCCCGCCGCGCCTCCTCCTCAACCCACGCCCTCGCCTCTCCGCCTCATCACCTCGACCGCCAGCTCGACCTCGACACGGCTACCGCCGCTGCCAGCGACACCTCGCCCTTTCACTCACTCTCGACGCACCGTCACGCCCGTTCCGCCGCGCCTCGACACCCGCCCACCGTCAAACTCTGCTCCGCCGCCTCCTCGTCCTCGCACGCCGCCGCCCCAGCTCGCCCTCGCCTCGCTTCAGTACTTTCCGCAGCGTCGTCCAGCAGGTGCAATCTAGATTCAGCGCGGCGCATCTGGTCTCTCATGGGCAGGGGAGGAGGCGAGGACGCTGCAGAGCCGGGACGGCGAGCGAAGCGCAACTGAGCGACCTGCCGCATCTTGTGCGCATGCGTCGCTGCCGGTCTCGAGAGATGGAGAGCGATAGCTTGACGAGAGCTTTCAGCGAGGCTTCGCGCGATCGGGCGCAGTGAGCGAGAGCGGCGAGGACCACCACCAGCTTCCCTCGCTCTCTCGAGTCGGCGCAACTCGCTGGGCAGACGCGTGATTACTTGCATTGCATCGACTGGCTCCATGCGCACTCCTCGACAGAACGACGAGACTCTCTCGTGGAGACAACGGTCAGCTCTCCGCCGGCGAGCGACGGAGGAGGGGGGACGACGGGGAGGAAGGGGGAGGCAGGCTCTTGCCGAGCGGAGGCAGGGCTGTGTCGCTGCGAGAGTTGAGGTCGGCTGGTCGCTGTGGAGCTGGTGGAAGCCCGAGATGAGCTCGTCGAGGCGAGGTGACGAGGAGGCGAGGTGCGCAGGAGGTGCGCAGGAGGGGCTGGAGGAGCGGCGGCGAGCTGAGGCGGTGCTCTGGCGGCGGCGCAGTGCGCAGTGGTCGGTGCTGTAGAGCGCAGCGCACAAGGCAGAGCGCACAAAGGCCAAGGCGCAAGGCTCGTTTGAAGCTTGCCGGAACGGCGGGCAGGAGATGACGACGCGCTCCTCCTCGTCCTCGTCACTCTCTCTCTCACACCCTGTGCTGCCTGCTTGCCTCGACCAGCCACCCGTACCAGCACACCCACCAGCAGCGCACACCCAGCCATGTTCAGCAGGTGCGTCCCCCTCGTCGTCCTCCTCATCTCTCTCCGCACACCCGGGAACGCTCCACTGACCTGGCCCTCGCACGCACAGCCGCTCCGAGTACGACCGAGGCGTGCGTCCCACTCCCACCCAGCCGCCTCCCTCCAGCCCCGAACCTCGCTGACCCTCCTCCCCCTCCCCCCCGCCGGCTCGCTCCTCGCCCAGGTCAACACCTTCTCGCCTGAAGGTCGCCTCTTCCAGGGTGCGTCCCTCGCTCCGGCCTGCCTTTGACGAGCACACGGCTGACCCGGTCCTGCCCCCACCAGTCGAGTACGCCATCGAGGCCATCAAGGTGCGCTCCACCCTCCCGCTCCCAGCGCCAGGCCCGCAAGTGACTGACCCATGCACCCCGACGCGCCCCACAGCTCGGCTCAACGACGGTCGGCATCCAGACCTCGGAGGGCGTCGTCCTCGCCGTCGAGAAGCGCACCCAGTCGCCCTTGCTCGAGTCCGACTCGGTCGAAAAGATCATGGAGATTGACCGCCACATTGCGTGCGCCATGAGCGGCTTGACGGCAGACGCGAGGACCATGGTCGAGCATGCGCGCGTCACGGCCCAGGTGCGTCCCCTCTCCCCTCGTCTCGCCCGTCGTGGCCCGCCCACGTCTCGAAACCCCGGATCGAGCTCACGAGGCCCGTCGTCGCGCACAGAACCACTTCTTTACGTACGACGAGGAGATCAAGGTCGAGTCGGTGACGCAGTCGGTGTCGGACCTCGCGCTGAGGTTCGGCGAGGGCGCGAACGAGGAGGAGGCGTCCATGGTGCGTCCCCGCCGCTCTCTCTCTCTCCCTCTTGCGCGCGCGCAACACGAACCTGACCTTGAAACCCATCTTCCGACGCACGCACGCAGTCCCGGCCATTCGGCGTCGCGCTCCTGATCGCGGGCGTCGACCAGCACGGCCCGCAGCTGTACCACGCCGACCCCTCGGGCACGTTTATGCGGTTCCAGGCGAAAGCGATGGGTTCGGGCTCCGAGGGCGCCCAGTCCGAGCTGCAGGACTCGTACGACAAGAGCATGTCGCTCGAGCAGGCAAAGGTGCTCGCGCTCAAGGTCCTCAAGCAGGTCATGGAGGACCAGCTCGACGCCAACAATGTCCAGCTCGCCCAGGTCGTGCCCGGGACTGGGTACACGCTCCTCAAGCCCGACCAGCTCAAGGAGGTGATTGCGCAGATCCAGGCGTGAGCGGGCGCGGCGCGGTCGCTGGGTCGTCGAGCGAGCGAGGTCGAGCAAGAGGCTGCAACTCGCAACTTTGTAGAAATCTCTCGTGTGGCGCCTCGTTTCGCTCGCTCGAGAGCTGTGCCCCGACCAACCGAGCGAAATGGTACGCTTCGTCGCTGTACGAGAGGTCCGCTTGCTGCCTGCACCGCCTCGTTCGACCTTCCCCGCCTCGTCGACTAGCCTCCGCCTCGGCTCTCGCTCCTCCCTCGCTCTCGCGCCCAAGCTCTGCGCTACCATGGGCCTTTTCAAGCGCCTCTCGCTCGCCGCCAAGGGCGGCAAACCCTCGGCCGCGCCGACCCAGCCCTCGCAGCCCGCCCCCACCTCGGCGCCCTCCTCCTCGCGCCGTCCCGCCGCCGCCGCCGCCGCACTCGACAAGCCGACCGAGGACGCTCTGCGTGCGCTCGCGAGGTACGACACGGTGCTGCTCTGCGACGATTCCGGTTCAATGGAGCCCATGTGGGAGACGGAGCTCGCGCCGGCGCTCGCGGCTGTGGTGCGCACCGCGGTGCGCTACGACGAGGTGCGCCGCCGGCCCTCTCCTCTCTCCTGGGCATCCCTCGACCTACTGGACGAGCGCTGACCATGTCAGGCACGGTGGCCCGCGCGCGCAGGACGGCGTCGACCTCGCCTTCTTCAACTCGCGCGTGACGCACACGAGCACGAGCGCCGACGACCTGCTCGACGTGTTTCGCCGCGTGCGCCCGAGGAGCACGACGCCGACGGCCGACGCGGTGAAGCGGGTGCTCGAGCCGTACATGCGCGTGCGTCGCCTCCTCCGTTTTCCCTTCTCCTCGAGGAACTCTTGACTGACTCGCGCACTGTGGACGGGCTCGACGTACACAGAGACTCGAAGAGTGGCAGTCGACGGGCAAGAGTGCCGGCGCGCCGCGACCTAAACCACTCAACCTCATCGTCCTCACCGGTGCGTCGTCCGCGTTCCTTTCGGGCCTCTTGCACAGCGGCCTCGCCCTGACGTTGCCCACCCTCCCGCACAGATGGCGCACCCGACAAGGGCCAAAGCCCCGAGGACGTCCTCGTCGACGTCGCAAGGCGGCTCGACAAAGGGCGCTTCCCGCCGTTCCAGGTCCGTGCACCCTCTCGCTCGTCCTCTCCCTCTCTCTCTCTCGCCCAACTCGCGCCGTCACTGACTCGGGCGCACTCGCACAGGTCGGCTGCTCGTTCGTCCAGATCGGCAACTAGTGCGTCTCCCTGTCGCGCTCTCGATCTCCTAGCGTGCGCGACGAGACGCTCATGCTCTCGAGGCGGCCTGCGCGCAGCTCGGATGCGGCAGAGCACCTGCGCAGCCTCGACGACGACCTCAAGCAGAAGCATGGGTGCGTCGACGTGCCTCGCCCATCTGTCCCTCGTCGAGAGGAGCCCTCTCCCCTCGCGGAGCTGATAGTGCCTTTGCGCGCAACGCAGGATCCGGGACATGGTCGACACGACGCTCTTCGAGGTGCGCCCCTCGCCCTCTCTCGTGTCTTTCCTGCCCCTCTACTCGACCTCCACCTGACCCTGACGCGCATACACAGGGCGCGTGCGACGCCGACTACCTCCTCAAGGCGCTCCTCGGCGGCATCAACCGCTCGATCGACAAGCGGAACTGAGCGGCGGCAGCGGCGGGGCTCGAGGGGCGTGTGTCGTTCCGCTTCGCGAGGTCCTTGTACGACTCGTCGTCTGTCGCCTGTGCGCGCCGTTGCGAGGCGAGCGAGAGGGCGCCGCTGCAGCTCGACCTCGAGCGACGCTCGTGCCGCTCGGACTTTCGAGGCTCCTCGTCCGTCTCTCCTGTACGTCTCGCGGCGGTCACTGTCCGGCGGGCGATCGAGCGCGCCGCGGCGACTCCGTCTCGAGCTCGTCCGGCGTGCTCGCGCCCCTCTCCTCGCTCGTCTTCCGCCTCTTCGCTCTCGCGCCACGCTTCTCGCTTCTCGCTCGGCTCTCAATGTCCTGCACCTTGTTCGACCTCGGACACGCGGCGAGGGACGTTGCGGGCGCGCTGTACGACGCAGACGGGGCCCTCTCGGGCGAGGTCAGGCTCGCGTTTGGCGTCAAAGGTGCGCCCCGGTCTTTCCTTCCTTCCTCTGGTCCTCGAGGACGATAAGCTCACGTTCGCCTCCCTCTGAAGGTATCGCGGCGGTCGGAGCCTGGCAGACGAGGCTCGTCAACTACGAGAACTATGCGCACGACCTCGTGCACGGTGTGCGCTTCTCGCCTGCCGACTTGAGGTGCGCCTCTTCTCTCCTCCTGCACGAGTCCTCGACGATGTATAGCCTCTAACGCACCCGCACGCAGGCTGCAGATCGTGCCCGTCGTCATCGAGTCGCAGCAAGGCCCCAACAACCTCGACCGGGTCGCGCGCAACGACGCCGAGCGCGCGCTCCAGAGCGTCGTCGACAACCGCACCTTCGTGAGTCGAGCCACACTGTCTGAATCGACGAGCTGCAGGACCTGACGCTGTGGGGCCTCGCCTGCAGCACGGCAGCTTCGCCGACGGCGCGTTCAAGTTCAGCGCCCTACCGGGCAGCGCTGTACCACTGTGCGTCTCGTTCTCTCTCTCTCTCTCGGCTTCTACGCACCGTCACTGACACCTTACGACGCACAGGTCCCACTTCGAGGTCAAGCTCGACACCGACCTCCTCACCAGCCGCTTGGACCCCTTCCTCGACAAAACGACCTGGACCCAAGTGCACCGCCACGCGCTCCTCAAGCCCGCCCGCCTCCTCTTCGACCTCGTCTACACAGCATCGATGCACCCGACGCGCCGCTCGTCCCGCCTCGCGCACGACGATGCCGCCGCCGCCGCGACCGCCGCCGACGACCTACGCCACGCCGAGCTCCTCGCGCTCGTTGTCCTCGCGCTCCTGTGCCGCTCGAGCCGCAACCGCGCAAAGGACCGCGGCTTCTCGCACGCGCTCGAGGCCGAGTGGGCCGACCTCGCGACCATGTTTGCGGGCGAGATGGCGAGGGCCAAGAAGTGGGTTGGGGAGCACTTGAGGCCTAAGGGCGAGGTCGCGAGGCGGCTCGGGCAGTGGTGCATCGAGCATGATGGGGATGGCAAGTTGACGATGAGAGAAGTGCAGGGAGCGATCGAGGCGGCGATGGGCTGGCTGATGTGGCGGTTCGGGGTGCGTGCGCCTTCCTCTTCCCTTTCCCTTGCCCGTCTCAGGGCCAAGCCGAGGTCTCACTGAGCTGTCTGCCTGCAGCTCGACATCCTCGTCCGTCCCTATCTCTCTTCCACTCTCCCTCGTGCGCCCGTCGCCTGACCCGCCCCGTCCTCCTCCTCGAACTCTCGCAGCCACACGACTTGCAGTACGACTCGCTCAGCAAGGCGCGCTATCTCCCGCAGGCCCGCGCGCTCTTTCGCCGAGTCTGAGGGGCGCAGGCAGCTGGTGCGGGGCAAGAGGGCGCGGTCGGCGCAAGGAGAAGGTGCAGGAGAAGGTCGAGTGGGAGGGCGGAGCGGCGCGACGACGTCGTAGCCCGGCTCGCAATGCCCATCCTTATCGCTCATAGTGCTTTAACGCAGCTTCGAGAGCTGCACGAGCCTCAAGGAAAGCGTCGACAAGGTCAAGCCCGCTCACGGCGACCTTCTCAAGTCACTCGACCGCCTTTTTCTCGCTCCTCTTTGCTCTCAAGCTCGCACGAAAAACGAGAAACTCAAGTGGTACTGCTTTGTTTCAAACACGGGCTAGCAAGCTGCGCTATGGCTCGCCAAGTCCCTTCTCGTCGCCCTCGAAGCTCAGAGGAACGGCCGCTCGGCCTGCGGCGTGATGCGCGCGCCGTGCCTGCGGCCCTGGATGCCGTCGTTCCAGTCGACGAGCGCCGAGTGAGCCGTGACGCGGTCTGTCACGCGAACAGGCGTGAGAGGGGCAGGCGAGGAGGGAAGGGTGGAGTAGGGGGAGATTAGCTCGTCGCGAGAAGGACGAGGTCGAGGAGCAGGAAAAGGGGACAGAGAGAGGCAGAGAAAGAGGGACGCACTGTCCCACAGCACGACAGTGCCCGGCTCGCTCCACCGTGCTCGGACCGAGAAGTCGTGGCCGCGCTCGAGGTGGTCGCTGCGCAAGGGCGGCAAGGTCAGTACTCGTTGGCGATGGCGAAAGCGACGAGCTCCCATCTCGGCTCGTCGTGACTCTCGCGACGCGAGAACGAAGAGGAGAGGACGAGGGGACGCACTAGAGCAGGTTGAGGATCGTGTCCGACTCCTCCTGCTTGAGCCCGATGATGCGCCTCGAAAAGCCGCGGTTGACGAACAGCGCCTTGTCGCCCGTGACCGGGTGCGTGCGCACGAGCGGGTGCACGTGCTTGACCGGCGCGCGCTTGACCGTGTCGGCGCCGTGCAGCTCGATCGCGCGCTGCGCCTGCTCGAAGCCCGAGTGCTCGACCGAGAGCGTCTCGAGGTACGAGCGGAACGAGGGCGACAAACGCTTGTAGGCCTCGGTCTGGCTTATGAAAAGGGTGTCGCCGCCGGACGAGGGCGAGTCGTAGAGGAACAGGGTCGTGAGGCCGGGCGGCTGGAGCTGCGGACGCGAGGGAGCGTCAAGAGCCAGGCCGGAAGAGAGAGAGAGAGCGAGCGAGAGGAGAGGACGCACCTCGTAGGTGACGTCCGAGTGGACCGTCAAGTTGTTGATGCGGCCCTCGTAGTGCCGCTCGTCGCTCGTGCCGGTCGCGTCGCGCCAGACGAGGTGGAACTCGGGGATGTCCTTGGCGAAGCCCGACACGGGGTGGATGTGCACACGGCCGAAGGAGGAGCCCCAGTCGCTGTGCGAGGGAGAGATGAAGGAAGAAAGGGAGGAAGGGGGAGTCAGGGGGAGAGTAAGGGAGAGGAAGGGAGAGGAAGGGAGAGGAAGGGAGAGGGAGGGAGAGGAAGGGAGAGGAAGGGAGAGAGAGGGTCAGTGCGAGAGGAGGAGGAGGAGGACGGGCGCAGAGAGAGGGACGCACTCGATCTGCCACCTCGGGTCGGCGTCAATGAACGCCTGCTGCCCACGGAAGACGACGACGCCGCGTTGCGCGACGAGGAGGGCGAGCTGAGAGCGACCGCGAGCGTCGAGCTTCGTGAGGTCGACGCCATCGAGGACCTCGGTGCCGACGTTGGGCGTGAGCTGCTGCACCTTGGCGCCGTCGAGGAACGACTGCGGGTGCGGGTCCTTGAGGGCGGCATGGCCCGGGTCGACGTGCTCGAACGGCTCGAGAGGCGGCAGCTTGAGATGCCTGTGCCACTCGGGCAGCAGGTGCGCGTACTTGTAGCCCGACGAGGGCGCCTCGGTCGCCGCCGGCCCGTCCTCGCCCGAGAGCGTGAGCTTGCCGACCGTGTCGGTCAGGGTCTGGGTGAAGGTGGCCATGGTGGGTGAACGAGGTCGAGAGTCGAAGGTGGGGAGGATGAGGAGGGGGAGAGAGCGGCGAGCGAGTCGCAGCTGGGGATGGGGCCAGCAGTGGAGAGCACGCCAATCTGACGGGATACGAACGCATGGCGGGCCAGCTGTGCCCGAGCCTTGCGTGCTGCAGCTCGTCGAGAGTGGAGGCCGTCGCGCGAGTCGGCCGGCTCGAGCCAGCCGAGCTGCGCCCGACAGGGCCGACGGCTGATCTGGTACGTGTGCTTGCGAGCTCGGCGCAGGTGCAGCGGGTGCGGTGCGGGCCGTCGAGAGCGGGGGAGAACGAGCCTGGACGAGATGAGGAACGGAAGCAGCTCTCCCTCGTCGCCAAAGCTCTCGCCCTTGCTGCTGGATGCACGGCTGGCTTGCTGCAGCTCCTGAGCTCGCATCTGCGCAACTCGCACGCCCGCACCGGTCCCTGCGAGGGAGGGCCGACAGATGGCGCCATCGTCCTCCAACCTCGCCTCATTCGCCAGCGCCAACAAGGTTCGGCCGGCGAGATGAAGGGTCGGCGATTCGGCCGCTAGCGCAGGACGGGCAGGGAACGGGGCGCAGCCAGCACGCACGTCGAGCCAGATTGCGCGAGCCGGCGGTGCGCTTCGAACGGCTCGCAGGGATGGCGTCTCGGCGGCAGGAGGTGGCGAGCTACTCTGCGTGCTCAGCGCCAGGAGCTCAACTTGGGTCGAGCGTCTTGGCCGAGCTGCCCTCGACGCTCTCCTCCCCCTTTCACTGCTCTCGCACGCTCGCTCCCCCGGCACGACGATGAGCTCTCGCCCGCACGACCTCCTCGCGCCGCAACCAGCGGTCCATGCCGACCCGACCGACGGCTTCCTCGATACCGCCGACCTGCGCAAGGAGCGCTCCCTCAGCTACGACAAGGCGGCCGACGCGGGCGACAAATCCGAATCGAGCTCCTTCTCGGTCTCGCGCGCTCCTCTCGCTCCCCGCAGCGAGGACGCCTACACGCCTGGCGCCGCGATCCTCGACTTTCTCGGCCTGCGCAAGAGGAAGGCCGACTTTGACCTGGATGCGGTACGTGCGCCTGATTCTCGAGAACATCCTCTCGTCGACCTTCCCTTCCTGACTCTTTCGCCTCTTCTCCTTCCCGCCCTTACTATCCACTACCTCGCTTCCTGCCGACCATCTCGAACCCCTCGACCTCTCGACCGTCCCCTCGCAGGTCGCGACCCAGGAGAGCGTCTTTGACGGTCCGCTCGCCGCGCACTACCAGCCGCCCGAGGACTGGGAGAACATCGGCGCGTTCGACCCGGACGAGCGGTGGACGCACAGGGAGGAGCGGTCTGTGCGGCGCAAGACCGTGCGTCCAGACCATGCTCGTCTCCCCAAGCCGACCTCGACTGACCTCATCCTTCCCTCCTCTCCTCGCGACAGGACCTGCGCATCATGTTGTGGGTGCTCGTCATGTTCTTCGCGCTAGACGTTGAGCGTGGCAACATGGCCAACGCAACTGTGCGTCGCTCGTCGTCCTTTCCCGCCGTCGCTCGTCGTCCTCGCCTTCTCAAGTTGTCGACTGACTCCCTCTCCCTCGCCCAGGCGGACAATCTCTTGGGCGACCTCGGCCTCTCGCAGGCCGACTACAACCTCGGCAACACTTTGTCGAAGGCGAGCTTCACTGCCTGTGTGGACGACGTCGAGCTGGTCCTGACGCTTCCCCCCCCTCCTCGAGCAGCTCGGCTTCCTTACGGCCGAGCTTCCGTCGCAGATGATCGGCAAGCGGCTGGGCGTCGACATATGGCTGCCGACGCAGGTCGTCATCTTTAGCATTCTGTGCGTCGTCGCCTTCAATTCCTCGCAGAGCGTGGCTGACGGATGCTGTCCTCCTCGCAGGGCTTCCTGCCAGTTCTTCATGCAGGGTCGCGCCTCGTTCCTCGCCCTGCGCTTCCTCATCGTGCGTCCCTCGCCCTCGACAGAGCCGAACCCCTCGGCGGAGTCGTCGCCGTCCCCGGAGTCTCGCGGTCGACGGTTGGCTCGAGCGCTGACCTCGCTGAGCGCCCGCAGGCCGTTTGTCAAGGAGGATTTATCCCCGACCAGATCCTGTGTGCGTCCCCGACCTCCTCCGCTCGTACGCGAGAAAGTCCGGCTGACTCGCCCCTCATCCGCAGATCTGTCGGTGAGCATGGAGACGGTCCTCCTCCTCCTCTTCTCGCCCTTCCCTGACCTCCTCCTCTTCCCCAGTACTACTACACTCAACACGAGCTCCCTGTTCGACTCGCCGCGTTCTGGACGATCAACTACTTTGCGGTCCGTCATCGTCTCCTTCGACCTTCCCAAGTCGAGTAGCCCGGGCTGACCTCCTCAACGAGCAGGACATGTGCACCTCCTTCCTCGCCGTTGGCCTCCTCAAGATGCGCGGCATCGGTGGCTATGCCGGCTGGCGTTGGTGAGCCGCCCGTTCTCTAAAAGCCCGCCCGAGCGCGCACTGACCCTCCCTTCTCCCTCCAGGATGTTCATGATAGAGGGCCTGTTCGGGCTCGTCATCGGTATCGCCTCGTTCTTCCTCCTGCCTCCAGGTCCGTCGCAGACCAAGGCGCCGTGGCGCCCCAAGGGCTACTTCACCGACCGCGAGGTCAAGATCATCGTCAACAAGGTCGTGCGCGACGACCCGACCAAGACGTCGATGAACAACCGCCAGGCGCTCACGCCTCGTTTGCTTTGGCGTGCGCTGTGCGACTACGACATGTGGCCGATGTACCTCATCGGGTTGGCCTTTGTGCGTCGAGCCTCCTCCCTCGAGTCGTCCTCGCGCTCGAGCCGCGACTGACTCTCCTTCTTGACCCCGCAGGGCATCCCTGGTTACCGTGCGTCCCTCTCGACTCTCTCCTACACGCCGTCGCTGACTCTGAGCCCGCCGCAGCCATCAAAAACTACTTCCAGCTGTCGATGAGTGCGTCCTCCTCTCGGCTCAGTCGCATCGTCCTCAACTTACTGACCTGCCCGCCCTCGCGCAGAGAGTCTCGGTTTCTCGACTGTCATGGCCAACCTCTTGAGCGTGCCCAACACCGTCATCAGCATCGTCAACCTCGTCCTCCTCACGTGCCTCTCCGAGGTCCTCAACCAACGGACTTTCGTCTGCGCCGTCGAGAACCTGTGGTTCTTCCCAGGTGCGTCTCATGTTCTCTCTCGACCTCGGTGCGGCAGGCCTCGAGCGACGGGCTCGACGTTCCGACGCAGCTACTCACGAGGACCGTGCGCACGCAGGTTACGTCGCCCTCCTGTGCCTGCCCGACCCGATCCAGCCTTGGGCCTACTTTGCCCTCGCGACCTACCTCCTCTCTTTCCCCTATGCGCACGCTGCTCAGGTCTCGTGGACGTCGCGCAACGCCGGCTCGGTCGCGACTCGCACCGTCTCTGCCTCGTGCGTCCAACTCTCTTTCTCTCCTGCCTACCTGGACCTCCCGAATGGCCCCAGACTGACCCTGTCCGACAGCGTGTACAACATGGCGGTGCAGGTGAGCGCCATCATCGGCGCGAACCGTACGTCACTCTTTGCCGCCGTCCTGCCCTCTGTGCCCAGAGCGGCGCGACTCACCCTCCCGCACCAACAGTATACCAGAAGTCGGACGCACCGCGGTACAAGAAGGCCAACTCGGGCATCCTCGGCGTCGTCTGCTTCAACCTGGCCCTCCTTTGTCCGTCCCTCTTCTTCCCTCTCGCGCTCTCCCGTATCTCTCTGACCTGACCCGCTTTTCCTCCGACCAGATCCCGGCACTTTCTTCTACTACAAGGCGCGCAATGCCTGGAAGGCGAAGCGCTGGAACGCCATGACGACCGAGGAAAAGTCGCACTGTGCGCCCGTCTCGCGCCTTCTCCTTTTCGCGCCCCCTTTTTGACCCTCACGCTGCCGCACAGACCTCGAGACGACCAAGGACGAAGGCTGCCGTCGTCTCGACTTTGTCTTTGCGACCTAGAGCGGCAGGGCTGACTGGCGAGGGCGAAAGAAGGGACGACGTAGTTGGAGACGACGCCGGTCGGAATCGAAATCTCAGCCGTACAGACTTCTCTCGGCGCTCGAGGCTCGTCAGAGTCGATCTCAGAGTCTCCTTAGAGCCTGCAGAAATAGCGAGAGATGGCCTGCCGTAAGCTGTGCGCAGGCGACGACCTCGCGCGCCTCGACAGCTGGAGGGACGTGCGACCGGTCGCTCGAGTGCGCCGATGCCTCTCTGCGCACGAGCCTCGCGCTCGCCGTTGTCATACTCGCTCTAAAGCTCTCGATCCGGACCGACACTGGCAGACAAGAGCTGCCCGTTGCACCTCGCCTTCTCAAACTGCTCCCTCCTCTCTCTCGGCTCTCGCGCTCAATCGCCGCCGCCCGCCGCGCCTCGCGCCCGCTCGAGCGCTCTCGCAAGCTCGTCCATGACGGCGTACGCCTCGCCGTTGACCTGCTCGAGCTCGGCGTTGTGCGCCTTGAGCGCGCGCTGCTCTGCGCGACAGGTCGTCAGGTCGGCCTCGAGCTGGGCGACGCGCGAGCGCAGGACGGGGAGCTGCTCCGAGAGCTGTCGAGGGGAGAGAGGGTCAGTGAGTCGTACGAGGAAGACATGTCGGCGGAGAAGACAGGAGAAGGAAAGGGGAAAGAGGGAAGAAGAAAGAGTCGACGCACCTTGACGATGCGTGCGAGCGACTCGCTCGTTCCGACGACAGAGTCGCCGGGTTGGCGTGCCGCGATCTCGGGCAGGAGCGACGCCTGGAGGAGCTGCGGCGCCGACGACGCGACGAGCGGCGAGCTCGACAGGTGCACGAGCTCGTGCGGCGCGTAGACCCGGCGCCGCTGCGCCTCGTCGGCAGCGCTCGTCGCCTCGTCGACCCGACGCCGCAGCTCGGCGATCTCGGCGTCCTTGGACGTCGTCACCTTCTGGATCTCGCGCACGAGGAGCTTGATGCGGCGCTCGGCCGTGACGCCCGCCTCGGCGAGCTCGGCCTGGAGCTCCTCGTTGGCGTGCGACAGCGCCGAGAGCGGGTCGCTCGTCGTCGTGGCGGACGAGGCTGGCGAGGCGGTCCTGGGACGAGTCGGCGTGCGGTCGCGCAGGTCGGCGAGGCGCGGGAGCGCCGCCTCGACTTGAGCCGCCGGGTCGGACGTCGCGAGCTCGTCGCCGACGGGATCGAGGAGGGCGTCGCCGTCAAGGTGCACGAGCACGCCGTGGATGCGACGAAGCAGGGCGACGTGCCGCTCGTCACGCGCCCGCAGCGCCGCGAGCTGCTCGTCCCGCTCGCGCACGCGCCCCTCGAGCTCGACCTTGCCGCGGCGCATGTCGAGCAGCAGGCCCTTCATGCGCTCGCCGAGCGTGCCCTGCATGCTCAACGCGCGGTCGAGCTCGACAGCGCGCGTCGCGGCGTCGTGCGCCGCGCCACGCAGCTCGACGCCGAGGTCGAGCGCGTCGCCGACGAGCTCGAGCGCCGACCGCCCGGCGTCCTCCTGGCCCTCGAGCGCGCCGACGATGCCCTCGGTCGCGACGAGGCGCGCGACGCACCGCTCGAGCTCGGCCTTGGCGCGCTCGGCGTCGTCCTGCGCCGCGCGCAGCTGGCCGTCTCGCGCCGCGGCGTCGTCGCGCAGGCTCTTGACCTCGCTCACGAGGGCGGCCTCGCGCATCTCGAGGGCCTCGGCGCGCATGCGGTCGGACGCAGAGTGGGCCGAGAGGGCGCGCTCGAGCGAGACGATGCGCGACCGAGCGTCGCGCAGCTCCGACTCGCGGGGGGCGGGGCTCGTCCTGGCGGTGCCGGCGAGGAGGGCGGTGCGGGACGTGGGAGGGGAGGTCGAGCCGGAGATGAGGCTGAAGGGGGAGGAGAGGAAGCTGCTTGTCGAGGGGGCGTTGAGCGAGTCGGCGGTGGCGGTCCTCGAACGATGCGCAGCACGGTCGGGCGTGCTCGGCCGCTCCGTCGCCGTCGCCGTCGCCTCGTCGCCCGTGCCCGACGCCCTCGACCCGCTCGACAGCGCCGGCGCCCTCGCGCGCACCGCCTCAGCCCTCGCGAGCCACCTCGCCGCGCTCGAACCTGCTCCTCCCGCCCCGCCATCGCCGCCGCCGCCCCCGCCACGAGGCGCCGCGTGCGGGTCGCTGTCGGCCGGCGCGACCTCGCCGACGCTGGCAGGCCCCGTCGCTGCGAGAACTGCCCCGCCCGCCGACGCCGCCGCCCACCTGCTCGCCGCGCCGCGTGCGCCCTCGTGCGCCGCACTCGCCGCCGCCGCCCAGCTCGCCTCGCGCTCCCGCTCCTGCCCCTGCTGCCGCTCCTCGTAGCGGAACTCGTCCTGCTCCTCCTCTTGCTCGCCCTCGGGCTCCTCGCCGTCCGCCGCCTCCTGTCCGCCGGCTTCTCCGCGCACGCTCCCCGAGCCCGAGCTGGGCCCGCCGCCGCCGCCGCCGAGCAAGCTGCGCGCGTGGTCGAGGATGCCGGCGCGCAGCGTCGTGGGCGAGGGCGGCTGGCCGGCTGGCGGCGGCGGCGGCGGCGGCGGCGGCGGCGGTGCAGAGGCGGGCGCGGCAGCGGCGGGGAGCGTGGCGGTCGAGGGCGAGACCGAGGCTTCGGGGGACCAGCGCGAGGGCGAGGGGCGCGTGGTGGATGCGCCTGGGAGCGGCGGGTAGTGCGGGTGCGAGGTCGGCATGCCCCGGCTTTTGTGGGGCGGCGAGAGCGCGAGAGGTGGAGGAGGGCGAGAGGAGGAGGAGAGGGACGATCGAGGAGCGACCTCTCGAGCTCGCGCGCGGTCAAGAGGAAAGGGTAGAACGACGGGGTGCAATGCGGTCCAACGAGGGACGGTACAGAACGAGGGAGGAGAGTGGGGAGAATGTCTAAAGAGAGGAAAAGGGAGAGAGAGCCGCACGACGACGACGGACGACGACGGACGACGACGGACGACGACGACGACGACGGGGCAGGCTAGACCTTGATCTGGGCCGCCTTCTGCCTCAGCTGCGACATCCTGAGCGCCTCCTGCACGACCCTGCTCCCGGGCCTCCTCAAGCTCGCGCCGGCAGCGAGCACCAAGCTGAGGAGGACGAGGCTGCCGGCCTGGTGCGTCGCGGCGAGGTGCGTCGGGACGAGGTACAGCAGCGTCGAGATGCCGAGCGCGACCTGGAGGAGGCTCATGTGCAGCGACGCCTTGATAAGCCGGTACGTCGTCGGCGGGAGCTGGGCCCGGATGTGCGGCCGGCGCGCGAACGCGAACAACGACACGACCGAGAGGAACGTCGTGTAGGCCTGTGCGAGCAACGACGGGTCAGTCCCTTCTCGGGAGCAAGAGAGAGAGAGAGAGAGAGAGAGAGAGAGAGAGAGAGAGAGAAGGGACGCACGAGCATGCGGTGGTCAAACTGGACCGTCGTCGGGTTCTCGGTCACGTTGCGCCACCGGTCCGACTTGTCCTCGTTGCGGCAGTAAAAGTCCTTGTTGAGCTCGCCCATGCCCGGGTGCAGGCCGCCGCCCATCGTCGGCCACTCGTTGTAGATGAGCCCGGCGTCGAGGCCGGCGACAAACGCGCCTGCGAAAAGGGGGGACGAGACTAGGTCAGGTGGCGGCTCGAGCGCGCTCGACGAAGGGCGAGAAGGGGGACGCACCCGAGAGAGCGGTGGTAAAGACGAGCGCCGTGACGATGGTGGTCAAGACGCGCGCACGGCCTGCGACCTTGCCCTGGAGGACGTTGAGCGTCTCGGTGACCGACTTGAGCCCGGCGAGGCCCTGCGCCTTCTTGGCGAGTTTCCAGTCGCGGCCGACGCCGAGTCCGAGGCGCAGGCACGACGAGTACACGAGGAAGGCCATGCCCAAGTGGGCCGCGAGGCGGTACTGGCTCACGCGCGGGACGCCGCCGAGGTCCTTGACGCTGTCGGCGTCGAGGCCCGACTTGACCATGTACCACCCGAGGGCGCCTTGCCCACCGATCAGGGTCGCGATGCCAAACAGGGCGAGCGACATGCCCTTGCCGAGCTTGCCGCGCAGGACAAAGTACGGGATCGGGGCGACGAACGACAGGCCGATGACGCGCCCGAGGATGCGGTGGCCCCACTCCCACAGGTAGATCGTCTTGAACTCGTCGAGCGTGATGTGCTGGTTGTTGCTGCGGGAGCGCGAGGAGGGGGCGAGAGGGCGTGCGAGAGGGTCAGGGCTCGTGTGCGTGGGCGAGAGTAGAGAGGAAAGAGGGGGAGGGGACGAGACGACGCACATCTGCCACTCGGGCGTGCTCTTGTACTTGTCAAACTCGTCCTGCCACTCGAGCTGCGACATGGGGAGCTTTACGCCCTTGACGACGTTCCACTCGGTGATGGACAGGCCGCTCTCGGTGAGGCGCGTCATGCCGCCGACGACGACGATGCAGAAGACGAGGCCGGCGATGACAAACAGGTAGCGGCCGACGCCTGGGGCCGTGAGGCGGACCTCGGGCGGGTCCGGGTACGACGACGACGCCTGGTCGAGGACGACGGCGGGATGAGGTGGTGCGGCGGCGGCGGCGGCGGTCGAGAGGGCACGGGCGCTGGCGACACGTGCGCGCAGGAGGCCGACGACCGAGTGAGTGCTCTGCAAGAGTCCGAGGGAGGCGGGTCAGTCGACACGATGCGTGCGAGACGGGCGAGCGGGTGGGCAGGGGCGGCTCGACGGCATCGCCCGAGCTGCTCTGGCTCTTGCTGCGGGGCCGCATGGGCTGCTGACTCGTCGTCGTCTTTGAGCAGCTCGAGTAGAGAGAGAGGGAACGCACCAGGGAGCGGGGCGAGCCGACCTTGGCGGAGATGGCCGCCGCCGTCGACGAGGGCGCGGGCGAGTTGAAGCGGGCGAGCGCGGTGTTGAAGGTGGGTGAGGGTGGGCAGGAGCACTGGGGTGCTGCTCGAGTCGAGAGCTGGCGAGCTGCCGAGCGCGTGGCGGCGAGGCGAGGTGCGGCGATCGAGAGGGAGGAGGGGGACGAGGACGAGGCGATGGCGCGGTGTGCGATCTGGGCGAGGGGTCGCCAGGGTGAGGGTGCGGCCATGACTGGCTCTGAGTGAGCGTGGCTGTGCTCAGCAGTGGTGGTGAAGGAGAAGAGCGAGACGAAGTTGACCTCTACGGACCTTGGCGGCGGCGGCGGCGGGCCGAAGGAGCATCGACGCGTCCGCATTGGCTCGTCGTCTCCATCAACCAGCACTCATCCGCCAGAGCCACTCACAAGGCCATGCTCTCCACTCCCTCCCTCACCGCCCTCCGCACCACCCACCGCGCCGCCCTCGTCGCCCGCCCGCTCGCCGCACCTCGACCTCTCGCTCGCCTCATCTCGGCAACCGCTCCTCGCCGTGCAGACGGCCTCTCGAACGGCGAGAAGCTCCTCAAGGACCGCCTCGAACAAGCTCTCGACGGCGCAAAAGTACAGGTGCAGGACGTGTCGGGTCCGTCCTCCCCTCCTCCCCCTCCTCCCCCTCTCTCGCCCTCACCCACATGGCTCACCCTGCCCGACACTCCCACACAGGCGGCTGTGGCTCGTTCTACGCCATCTCGGTCGAGCACTCGTCGTTCAAGGGCCTGTCGATGATCAAGCAGCACCGCGTCGTAAACGACCTCCTCAAGGACGAGATCAAGGGCATGCACGGCCTCCAGGTGCGCACCCCCCCTCGCCTTTCTCCTCGTCAGGCTCCTTCTCCCTCGACAGCCTGCTGACCGGAACTGTGCACCTCGCAGCTCAAGACCAAGGCCCCCTGAGCCTCCCGACGCCCATCCCCCTTCCCGCCTCGTCCATTCCTCGCCGTAACCCCTGCACCCTTTGTTGTACCAACGCTCGCTCTGCAACACGCCCTGCCTATCTACAACATCCTTTCGCGCGAGGCGCTTGGACCGGCCCGCGCGAGCGGGCGCAGCACGCAGTCGACTCGGGCTCGAGGTCTAGTTGGCGCTTGTCCAAGGGCAGGGCCGGCCGCCGCTCGTACGCGTTGGCTCGTGCTGGCTGAGCAACGTCGTGCGAGTCGTGCGGGCGCGCGCAGAAGCCAAGAGAGGACAGCGTGGCCGCATGAGGGCGACGAGAGGTGCGACGAGCGAGCGGTCCGAGAGAGAAAGTTGGGCCGTCTCTCGCTCGCTCGGCCTTGTTCTGCTCTGTGCAGCCTTGAGAGTACCTCGGACACGTCGAGAGCCGGCTCAGGCAGCAGGAAACGCGTCGAGAGAGACGTCGACCCGTCACTTTGTGATCGCGGCCCTTTGCTTTGTGCTCGCTCGCTCCTCGCCCTCGCTTCTCCTCCTCGACCACCACCATCCGCTGGCCTTCGACATGGCCGCTCTGCCCCGCACGACCTCGGCCGCACGCCACATGGTCGACGAGGACCAGCCCGCTCTCGTACCGCCCGCCGCACCTGTGCACCGCTCCCAGGTGGGGGACCGTGATGCCGCCCAACTCGGCTCGACCAAGCGCAGGAGGACCACCGCCGCCGCTGCGAGCTCTACTGGGCACACCTCTGGGTCCGTCCACCCTCACCCCCCACGTGCCTCGTCGCCCGCGAGGTTGAGCTCACCTCCCTCGTCACACACAGCCAAGCTCCCCCGACCCCGCCCTCGTCCGCCTCGCGCCGCCGCCCAGCCTCAACCCTCGCCGCCAACAGCACCTCGAGCAGCACCCGCTCCCCCTCGTCGCCCAAGCTCCTCGTCAAGCTCGACGGCCGCGTGTACCGCCCGCCGTCGCCGGGCGACCCGCGCACAAAGCTCGAGTTCGAGGCCGACTTGCTCCTCGGTGGGCCGACAGAGACGGTCGAGGACCTCGAGGTGGCGCGACGCGAGCGCCGCAGGAGGGAGGTCGAGGACGAGATGAAGCGCGAGGCGGCTCTGGCGAGCCCGAGGGCGCGACGGCCGCCGACGACGACGGGCGCGAGCAGGCTGTTGACGTTCGACAGCGACGACGAGCGCGACACGCTCAAGGTGGTCGGGCCGTCGAGGACGCCGACTCGGGCTCGGCCGCACGACCACCGCCGCGCCGTGACGCCGCCGCCTCGACCTGCCTTTCCCCTCGGCCCTGCCTCGCCCACGCCGTCCTCCTCCGCGACGGCAACCCTCGGCTACCCGTTCGCCCTGCACACGTCGCCTCGGCGCGCCGGCGCCGGCCCCCAATCACCACCGCTCCCACCGCCTCTCGCCGCCCTCCTCGCCCTCCACAACGCCGTCGAGCGCGCCCTCATCCTCCACCTCTCGACCTCGGGCTCGGGCGCGTCCCTCGCGTCGACCCTGTCGGACCTCGACCCCGACTCGGGCTCGGGCTCGGGCACGGGCTCGGGCACGGCCCACGTCCGCATGCCCAACCTCGTCGACCTCTCGACCCTCGGCCGCATGCTCGAGAGCAACGGTCGCCGCTGCGGCGAGGACGAGCTGCGCCGACTCGTGTGGGCCTGGCAGGGCGCGAACGACGACCCTGCGTCGCCCCCTCGGCGCGCCAACAACGGCGGCGGCCTAGGCGGCGGCCTCGGCGACGACGAGGTCGGCGGCATGGGCTTCATCGTGTCGCGCGCGCGCACGGCCGTCGTCGCCGCGCCCGGGCGCGTCGCCTACACGTATGGCCTCGGCATCAGCGTCGCCGTGCGGTCCAACCCGCAGCTCCCCAAGTTTGAGCTCGTGAGCCCCGGCCGGCCCGGGCACGCAGCCGCCGCCGCCGCCGCCGCCGCTGCCGCGCCGCCGAGCCCGAGCAGCGTCGGAAAGGGGCGCGAGGGCATGAGCATTGTCGCGCTGTGGACGCAGGGCAAGGAGGCGCGCCGGGTCGAGCTCGAGGGGCGGCTGAGGAGGTGGAGCGAGAGGAGCAGGGCGGGCGGCGTCAAGCGTGAGGAGGACGAGGTGCGTCCCCGATCGGTCCTTCCTTCTCGTCCGGGAACCGTCCCTGACCTCCCTCGCTCTCTCGTCCCGACAGCTCACCGTCGACGACGACGACCTGCACTTTACCGCCTCGACGTCGAGCACGACGGCGGGCATCCCGCTCGCCGCCCTCCCGCTCCTCGCCCCGGCCGTGAGCGCCATCCCTTCGACCTCGACCCCCTCGCCGACCAAGCGCGCCGGCGCTGCCGCCCCGCGCTCGTTCCTCGAGGGTGGCGGCGGCGGCGGCGGCAGCAGCGCAGCGGACCTCCCCGTCGCGAGCCCGCGCGAATTTGTCGGCGCGCTCCTCAAGGGCAAGCCGGTGAGGACCAAGGCGGGCACGGCGGCGGACCGAGCGGCGGCACGGCGCGAGCGGGTACGTCGCCTCTTTCCCTTCTCCTCTCTCTCTCTCCCTCTCTCTCTCTTTCTCCCGTCGCCTTACTGACGAGCGCGCCGCACGGCCCCGCAGATCGAGGCCAAGCAGAGAGCACAGCAGCAGTCGGCGTACCACGGCTCGTTCTCGGCCCTCGCGTCGGGCGAGTCGTCGCCCTCGAAGCGTTCGCTCAAACGCCACGCCGACGACTCGGCCTCGACGTCGACCCTCGACGACGACGCGACCGTGCCGCTCACCGCGTTCGAGCAGCACAAGCGCAACGCGATGCTGAGCCGCCTCGGGTCGGTCGCCGACGTCGTGGCCATGCGCTGCGCCGGGCGCCCGACGCCCCTCGAGGAGGTGTGCACCGCCGTCGCCAACAGCCCGCTCCTCAATATCGGCTTCGGTGCGTCCTCCTCTCTCTCTCTCTCTCTCTCTCTCTCTCTCTCTCTCTCTCTCTCTCTCTTTGCGCTCCCCCTCGAGCCAGATCCCTGACCCCGTCGCTCGAACCCGCCCCTTCGCAGACGAAGCCTCGCAAGCCGTGTCCTTCCTCGCGTCCCACTTTCCCAACTTTGTCTACCTCAAGCTCGTCGGGCAGGAGCGGTGGGTGTACCTTCGCGGCGTGCAGAAGGCGGTCGAGGTCAAGGAGCGCGTCCGGGACGAGCTCGCGAGGGCGCAGGAGGCCATGAGGGCTTGAGCGCTTCTCTTCTTGCTGTAGACACAGGGCGAGCATGTCACTTTATCGTCGTCCGAGCATCTGACGAGCGAGGCCGCTTTCGGCGGCGCAAGGGAAAGAGAGAGCGCAAACTTGAGAAGGCCATCTCCTCTCGACCCGCTCGGACCTCCTGCTCGTCGAGCGACTGCAGTACAACAACAACTGGAGAGCTATCTACGCGCTCCTCACCTCGGGTTGGCGACGACCTGCACGCCGCCTTGCCAGCTGTGGGGCGAGAGAGGGAGAGGTTTCGTCAGGACGGCGCTCACGAGGAGAGAAGGGAGAGAGAGAGAGCGAAAAGAGGACGCACTACTCGACCCGGTTCCCGCTCAGCATCGAGAACGTCGACCACTGCGTCCCGACGAACCCTTGGCCGCGCGAGAGGATCTCGCCGTCGAGCATGGCCGGGTACCACTCGCCCAACCGCTCGACCGTGCGCTGCGCGTCGTGGTCGACGACGTGCCACCCGAGCTCGGCGAGCTCGACGTACAGGTCCGAGCCGGGAGGCTCATCGGTCGTGACGACGACGGCGTACTCGGCGGGCGGGATGGGGAACGCGCGCAGGGACGGCTTGTCGGAGAGCGAGGTCGGCGAGGAAGGGCGGTCGAGGCGGGCTTGCAGCTGGGTGCGGACGTCGGCGACGGCCGAGACGTAGCTTGACAGGGGCGTGTACGTGTTGCCATGGAAGGCCTTGAAGTCGCCGCGGCGGCTGCGTACGGCGAGGAAGAAGGGGAGGGAAAGGACGGACGAGGAGGTCAGTCGTGCGCGTTCAGGAACGAGGCAGGGAGCGAGAGGACGCACACGTGCACCGAGATGTAGGGCGGGATGTCCTTGGCCCGCTTGACCGAGAAGAGCGCCTTGAGGTAGTCGTTGGCGTGCTCCTCGACCTCGGGCAGCCAGTGCAGGTGCTGCCCGACCTCTTTCCACGCCCGGCCGACGCGCCACGGGTCCAGCGGCACGTGCTGCGGGTACGGCGGCGGCGGGACCGAGTCGCCGACGTAGAAGGTGGCGTCGAGGCACATCAACTGGTCGTCCTCGGTCGGCGGGACGCCGTGCACCGGGTCGAAGAACGGCTTGACGTTGTCCTCGGCGACGACAGTCGACGGCTCGACGCCTTTGGGCACGCTCTTCTGCGGCAAGTACTCGCGCCGGGTCGTGGCGACCCACTCGAGCTGGGCCGTCGTGTTCGAGAGGAAGTCGACGACGGGCCCGAATTCGAGGACAGCGCCCTCGCTCGAACGAGGAAAAGGCGGGACGGCCCAGAAGTCGGTGAAGATCTTGTGCTCCTCGAAGCCCGTCTCGACGGCGTGCACGTTGGGCGCGCCCGTGTACTTCTCCATGAGCGACCAGCAGGTCACGCGCTCGTCGACGTTGCCCGGGCCGCCCGGCGTCTTGAAGCTCGACAGGGGGACGGTCGGGATGTTGGTGAGCGAGTAGAACCTCGGCAAGTCGTACACGAGGTGGAACGGGCGGTGCTGGCCGGCGCCAAAGTGGATGCCCGTGAGCGGCGGGACGATGACGGCGCGGCCGAGCTCTTTGCCGATGAAGAGGAGATTGATCAGGGCGAGGAGCTGGTTCGACTGCCTGTAGGGGTACGAGAGTTAGCTCGACTGGGGAGACGCCGGCCGTGGGGAGCGGCTGCGAGATGGAGTGGAAGGGAGAGAGGGAGCTCACCCGCCAAAGAGCATGCCCGTGAGGAACCTCGCGTCGCCCATCTGCTTCTTGAGCTCCGTCTGCGGCTCGCCGTACCGCAGAACCGTCTCGAGCATGCCCTCGTACGCACGCCCTGCGCCGTGCCGCCCCCGCCGAGCAGCGAACCCAGCCGCAAAGTCCTGCGCCCGCCCGCCGTGTAGGGCCGCGGCGACGATGATGAGTATGCCGATGCTGGTCGCAGCTATTGCGAGCGTGCGCCGTGAGCGGGCGGTCGACGAGGGCGAGGCGATGAGGTTGCGCAGGCGGGCGAGTGGGGGCGGCGCAGGCGGCGCGCTCGCAGCTGCATGGTGGTCGAGGGCGGTGTAGCGGTGGTCACCGCTCATGGCTGCACGGCGCACTAGGCGTGTGCGAGAGTGAGGGGGCGCAGCTCTCGCTCGTCGTCGCCATCTCGATCACTCGGCGGATGGCCGCGGACTTTGTGTCCTCGCTCTCGTGCGCTCGAGAGCGTGTGCAGTAAGTGGCGACAACGATCAAGGAGCTCGCACGAGACAGTATGAGGCAAGCGGTGAGCCTGACCAAGAGTAGAGAAAGCTCTCGAGCCTCGTCCGACACGACGCGCAAGATGCGGCACGAACGAATTACAGGGACACAGACGACGATCCGACAAAGAGAGCCGACGAACCACCGACCCACAGACCCTCCTCAGTAGCCGTACGCGCCTCCCGCGCCTCCCTGCGCCGGGCCGTATCCCTGACCACCTTGCCTCGCGCCCCACCCGCCGTCGCTCGCCGCCCCGTACGGCGCCGGCGCCTGCTGCTGCGACTGCGTCGTCCCTGCCGGACCCGCCGGCGGCACCGCGCCGAGGAGCGCCATGCGCGAGGGGTGCACGGGCGGGCCGCGCGCGGCCGAGGGCTCGAGCGGCGCCGGCGCCGGTGCTGCTGCGGCGGCGACGGGGGCGGGCGCACTCGACGGCGCGCCAAAGCCGGGGATGCCGTTGAGGAGCGCAGGGTTGGCGAGGAGCGAGTTGAGCGTGTCGGGGTTGACCTGGGCGAGGAGCGACTGCATGGCGACCGGGTCGAACGCTGGCGGGGCGGCGGTCGAGGGCGGCGCGGGAGGGGGAGGGGCGCCGAAAGGTGGTGGGGGAGCGCCGTAGGCGACGTGCGCAGGGGGAGAGTAAGGCGGGTGTGCCGAGGGCGGGCCGGGCGGGTGATGCGGGAAGGGCGAGCCGGCAAAGGACGAGGGGAAGGAGGGAGGCCCGGCGGGCAACGGCGCCGGGCCGACAGCGAGAGGTGCGGCAGGAGGTGCCGAGACGAATGATGTGGAGGTAGAGGATGGAGGAGGAGCTGGGGGAGGTGTCGTGACGGCGAGGGGTGCGGGCTGGACCGTCGGGAGGACGCCCTTCTGGACGACGAGGACGGCGAGCACGAGGTCCTTGTCGCGCTTGCGCGACGGCGGCACGATGTGCTCGTCGACGAGCTCGACAAAGTCGGGCAGGTCGTCGCCGTTGCGGAGCGGGACGATGTAGATGTCCTTGACGAGCTTGCCGAGCTCTTTCGGCGGCTGGACGACGCCGATGCGGTCGCGCCGAACGTACTGGTCGACGATGTGCTGGTGCTTGGCGAGGCACTTGTCGGCGGCGGGCTTGTGCGGGAACTGGGTCGACGGGCCCGTCAGGTCGGGGAGGAGGGCGAGGATGACGAGCTCGCGAGTCGGGGCGAGGGCGCAGTCGACGAGGTACTTCTGCGCCGTCGGGGTCGGGATGCGCCCGGCGGTCGTCAGGCCCTTGGGGAGGAGCTTGCGCCACGTGCCTGGCGCCGAGCCGAGCGGACGACCGCCGACCTGGACGGCGAACGTCGGGAAGCCGCCCTCGTCGGGCACGATAAAGTCGCCCGCCCAGACTGGCGGCAGCTCGTCGAGTGCTGGAGGTTTCAGCGCGGCGGGCTTGCGCTTGGACGGCGACGCGGCCGGGTCCCGGAAGAGGTCGTCCTCAAAGTCGTCGTCGCCGCTGTCGGCCGCCTTGGCGCCGCCGACGTCGAACGGGTCGTCCGACTGCGGCACGGGCTCTTGCGGCGCACCTGGCGCGGCGGCGGCGTCGGGCTGCGAGTCGACGGGCGGCGAGGCGGCCTTGGCCTTGGTCCAGATCGACGACATGTCGAAGCTCGACGCGCTCTGACGTGGCCGGGCCGACGGGCGAGGCGAGCCGTTGTCGAACGGCGAGCCGGGCGAAGCTGCGCCGCTGTGGGTGCCCTCGCGCTCGTCTGCGCCGGCAGGACCCGGCGAGCCGCCAGTCGGGACGAGCGACGACCGGGGTCGGACGGCGGCGGCGGCGGCGGGCGACTCGCGCGACGAGTCAGGCGAGGCGGCGCCGGCACCGGGCGATGCTGCCGAGTAGTGCGAGTCGGCAAAGGCGGCGTCGAGGGGCGACTGGAGCGCTGCGGCCGCCGAGTCGCGCTCGTCCTTCTTCTTCTGCTGGGCGACCTCCATCTTGTCGCGCTCCTCCTGGGCGCGCTCGTGCTGCTCGGCGGCGATGATGCGCGACGCCTCGTTGTCGATCTCCTCCTCGCCCTTGTGCGTGCGCTTGGCCGTCGGCGCCGCGAGCGCCTCCTTGACCGAGTTGCGCAGGCTCGCGGCGCGCACGCTCTCGGCCATGGCGCGCAGCTCGGGCGTCTGCAGGTCCTCGGCCGACAGGTGGATGAGCTTGGCGGCGCCGAGCTCGTTGTTGGCGACGCGCGAGCGCAGGTACGCGTTCGACTTGAGGTTGAAGTGGAGCGAGCGGAACTTGGCGACGTACTTGGCGCGCGGTCCTCGCACGCCCTTGTCGTCGACCTCGGCGAACCCGTCGAACAGCTCGCTCTCGACCTCCTCGGCGAACGCGCCCGACCGGACCTCGATGCCGGCCGAACCTGCGCCGCCGCCGCCGCCGCCGGCCGCCGAGAAGATGGACGAGAAGATGGTCGTGAGCTGCTTGACGACGTGGGTACGCGTCTTGTCGGACTGGGGGACCGAGGTTGTCGCGACCGAGGTCGACGGCTTGACGTCGTGGGTCGAGGAACGGCGAGGAGCAGGTTTCGAGGCACGCTGCGGGTGCGGGCCAGGGTCAGTGCCACTTCGTCCACCAATGCGCCGAGGTCGAGAGTCACAGGCAGTGAGAGAGGACGCACCTTCTTCTTCTTGGGCGCAGCGTCGTCGTGCATCTCGCCGTCGTAGTCATCGTCAGACGTGGCGAGGTCGCGCTTCTTGCCCCGAGCCGCCGTCTTGCGCTTCTTCTTCTTGGACGGGACGGGCTTACCGTCGTCGATGTCGTCGTCGGTGTCGTCTGGTGCGTCGTGGTCGTCGTCGATCGACTCGTCGCCGTCGTCGTCGTCGCCAGAAGGCGGGCCGGCGTCCGAGGTCGCGTCGTCAAAGTCGTCCTTGGCGTGGGCGTAGAAGGCCGTCGACGAGCTTGAGCCGACTTGAGCAGCTGCGAGCACTGCGCGAGGGAACAAGGGCAGTCAGTCGCAGGAACGAGATGCGAAGGTCGAAGTTGCCCGAGGGGAGGCTCGGCCGTGAGCCTGACCCCGCACTCCGAGGAGAGAGCGACCGTCGTCCTCGTCCTCCTGGCCCACACGCCCACACGGCGCCAGAGCAGGCCCGACAGTGCTCGCCGCCAGCGCTCGCCCACTCGAGCTCGTTCCGCCACCCGCTCCAGCAGCTCGTCCTCAGCCTGCGCCGCCGACCCACTGCCTCGTGCTCGCTCGACCGGATCTCCCTCGACCTCGCAGCGCAAACTCGACTCTGGAGGATCGCGGCGGCGTGTCGCGGGCGACGCGAGCTCGACGGGGCGCTAGACGGTGAGGTGCGCGCACGGCATTGCAGAGCGGCAACGACACGAGGAGGGGGAGGAGGGGGGGCAGCTACTCGGAAGGGGGAGGGAGGGGCGGACGACATCTCGAGCCCGTCGTGTGCTGTGGCTCGACGAGTGAGGCGCACAGGCGAAGCCTGATCCTCGCGCAGACCTTGGGTCGGCGACAGGCTCGTCGAGCAGCGAGACGGCCTCTTTGCCGTAGACCAAGTCCGACGGCTAGTCCGCCTCTGCACCCTGCTCCCACATCGTGCGCCATCGAGACCGAGCTGCCGTCGAGAGAGTCGCGCCCTCCCGAACCGCAGACCGAGAGAGAAGGAGAGGAACGAGAGGGACGCACGGCGTGTCGCTCCCATGCCCATCTGCTCACACATGTCGCACGCGTACGCCTCGATCTTGGCCGCGATGTCGTCGTTGAGGCTGACGCACGAGAAGTGGAACCTGTGGCGTGTCGAGGGCGCGAGAGGAGAGGACGAAGGCGCACGGCGAGAGGAGGGGGTCGAGAGGTCAGCTCTGGCTCACGAGAGGGGGAGGAAGAGGAACGCGAGACGCACCAGTTGCTGCAGTGCTCGCACTGGATCATGGGCTGCTCTCCTGTGTCGTAGCCGAGGCACACGCAGTCTGCGACGAGGAGGGGGCGAGGGCGAGTCAGTTCAGCCGCGAGCGCAAGAGAGGGAATGTGTGAGAGAGAGCAACGCTGGACGCACAGAGGGTCATGTCCTGCTGCGGCTCTTGCTGCGAGTCGTCCTCGTACATGGTGCCGTCCTCGTCCTCCTCCTCGCCGAGCCCGGGCACCGACGCGTGGTTCCTCGCCAGCTCGCGCGCGACCGCCTGGGCACCACGAGCGTTGACGGCACGGCCGTTGCGCTTGACCGGCGCGGCCGCCGGCCCCGCAGAGGCGACGCTCGAGGCTGGCGAAGCGTGGCGCGGGGTCGACGAGGCCGACCTCGCCTGCTCGACAGCGGGCGCACTACGCAGGTGGATGGCGGTCTGGGCGGCCTCGATGGCGCGTAGCGTGGGCTTGCGAGTGCGTCGGGACATGGTGCGCGATGTGAGCGGTGTGTGGGAGAGAGACCAGCTCGCCCTCTTCGCCGTCGAGCTGTAAGTCCGAAGGGCTCATCTCGCGCGCCCTCTTCCTGGCTAGCTCTGCAGCCAGCATGCTTTTGTGGCACCGTAATGCGATTTGTTCTGCAGCGAGCGAGCCCGGTACCCTGCTCTCTCACTCTCGGCGGCAGCTCGAGACGAGGTCGACTTCCAGCGAAGCAGTGCGACGGTGGATGACAGATTACGTGGGTTCGGCTACAGAGACACGACGGCGACGATAAGGTAGGGGAGGAGAGGCGAACGTCGTGCGAGGGCGAGGGCGAGAAAGAAGAGGAACGAGCGCGAGGACCTCAGCAGCACTTGCCGCCGAGCAACTTGCCCTTGCTGGTCCCGCCGTTCAGGCTCCCACTCCAGCTGCTGATCCGCCGCAGTGCCCGCTCGCCGTACGACACGCCCGAGCCCGCCTTGTCCGGGTCGAGCTTGCCCGACTCGACAGCGAGGAGGATGGCGCGCGCGAGGAGGATGAACGGCTGCAGGATGGGCGTCGGCTCGAAATCAGCTGGAGGTCCTTGGCGAGGTGCGCCGAAAAGAGAGCGAGAGAGAGCAGAGGACGCACCTGCTCGACGTTGTCGCCCCGCCGACTCGACGTCTCGACAAACAGCGCGCCGTGGTCCTGCGCCCATCTGCTCCCCTCGAGGTACGGCACTTGCCGGTCGTCCTCCTGGTCCATCTTGTTGCCGACAACGACGACCTGGAGCTCGGGCGACGCAAGCGCTCGGGCGTCCGACAGCCAGCTCTGCAACGCCTCGAACGATTTTCGGCTGCGGGCGGGCGACGAGGGGCGCGAGTCAGTGTCGTCAACGATGAAGCGCGAGAGATGAGGACGCACCTCGTGATGTCGTATACGATTACGGCGCCGCAGGCGCCTCTGTAGTAATTACGAGTCACGCTCCGGAACCGCTCCTGCATGGGGCGCGACAGGTCGGTCACCTCGCTCGCGCGACACGCGCTCTTGGGGAGACTCACTTGACCCGCCGAATCCCAGCACTGCACCTTGAGGGTCTTGCTCGACGTAGCGCCCGGTGCGGCGCCGGCGGAAGGAGGAAGAGAGGACGGCAGGCGCATGAGGGTGCTCGCGAACTCGACGCCTGCGGGTCGAGGGGTCAGTACGAGGTGCGAGGACTGAGCACAGCCGGAAGCGCAGGACGCACCGATAGTGTGCGGCGAGGGATCCCGGACTGCGAGAGAGCGAGAGGGAGAGAGAGAGAGAGAGAGAGAGAGAGAGAGAGAGAGAGAGAGAGAGAGAGAGAGAGAGAGAGAGAGAGAGAGAGAGGAAGGCGAGGTCAGCTCGGCACGGCTCGAGGGACACGCGCTCGGCAGGTGCTCACTCTTGTCGTTGAGGAAGTAGTGCAGCAGGCACGACTTGCCGACGCCCGAGTCGCCTGCGGCGCGTGGAGGACGAGGTCAGCGACTGCACAGCCTCGCGCGACTGGGTGAGAGAGTCCTGGTGGAACGAGCGGACGCACCGATGACGATGAGCTTGCAGAGATAGTCGTACAGCTCTGGCAGCTCTGTGAAGGGGGCACCGTGCGCGCTCGCGCCGAGGGTCAGCGGCCGCATGGCGCGGTGCGTGAGGAAGCACCTCGACGAGGACCGGTCCGGCGAGGACGTGGAGAGCGAGGGGGGCCTGGAGCGCACCTGTGGCACTCAACGCGGATGAGCGGTCCGACATGGCTCTGGCGGTGGCTTGAGGGCGAGTCGAGCTCCAATCAAGGGCGGAAGGTGGATGAGGCGAGGAGGCGGGGCGAAGGTGTGGGGGGAACGCAGACGGCGCAGGAGCAGCACAGGCGGCAGTGCGCGGTGTTGGCGAGTGCCGTCGAGTTGCTGTGCGAGCTGGTCGCTGTGCTGTAGGTGACGAACGCCTCGAGCGCGCTCACGGCCAGCCGGCTCGACTCCGCGGCCGAGAGCAAGTAGCGCCGCTTTCCCGTTGCGGCGCAATCTGTCGCGCTTTCTGTCGCGAGCAAGGAGACTAACCGCGACGAGCTGCACGCGGAACGGTCCGCAGTCTTCGGACCCGGAGGAAGAGGGCAAGAGGAGAGGCTCGAGCGCTCACGCACTCGCAGGACAGTGCCGCTCTCGCTCGCAGACGACAAGCACGCCCGGCGCACTGAGAACGAGTCATGCACAGAGAGGAAACTACAGCGAGTCGACGAGGAAGCCGACACTGTGCGCGCCCGCCAAGTCGAAGTTCCTGCCCCTCCTCGAGTCGCCCGCCCGCCGCTCGTCACCCGCACCTACTGCCTCGTCGCCGCGATGACCTCCTCGCTCGTCCACAGACGCAGGCGGTCGTACTCGTTGGCCGGCACGATCTCGACCGCCGAGCTCGTCGGCATGGTCAGGTTGGCGGACGCGGCGAGCTGCTGCTGCACGACGAGGCGTGGCGCGAAGCGGAACGTCGTAGACGTCTCGAGCCACTCGGGTGCAGAGTCGAGGCGGTCGTGGTTCGGGCTGCGGGTGGGCGGGAGCAGGGAGGACGAGGAGGTTTGGCAAGGGGGTGGATGGAAGGGTAGGTGGAACAGACGACGAGGGCGCGAGTCAGTGAGGGCATGCGAGGACGCAGGAGAGAGAGCAAGAGGCACTCGTTGTGCTTGAGGAAGCTTGAGAGGTACGCGCGCCACCTGCGGAAGGAAGGAGGGAGGGTCAGCCGCAAAGTCGGAGAGAGCGGCTTGAGGACGACGACGCACTCGTAAGCGACGGCAGCCTCGGTCGAGTTCATCGTGCTCGTCGCGTTCTGGAGGTGCTACAGGCGGAGAAGAGGAAAAAGTCAGGCTCATCCCCGTGACGAGCGACTTGAGGAGAGAGAGAGGGGGACGGACCCAGTTGTCCGCCGAGTGGGTCGCGGCGTAGTATGCCGGGAACTTGTCCGTCTGCGGCGCGTCGAAGCGATAGTACCAGCTGCCGAGGCCGGCCTTCTTGTAGGCCTGCGAGATCGCGAAAGCGGCGCCCGTGAACGTATAGTCGTTGCCGAGCGCCCAGCCCTGCGTGTCGCTCGTGAGGTACGTGTTCGTGTTGGCCGAGGCGTTGGCGATCGGGGCAGGGTAGATGCGCTCGAGCTCCTTGAGGAGGTCGGGCGTGATGCCGGGGCCAACGGTCGAGGTAAAGTTGGCCGACGGGTGCGGGTTGAGCTGGCCCATCTCGTTCGTCACATCTCCAGCTGTCGCGACGGCGAGGTGAGTTCAGGCGCTGTGCACGCGTGAGAATGAGAGAGAGGGACGCACTGATGACGGGCACCTTGGCGATTTTGCCCTTGTTCAGAAGGCGGATAGGCTGGTCCGTGAGCGTCTTGCCGTCGATCGAGGGCAGCCAGCCCGGCCACGAGAAGCTGCAGACGGGGACAGCGTGTAAGTCTAGGCGTTCTAGTTACACTGCGGTAGCCGAGAGGAAGCTGTAGACGGACCCGTTGTCCTGCGTCGTCTTGGCAAAGTCGAGGGCGGCGAGCCGGATCTTCTCGGCGGGTACGGCGCGCATGCACTCGAGCTGCTTCTTGGCGCCGTCCTGGGTCGAAGCCGAGTCGGAGCAGTTGACGAGGCGCGCAAAGGCGTCGTTGCGGGTCTGCGGCGAGGGGCAGAGTGAGCTCCTCTGAGTTTAGGAAGGTCGCCTCGAGCGACAGCTCGAGAGGACGATGAACATGCTCGACGCACCGTGAGCTCCTCGATCTTGTACGCGGCGTAGTTCTGGTTGCTGCGAGGAATCGCCTTTTGGTAGTTGGGCTTCTGACCGTCGTACAGGACGAGCTGCGACATGATGATGCCGCCGCCGCCGCTCTGGCCCGCGATCGCGATGTTCTTCGGGTCGCCGCCGAACGCCTGTGTAGCCGAGATGGAAGGGAACGTGAGATTTGGGAGGCGAGGCAGGAGAGAGAGGGAGAGAGAGCTGCGGTCAACGCACGGCGATGTTCTCGCGGACCCAGTCGACGGCGAAGCGGCCGTCGAGCAGGCCGAGGTTGCCCGGCTCGCCCTCGTACCGCGAGCCCATGCTGTTCCAGTTGCCGAGCCTGTGGGACGAGAAAGTATGAGCGCGCGCGCGTGCGCGTGCCCTCCTAGACGAGGGAGAGGAGGACGCACAGGCCGAGGCGATAGTTGGCGTTGACGGCGATGAAGCCCTTGTCCTGGCCGACCCAGTCGGAGAAGTCGTTGTTGGGCGACTGCGAGTTCTGCATGCCTGCGGGAGGACCGACGAACGAGGTCAGGCAGGGAGCTCGGAAGGGTTCGAGGGACGAGGAGGGAGCGCACCGCCGCCGCTGCGGGCAAGGACAAAGCGTCAGTGCGGGTCGAGGAGAAGAAGCAGAGCAAGTCCGACGCACTGTGTGTAGACGTGCACGGGGAGCTTGTCGCCCTTCTTGGCCCCTGCCGGCGCCCAGATCCACAGCTGCGAGAGGGAGAGGAAACGAGCGCGTCAGGGCCGAGGCGGCGAGTCTCGACAGGCGCGAGGGCGAGCGGGGCGCACCTTGAGGCAGTCTTCAGTGCCGGGCGAGGCGTTGACGCCGACGAACGAGGTCGTGCCGAACTGGACGCACGCCGTGATGTGGCCGTCAAAGTCGGCCGACACATCTTGCACCGTGCTGTTCTGCGTCGCGAGGGCACGAGGGGCCTTGAAGCGCAGGTCGCCGACAGGAGGGGCGGCGTACGGGATGGCTGAGTGCGCGAGAGTGGGTCAGGACGGCGAGTCCGGCGGGAGTGGGGGAAGGGCATGAGCAAGGGGCGCACCTTTCCAGCTGTGCACGGTCCCGTTGTTCTGCACCGTGCCCTTCCATTTGCCGTGCTTGCCGAGGTCGACGACGGGCGCGCTGTCGTGGTTGGCGGAGGACGGCGCGGGCGCCGCCGAGGCGGACGAGGCGAGGACGACGGTCGCGAGGAGGGCAGCGAGCGACGAGGTGTGCATGGCCGGCTGTCGCGTTCTAGCTGAAGAGAGAGAGAGACGAGCAGGATCTCGGGCGGGGCACCTCTGGCTTGGAGCAGCTCGCCCGAGTGCCCCGCCCGGCGGCAAGAGAGCCGCAGAGCGCGCGAGAAGGATCAAAGCAAGCGTCGTTCCGGTTACTAGCCGGACGTGCGCGGCCCGCGCTCTCGCACGAGTGACCGGTGTCGACGGCGTGACCTTGCATCTGCACTAGGGCGTCTCGGTCAGCTGGTGGAGCCAGGAATGGGTGCGGCCAAGGGGGGAGAGGAGGCGTGGGGGACGAAGAACGAGCAGCGCACTCACTCAGGTGTTCTTGCGGGCCACCGATCCACCGCGTTGAGCTCTGCCCGGTCCACTGGGGCCGTCTCGCCGCTGGGCGAGGTCGAATTGCGGAGACAGGGAGGAGGAACTGATGAGAACGAGACAAGGTGTCGGCGACCAGGCGCGGCGCCACGAGCGGTATGGACAAGGGGACTGCGCGGAGCCGAAGCAAAAGTGCAGGGTGCACGGTTGCGCTGTTGCCCTCGAGCGAGAGTTGATGTTGCGAGGGCGAGTGGCTCTCGCTCCTCGTTCGCCTCGTCACTCCACTCCTTGCCTGCACCAGCTGCACAAGCCAGGGCCAGAATCGACATGCCTGCAGCCCCTCCCGCGCAATCGGGCAAGCGCGCGCCGCCCAAACTCGACCTGCGCGCCTTCCAGTCGAGCACCCCCACAACTCCTCGGCGCAACTTCCCCCGACACCTCGTCGACACCCACATGCACCTGTGGACGCACGAACAGCTCGCTACCGGCTCCGTCAAGTGGCCGACAAACGAGGGCGGTCTCCCGCAGCTCGTCGGGCCCCACGAGCTCGCGGCGTACGGCGCCGTCGTCAACGGCGGCATCAAGCTCGTTGGCGGCGGCAAGAGCGAGTTCCGCGGCGTCGTCTTTGTGCAGGCAGAGCGAGTCCAGTCCTCGGGTCGGCCGAGGCGCGAATCGAGCTGACCTTGTTCCTCCTCGTCGCAGAGCCGAGCACGACGACGACGACGTCGACGGGAGCAAGGGCGGGTGGGACGCTGCTCTCAGCGAGGTCGACTCGTGCGTCCTCAGTCCTTCCTTCATACTGTCGAGCGTGGCGGTACTGACCCTCACCCGTGCCGCAGGGTCTGCTCTGCCGCCCTCGACTCTACGGTCCCCCTCCTCGCCCTTGTTCCCTGGGCGCCCGTCCACCACGGCCGAGCGGCGCTGGCCCTCTTCCAGTCGCGCCTACTCGCCCTCCCGTCCCTTCAAGCCCTCGCCGAGCGCCTCGGCTACGCGCCCGTCAAGTCGTTCCGGTACCTCCTCCAGGACTCGCCGCCGGGCTTCTTCCAGTCCGACAGCTTCGTCGACGGCCTCAAGTGGCTCGGCGAGAACGGCTACGCGTTCGACATGACGCTCGATGTCACGCACGAGGAGACGGGGCGCACGAGGGTCCTCGAGGACGCCATCGACGCCATCGAGCGCGTCAGGGTCGGTCAGGAGGGGGCTCAGCAGACTGTCTTTATCCTCGGTGCGCACCACGCTCTCTACACCTTCATTTCGACGTCTGCTGCAGGCGTTCTCCTGCGCGTCGCCCACTGACCCTCGTGTCGCGCACGCAGACCACTGTGCCAAGCCGCCTCTCACCGCCGACCCGTCCTACCCTCCCGCCGCCTCGCTCACCGCCTACATCGCCGCCCTGTACCAGCTCGCCCTCCTCCCCAACGTCTACCTCAAGCTGTCGGCCCTCCTCGACTCGGCCGACCGCGAGACGGTCGCCGCCGCGTTCGCCGAGTTCAGCTCGGGCGAGTACCGCCGCAAGCGCAAGGACGGCGCGTACGACCGGCTCAGGAGCAGGATCGGCGCCGTGCTCGAGCCGGCCGTCGAGGCGTTTGGCGAGTCGCGCATCTTGGTCGGCAGCGGTGCGCCTCCCCTATCTCTCTCTCTCGTCCTCGTGCAGGTTCTCAGAGAATGCGCCTGACCCGACTTTGCCCTGTCGTACCTCTCCCTTTCTCTCTCTCGTCCTCGTGCAGGTTCTCAGAGAATGCGCCTGACCCGACTTTGCCCTGTCGTACCTCTCCCTTGCTCGCCTCGTCGACCCGGCCGTCGAGTCGGCGGCGTGGGCGTTCGAGATGCAGCTCTACCTCGACTGCCTGACGGGTCTCGGCCTCGAGGGCGACGCGCTGGACGCGCTCTTCGAGGGGAACGCGAGGGTGGCGTACAAGCTGGGCGGCGGTGCAGCGGCGACCTGAAGTGCGAGGTCCGGGCCAGGGCAGGGACCGGTGCTTGAGCACTGTAGATCCTCTGAGATAGACTGTCGGAGAAATGCAGCCAGTCCTTGCCCCCTCAGCTTTGTGCTCAGCGGCGAAAAGCGCGACATCAGGGCCAGGGGACGGGGACGGTGACCCCGCGTTCGCCGAGATGGAAGGAGCGGGGCACTCTCCTCCTCCTCGCACCACCGCTGCCCTTGCTGCACGGACACGCACACCATGGGCCTCTTTCGCCGCTCGTCAGTCGCCTCGTCGGCCAGCGACACGTCGTCGGTCACTCAGAGCGACTCCATCTCGTCCGCCGCAACCTCCCTCTCCAAGTGAGCCCCAGCTCGTCCTCTCGCAGCGCAGCGGCCGTGCGCGCACCCTTGCTGACCCGTGCCGCCACCCCTTGCAGAGCCTCGTCGTCGAGCAAGGTCAAGGCGAGCGACCTGCGCTTCCCGATCAACTCTGCCTCGCCAAACTCGCGCATCCTCTCCATCCCTGCCGACGCCAACGGCTACGCCCCTCCCGCCAACCGCACCGAGTCGGTCATCTCGGGCGACCGCGCGAACGGCAGCACGGCCGCCGCCGCCGGTGGGCGTCCACCCAGCCTCCGCCGCAGGAGCAGCTCGGCATCCCTCAAGGCCGCCCCTGCCGCTCGCTCGACCACCGGCTCGACGTCGTCGAACGGCCAGACGTCTCGGGCGAGCCAGATCGCGGCGGGCGTCGGCGCCGTCAAGCTCGGCGACGACGAGGGCGACGACTCGAGCTCGGCGACCTCGTCCGACGACGACGACGACGAGTTCGAGGACGCCAAGGGCGGCGCCTCGTCTGCGTCCGAGGCCGAGACCAAGCGCGCGCCGCCGGCACGGAGCCAGGGCGTGCGCGGGCCGCCGCAGCCGCTCAAGCCGGGCAAGAGCAAGGCGGCAAAGCTCGCCGTCGCCAAGACGGAGGAGGACCTGACGCCGAGGACCAAGATCGGCAAGCAGCTGCACGAGTTGACGCCGCAAGACGTTGCGCTCACCGAGGACGACATCCGCGAGGACATCAGCGTCATCTGGAAGGCCATGTGCGTCTGCTCTCTCTCCCTCTCGACCGGCGAGCACCTCGAGCCGAGCCAGACTCACCCTCGCGTACTCGCTCGCAGGCACCTGTTCATGTCGTCGCGCATGATCGAGGCCGAGGACATCTGCCTGTCGGCGTGCGACCACCGCCTGTACTACTCGGTCGGGTACTCGCTCATCCAGGCCATCAAGTCGCTCGCGACGTTCGAGCCCGAGGACCTCGAGGCGGCCATCCAGTGCTGCAAGGACTCGATCACGATCACGCAGCTCTTGCGCAAGAAGGACCACGGCCTGTTTGAGCGCGTCGGCAGCCTCGCAAAGGGCTCGACGAGCGTCCAGAGCATCAAGAACATGACGCTCGTCCAGCGCCACGCCGAGCTCGTCTTTGCCGAGTGCACCCTCCTCAAGGTGCGTCCTCCTTCTCTCTCTCTCTGCCGTCCTCGAGCGTCTCCTTCTCGAGCCGCATCCTGACCTCGACGTTCCTCCCGCTCGCAGGCGGTCCTCGGCATCATCTACTCGGGCGACTTCCTCGCGTTCCTCAAGGAGGCGCTCAACATGCGCAACGCGTACGCCATCTATCGCACGCTCGCCAAGTACGTCGAGACGGCCGACCAGGAGTATCACGGCCCGGGCGACGAGGACCCGGCCATCGACCAGGACTTCCGCTCGGGCGTCCGCCTCGGCAACGGCATGATCAGCCTCATCCTGTCGCTCCTCCCGTCGGCCGTCCTCAAGATCATGGAGGTGTTCGGCTTCACGGGCGACCGCGACTGGGCCTTGTCGACACTCATGAAGGCCGGCGGGTGGAAGGCTCGGGTCGAGGAGCCCAGCATGGACCCGGCCAAGGAGGGCATCCGCAGGCCGAGTGCGTCCTTGCCGACTCTCTCTATCGTCCAGAGCGAGGTACTGACGAGTCCTCGGTGCCCGCAGTCTGCGACATGGTCCTCCTCATGCACCACCTCGTCATCGCCAACTACCTCCCGTTCGTCCCTGTCCTCGTTCGCGCAATCTCGGCGTCCTCGCGAGATTGACTCTTTTCTTCTCGACTACGTGCAGCGTCGGCGGTGTCGACGTCCCGACGGCGGCCAACATCCTCCACTACAACCTCGACCGGTACCCGACCGGGTGCGTCTCGCCTCCCCCTCATGGGCCTCTCTCGTTCCGGCATCACTGACACCTTATCTGCGGCCTGCAGCATCTTCTTCCTGTACTTTGCCGGCCGCCTGCACTCGACCGAGACGATGCTCGAGGACGCCATCAAGTCGTTTCGGCTCGCGATCCAGGCGCAGCGCGAGTACATCCAGCTCGGGCACATCTGCTACTGGTGGGCTCCCTCTCGATCTTCCTCTCTGCGTCGGACGACGACGAGGGTCCTGACGACCGCTCGTCTTGCGTGCAGGGACCTCGGCCTCGTCTCGCTCGCGCAGGGCTCGTGGGCCAAGGGCTACGAGTGCTTCACGATCCTCGACAAGGAGTCGAACTGGTCCAAGGCCATCTACGCGTACGCCAAGGCGACGACCTTGTACGAGGACGGCATCGAGGCGGCCAAGGCCAACCAGACGATGTCGCAGGTGCCCGACCTCATGCAGCGCATCGCCGGCAAGTCGATCCCGCTCGAGAAGTTTGTCGCGCGGCGGGCCCGCAAGTTTGTCGCGCAGGGCAACCGCCTCACGCTCCCCGGCATCGAGCTCGCCTACGTCCTCAACTGCCTCGGCCTGAGCCCGCGCTTCATCCTGTTCGAGGAGCACCTCAACCAGGTGTCACAGGTCCTCGCCGAGCTGCACGCCGTCAAGGAGCCCGAGCAGTACGGCAAGAACGGCGACGAGTACTGGGACGGTGCGTCGTCCCTCGCAGCCACTCTCTCCTCCTCCTCGGCTCTCGAGCCGGCCATCCTGTACGTCGACTGACTCTGGCCCCGCGTTTGCAGACTACTGCCTCGCCCACCTCCTTCGCGGCATCATCCTTCGCTTCATCTCGCACCCGGAGCCGCACGTCGTCGCTCGGCCGGAAGAGTCGCCCATCCCGATCGACGAGGCCGACGAGCAGGCGCTCATCTCGTTCAAGTACGCCCCACGTCCTCCTTCTCGAGCTCCCGACCTCACCTGACACTCTCTCGCGTACGCAGCAACGTCCTCAAGCACGGTCGCGACATCTCGCACGACCACCACGTCGTCTGGTTCGCCCGTGCGTCCCTCTCCCCTCCATTTTCTCCCCTCGCCCTCGCCTGACCGACTCTCTCTCGCCCACAGACTACGAGCTCGGTCGCCTGTACCAGTCCAAGGGCGACTGGGCCCTCGCGCGCGAGCAGTACGAGCTCGTCATGAGCGGCAAGCACCTCGAGGTCAACACGGCGAAGAAGGGCAAGGGCAAGGTGTCGCTCCAGGTGCGTCCTCGGCTTGCTCTCTAGGCTCCCCTCTCGCCCGCAAGTACTGACTGAGCTTCTTCACGCAGAACATGGCCGTCTTGCGCTCGAACGCCGGGCTCCAGATGCTCAAGGAGCAGGGTCACTGAGCGTCGGCCGGCTCTTTCTCTCTCTCCCCCTCTCACTCTTTCTTAAGGGCGATCCTTGAGTTGTACACTTAGTCTGTGCCACCTGTAGCTCTTCCATAGTCTGTTGCGAATCTTGTATACCCGGACCTGCACGCACCGTCTAGAGATTGAGAGCTCGACGAGAGGCTCGAACTTGGGAAGGGCGCTCAGGCCTCGCTGCGCTCTCTCGGCTCTCGGCTCTCGAGGCGCGACAGTGCGCCGCAGACAGCTCACAGCTCTCGTTGCAGGCGCGAAGAGGATTCGAGAGGAAGATGTGCAGGTCGCATTGCAGAGCGAGGCCGAGGAAGGCGCGGACCGCTCGCGAGGATACGAGCGGCCGTGCAGCGGTGTCGGGGAATGCTGCCCGCGTGTGTCGAGCAGACGAGAGTCCGCTCAGCATCGAGAAGACCGGCGACGGAGCCGTCGAGGAGCAGCCGGCGGAGGACGGCGAGAGGGAGGAGAGGAGGAGCGCGAGGCAGAGGCGCTGCTCACTCGCTGCTCGGGGGAGAGCCTGCTCTTCTGAGCTGGAGGATGTGCGCGTTACACGCTTAGGTCCAGCGGGTGGGAGCGAGAGCGGTCGAGGTTGAACAACAAGGCTCGCTCGCCCTCCTCCCCCTCCTCCCACCACAGCCCTGCCGTACAGCTGCACGGCCACCAGCACCACACTATCTGCGTACCTCGACCCTACAGCAGCACCCACACGCTCGGCCCCCTCAGCAGCACACGCGTCGTCGGCCTCCTCCCCCAGCCTCGGTCGACTCTCGTCATCAGCTCCTGTCCATTCCCTCGCCTCGTACCGCGCCAGTCGCCTGCCCAGCCACCATGTCGCACGGCACCGACAGCCACGCCGACCCGGCCAACGCCCACGAGCCCGTCGCCTCGACTTCGACCCTTCCTCCTCCCGCTCGCCGCCTCGCGACCCTCGGCAACCTCCCGCCAGAGCTCAAGCTCCTCATCGTCCAGGCCGTCGCCCGCCTCGACCTCGAAGACGACGGCGACAAGCCCATCCTCCCGCCGGCCCACTGGGTCGACGACGTCTACGGGCCCGACGACGACGACTCGCCGTACCAGTTCGGCGCCAAGCGTCGCAGCAGCTCGCAGTGGCCGGCCGGGCGCATCCGCCCAGATCGTCCCAAGGACGACTTTGGCGAGGGCGAGGGCGATGACGACGGCAGCTGGGCCGACGTCGACGAGCTCGAGCTCGACGACGAGGGCAACCCGTCGCCCGAAGCGCTCGCCAAGGTCCGCGAGCAGTACGCGGTCGACATGGCCGACGCGCTCGCCCCGACGGGCATCGACGCCCTCACGCTCGTCAACCGCGAGTTCAGCGCCATCGCGATCCCGATCAAGTGGGTGGTGCGTCCCCGTCCCTCTCTCTCTCTCTCGCGTCGCCAAGCATCCGGCTTCACCGCGTCCTCCAGCTGACTCGCCCTGCCCCTACAGGCCCTGGACCTCAGTGAGCGCTCCAACGAGGCCATCGCCATGGCCGTCTGCACGATCCTCCCTCATCGCGGCCTCCACGTCCGGTCGATCCAGTTCGCCCAGGCCCCGTTCAAGATGTACGACAACGACGACCAGCCCGACAACGCCGACTATCCCGCTGTCCCCGACGTCCCGCTCAGCGACCAGTTCCGCGAGGTCATCGAGGCGATTGAGCATGTCTGCGGCCATTCGGGCGTGGGCGTCTCGAACGAGCGGCGGGTTCGGCGCGTGCGCAGCATCCTGCTCGCCACAGTCGTCCGTCTGTGCAGCAACACGGTTCGTGTTCACGGCGAGACGTTCCCGCGCACGCGCCTCCAGTGGCTCGACGACGCCGAGATCGAGGACGAGGCCGACATCGACGACCACATGGCCGTCTACGCCCACGACCACGCGTTCGAGAGCGTCAAGAAGTACCTCGGCCCGCAACTCGTCGACCTGACGCTCGTCGTCCCGGACGACGGTGTCACAAACGAGCTCGACGTCGCCGACATCATCGCGGCGTGCCCCAAGCTCCTCCGCCTCGAGCTCGACGTCGGGCTGCCCGAGGGCGACCGCGCCCACCGGCTCCAGCTCCACGACGCCCTCGCAGCGCTACCGGCGCTCGAGGTCTTCGCCCACTCGGCGGGCGTGTTCATCAACGACGAGTTTGCGGCGCGCGACGACGTCAAGTGGCCGCTCAAGCTGCTTGGCCTCGCCGAGTGCGAGAACCTGTCGTTCCCGTCGCTGCGCAAGTTTGTGCACCGGTTCAAGGCGACGCTCGAGTGCCTCGACCTCGACGGCGCGCCGCACACCAACGTCGACCGCGACAACGACGCCTTGTGCGCGCTCGCGTTCGACCTCCCCAAGCTCGACACCCTCATCCTCTCGACGCAGCAAGAGGCGCCCTTCCTCGTGTCGGCGTTCGCGTCGTGCCCGATCGAGGCCCTCACGCTCGGCTTCTGCCCGGCCGTCGACCTCCACGACCTCGAGACGTTCATCGACGTGCACGCCCTCACGCTGCGCCGCATCGAGGTCGCCGGCGACGCGGCCCTGAGCGAGGCCCAGGTCGAGAGCCTCGAGGTCCTGTGCCACGCCAAGGGCATCGAGTGCGAGCTCCTCCCGCCGGACGACGACGACAGCGACCTCGACGACGACCCGAGCGAGTGGGGCGGCATCGTCGCAGACGGCGACGACGACACGGACCAGGACGAGTGGACCGAGGAGGACGACGATGCCGGTGATTGGAGCGACGAGGAGGAGGACGAGTAGAAGGTGCGGCAGCTGTCGGACGGCTCGTGTGGACGCGCAAGGCGAGGTCTTCTTTCCCACTTTGCGAGCTTCGCCAGTCGCGCCTTTCGCTCTCTTTCCCCGCCCAGGGCATGCTCGAGAGCCGAGAGGAGAGGATAGCTTGTACGGCGGAGAGCTTCGCGACAGAGGCGACGAGAGCGAGTGCGAGAAGTGCGAGGACTTGTGGCCGCCTCCCTTCTCCTCCCTCCCTCCCGGCTCAACCCGCTCGCACCACTGCAGCGCGTCACCGACACCTCTCCCGGCCCCGTGCACCTTCTCGGGGCACCTGTCGACCTGCGCCGCCCCCTGCAACGCGCTCGCCAGCTCGCCAGACCGCCCCGCATCTTCATCAGCGATTCTCGACAACTCGACTACCACGACTCGCAGGGACTCCTTCAGCACCCCGAGGCGTGTCAGGGTGGCTTGGGAGGAATATGGCGCGAGTGGAGCGCCGTGCGAGGCTTGAGAGAGCCGGTGCGTCCCGCTCCTCCTCCTCCTCGTGTTTGGTCACCCTTTGCACCTTTCCCTCTCACTGGCAGGGCTCATGTAACGCCTCTACGACGCGTCCCTGACTCATCTCGACCCTCTCGCAGGTGGCACGGCTGCGGAAGACGAGCCGGCGGTCAGCTGGGCGCCGCGAGGACTGTCGGTCTTCCTCGAGCGGGCACGTCTAGCTCCTTGTGCGTCCCTCTCGCTCTCCTCCTCGCCTCCAGTACACTCGCATGGACCTATCCTCCTCATTGAGCCGCGCACTGACCCCCTCGACCTCGCGCCGCAGCTTAGCCGAGCCCTCGATGGCACTCTCGCCCCTTCTCGGACTCGAAAGCTTCTCCTTGCGCTGTCCGGCTTGGCCACAGGCGCCGCCGCTCCAGTAACACGAGCTATCTTGTCCTCTGAGAGCGAGCCCGGGCTGCTCAACTCGCCCGCTTTGTCGTCGCACTCGTCCCGGCGGCCGAGCGAACCGAGCCGCCGAGTACGGGTCTTTACGAGGCCGCGCCCGCCCTCTCGTGCCCCTGAGGGCAGCGGGCGCGCTACGGTGAGCCGCTCGCACGGACGCAGCCCCTGCGGAGGCGTCCGTGCGCCCGGCCACCTACTCGAGACAGGGGGATCCTGCGCACCCTCGCTCAAACGCTATCTCTTGATTTAGCGTGGTTGGGACATTCTGCTTGGGCCAGGTCGAACGAGGAGGTCTCTGCGATGCAATAGACCGCGTTTCCTGAGCTACTTTGTCGTGTGGAGCGCGAGCTGGCCGGCTCGTTTGCCTTCTCAAATTCGAGGTGCGCGAGGCGACTTAGCTCTTTCCGCCGGCGTGTTCACTCGCGAGCTCTCTCCGTGAGAACTCGAGAAAACGTCCCGGGTGTGAGAGAGAGTATGGGTGTCACTTGATGCTGCAAAGCTCGTCCACCTCCGCGACGTGCTTCTCGAGCTGCCGCGGGCCAATTCTGCCCAACTTCTGCAAGAGCGGCTTTCGCGACACTTCTCCTCGGTATCCAGGAGGCGCACGATGCTCGCTGGCCATCGCTGAGCGACGCAGGCTCGCACAATCGTCGCAAAGTCGCGAGCGCGCTGCCGTGACGGCGCCTGCGACGAGAGGCCGTATGACGCTTCGCCGGCTCCACCGCTAGACCTGGGCCCGACTGACGAGTGCCCCGTATTGACTGGGCACCAGGCCCGAGCTCCTGGGGGAGGAGGAACGTCGCTCCGAAAGTCGACGTAGTTGGGCTCGCCAGTTCAATTCAAAATCGGTGCAGCAGGCGACCTCGCGTCGCACAGGCGAGCTCTCGCAGACGCCTTGCTCGAGACGATATGCGAAGTACTCTCGAGCCTCTCGCCACCTCGTAGTAGCTCTCGGCGGACAACTCTCGTCGGCGCGCGGACCTTCTCAAGTTGAAAGAGAGGTTCACTTCTTGCTCTTTACTGAGATTGATAGGTATGGACAACTGCTAAGAAACAGCCCGTTTACTGCTCGTCGGTGTTGCCGGTGGACTTGCCGCCCTTGGCGCCCTCAGCAGCCGCACGCTCGCGGTCGCCGCCAAAGCCTGAAGGAGGAAACGAACTGTCAAGCGACGCTTCTTGAGCGAGAAGAGGGGCGTGCGCGACGTACCGTGCTCCGACGACATGCGCTTGTCGGGCTCGCCGTTCTTCTTGAGGCCGTCTGTTGAGTCGAGGCCCGTCAGTCGCTTGTGCGAGGAAGGAAAGGTGGGAGAAGGAGAAGACGCACCGTGCTCCGAGGGCTTGTAGACCTCGTCCGGCTGCGTGGCGCCGCCCTTCTTGCCCTGCTCCGAGGCGAACTCGTGGTCGTTCGAGAAGGTCTTGCTGTTGTCCGACTGAGAAGGAGCAAGGAGGAGGGAAGGGAGAGAGGAGGGTCAGAGAACGGAAGAGGGAAAGGTGGACGGGAGAGGGGTGCGCACCATGGTGGGAGTGTGTTGGGTGCGGGTGGGAAGAGTGTAGGAGAGTGGTGTGAAGAGAAGAGAGAGCGAGAACCGCTCCTCGCTCGCCTCTTGTACCCCCCACGGGCTCGGATGGTGTCACGGACCCCTGCGATGCGAATCTCGCTTGACGTCGCAGCGTCGCAGCGAGCTTTCCATCACCTGATTCTGCAGCCGGGAATCGCTGTTCATTACGGCGACGAGACCGCGCGACAACTGTAGATCGGGCTCGCGCAGCGAGGTTCGAGGAGGGGACGAATCACGATGCCGCGAGGAGGGCGCTCGCGCTGACAGCTCGCGCGTCGGAACTGACGAACTCTCTAGATGCGTGGACGGCGATGCGCATCGCTGGGTACGTCAAGCCGATGGCTTTGCCGAGCCGTTGAGCCGGTCGACACCGTCAAGCGTCGATTTGAGAAGGTCAACTCGGACGTGGTGAGGTCAACTTCTCGAGCTGTCGTCACTTGGTCGGCGGGGAAAGGGTCGCGTTTCGGCTCGAGAGATCCAGCTTCCGGAGATCAGTAGACGCTCGAGTAAGCTGATCGCAGATCTGGCATCGAGAAGCGGCGGCCGCAGCTACGCGACCCGCACGGACCTCGTCGATGCCGCTTCCTCTCGTCGTTCTCTCGGGCGAGCTGGCTGCATGCAGTCGCTGCAGAACAGACACAGAGTGGAACGATAGTATGGCAACACAACCGCTGCTACGTACCCTCGCCCTTCCGCCGACGTTCGAGCCGCTCACTTGGACGCGACCTCTCCTGCGGGACCCGCCGGGGCGTCCACCGGCGCCACCGCTGCGACCGAGACCGTGCTGCTCTGCTGGCTGAACGTCGCACGCGTCGGCGTCTGCTGGCTGGCGGCCCACGCGTCGGGGTCGCGGATAAAGGCGTGCTGGAGGAGCTCCTTGGCCGACGGGCGGTCCGTGTGCTCGATCTCGAACGTCTGCTCGAGAAAGTCGTCGGCGTCGGTCGAGATGTCGTCGGGGACGGTTGGGCGACTCGAGGAACCGATCTGCAGGATACAAAGAGGTCAGTCGGGGTCCTCTGAGGAAGGAAGAGAGGAAGAGAGAGCGGCGACGGACCCGGAAGATGGCCTGCATCTGGGTCAGGTTGGCCCACGGGTGCGCACCCGTGAGCATCTCGACGACGAGGCAGCCGAGTGACCAGATGTCGGCCTTGCTCGTGTAGGCCGTCTGCTTGACGACCTCGGGCGCCATCCAGTAGACCGAGCCCTGGAGCGACGGGCGATGCACCTTGGCGCCGGTGAGAAGGTCTGCGCACACGACCGAGTCGAGTCAGTACCGGCAAGAGTCGCACGAGGGTAGAGGGGAGGGTCGACGCACTGTCCTCGACCTTTTTCGAGATGCCAAAGTCCGAAATCTTGATGTTGCCCTTGTTGTCGACGAGGATGTTGGCGCCCTTGATGTCGCGGTGGATGATCTCGCGCTCGTGGAGGTAGTCGAGGCCGGTGAGGATCTGGCGCACGAACTTGCCGACGAGGGCCTCCTCGAACGCGCCGTAGTTCTGCAGGAGCGCTGCGACCGACCCGCCGGGCACGTACTCGAGGAAAATGTTGAGGTGCTTGTCGTCGGTCGACGAGTCGAGGTACTGCACGATGTCTGCGGCGAGATTGGGTGTCAGGAACGGTATCGGTTGGTCGAGGAGGAAGCGAGAGAGAGGGAGAGGGACGCACTCTCGTGCTGGAGGACCTTGAGGAGCTCGATCTCGCGCTCGAGAGCCTCGAGCATGCTCTTCTTGCGCTCCTCGTTGTGCGAGTTGCCCGTCGGGAGCTCGACCTGCTTGACGGCCATGAGGGAGCCCATGGTCGGGTTCATGCCGAGGAAGACGGACCCGAACGAGCCGGCGCCGATGAGCGCGCCCTTGATCCACTTCATGCCTGCGGGTGAGAGCGGGCCGTCAGTACGAGGTAGGAGAGAGGGCGAGAGGGAAAAAGAGAGGACGCACCCTGCGGTTTGGCCGTGCCCGGCTCGTCCTCCTCGACCTCGTCCTCGTCGTCCTCCTCATCGCTCAAGTCGTCCTCGTCGCTCAGGTCGTCGTCAAAGTCGCTCTCGGCCGTCTCGCTCCCTTCCCCAGCGTCGTCCTCGTCGCTGCCCCTCGCGCCGGCGCCGACGCTCGCCCGCCAACTCGCGCGCCGCGTCTCGAGGTCGGCCGTCACCTCGTCGACCGTGATGATGCTCGCCGCGTCCGAGTCCTTGCTCCTGCGCTCCCACAGGCTCTGCGCGCCGACGCTCAGGCGCGACGAGCCCGAGAGGCGCGACATGCGGCGCGAGAGGCGCTGAGGGCGACCGGCGGCGTCGAGGTGGCTCGGCGCGAGCGACGACGCGAGCGAGCGCGTCTCGGCGAGGTCGCCCGTCGTCGAGGTCGAGGACGACGTCGACGAGTTGAGCGCCATGGCGGACGACTCGGGGCGGTCGGCGGCCGTGTCGTTGCGGTCGCCCGCCTCCTCCTCGTCGGCCTCGTCCGGCGGATCGAGCATCGACCCGCTCGAGCTGCGCGGCGAGCGGTTGCCCTTGATCGACGGCGCGCCCGGGAACGGGACCGAGCTGACGTTGACGCCCGGCGGCTGCGTGATGTGGAGCTCGGCGGCCGAGCCGTTCGACGAGCCGCTGAACCGGCTCATGTCGGCGCTCTCGACGACGCCCTCGAGCGACGGCCGCGCCGACGGCTCCTTCTCCCAGCTCGTGCTGCCCTTGGGCAGGGCCGGGACGGGCTCGCCGTTGGGGCGCATGCTGCTCGCCCGGCTCGCCCGGCTCGCGACGCTCGCGCCCGAGTGGCGCCGATTGGCGAGCCGGTCGCCGCCGTTCGAGGGCAGGAGCGCTCCACCAGCCCCGACGCCCATGCTCTTGCGGATGCTGGCCCGCACCTGCTTCGAGAGGCGGTACCGCTCGGTCCTCCCCTCGCCCGCGCCGCTCCCGCCGCCTCGTCCGGCGCCGCCGCCGCCTCCGAGCGGGAAGAACTCGGTGAGGTGGCTCGCGATGAGCTCGGACGGCGGGCGCTGGCCGAAGAAGTTGCGCAGCTTGCGCGTCGAGTCGGGGAGGAGCGACCCATGGCGCTCTCGCCACGTCGACGGCGGCGAGTCGGGCGCGCGCGGCACGATCGAGGCCGGTGCGGCGGTGGTGGCGGCGGCGGCGGCCTCGATGCGGCGACGCTGCGGCGCCGACGACGGCGCGAGGGGCTCGTCGGTGCGCGAGCGCGGCGCCTCGCGCCTCGAGCTCGTCCGCTGCGGCGGGCTGTACACGTCGCCCGGGAGCGTGTACCCTGCCCGCTCGTCGAGCGTCGCGCCTGCGCCCGAGCCCGACGACGCGCTCGCCGTCGGGGCGACGGTCGACGCCGGGTTGCCCTCGGCGTCGAGGCCGTGCTCGCCGGCGCCGTAAAAGTCGCGAGCCCAGTCGGGCGCCTCGAGGCCGCTCATGACGCTGACCGTGCTCGCGCGGTTCATCTTGGTCTTGCCGGCGCGGTCGGGGCTCGGCTGGATGACGAGCACCTCGGGGTGCGCCGTCGGGGCCGACGACGGGGCTCGACCGTGGCCGTACGAGTGCGAGTGCGCGTGCGGGAACGGGTGCAGGTCGTGCTCGTCGGCGCTCGAGGTGGACGGGCTTGCGGGCTCGATGCCCATGCGCGGGACGACGACGCCGAGGCCGTGGCCCTGGCCGTGGTAGTGGTAGTTGGGGCTGGTCGGGCTCGTGCCGCTGACGGCGACGCCGTACGGGACCGTGCCGCCAGGTCGGGACAGCTCGGCGACGGCGGCGTGCGACTCGCCAAAGACCCACTGGAGCTTGCGGCCGCGCTTGTCGAGGGTCGAGCTCGCCGCCGTAAGCGGGAACGTCGAGGTGCCGCCCGGCGTCGGCGACGAGGGCTGCGAGAAGGACGCGTGCGAGAGGGCGGGTGGTGATGTCGAGAGTGAAGGGGTGCCGACGGTCGAGGACGAGCCGGGAGGGAGGGTGTGGTGGCGCCGGACGATGAGTCCTCGGGTGCGCTCGGGCGCCGACGCGTTCTGGCACACGGTGTACAGCTCGTGCTCGGTCAACAGGCGAGCTGTGCGCGAGGAAAGAGAGAGCGAGTCAGTACCGGTTCTGAGGACACGACGAGGCTCGAGAGAGAGAGAGAGGGAGACAAGGCGACGCACCTGCGCCGCTGTTCTCGGTGACCCAGACCCCCCACCCGTCCAAGTCCTCGCCCTCCTTGCCGCCAAACTTCTTCATGACCCTCGCGAGCACCTCGCGGCCGTCCTTGGCGTCGGCGACGGCGAGGACCCGGGTCGTGACGCCGTCGGCCGACGTGAACTTGACCGCCTTGCGCATCACCTCGAGGTTGCTGAGCGGCGCCGTGCTCGTCGCCGAGCTTCCCGCCGACGACGACAACGACGCCGGCGTCGTCGCGGCGCGCACGGGCCCACCGGGCGCCGCCGGCGCCGAGAGCGGCGCCCGCTCGGCCGCCATCGCCGAGGGGAGCAGTCCCGCGCCGCCGCCGTACGGGTGCCCAGCGTACGGCGACGGCTCGCGCACCGGCCTCGTGCTGCTGCCGGCGTACGACGAGCTCGACGCCTTGCGATGGCCCGACCCGGAGCCGTACGGCGAGCCGCCGGCGCGGGTCGACAGGGACGAGGTCGACGCGGACGAGGTGAGGCCCGTGGTTGTCGGCGGACCGGGTGCGGGTAGGACGGGCTGCTGCTGCTGCTGCGACGAGGGCAGGCGCGAGACATGGTCGCCGAGCCAGCCGGTCGGCGAGGGGGCGCCGGGCGGCGGCGGCGGGACACGGCCGCTCGGGGGAGGGTGCAAGGGAGGAGGAGGAGGCTCGCGCCGGCCGGACGACAGGGTCGACGTGGCCGAAGATGGTGGAGGGAAGACGGCGCTGCGCGGGCTCGTCGCGTGGCTCGGCGGGCTGCGCTGCTGCTGCTGCTGCTGGAGGTACGCCGACGAAGCCGCCGGCGACGGGATCGCGTTCGACTGGGCGAGGTGCAGCGGTGGAGGGATGCGGTTCCCGACCGAGATGTTGCGCGCCGAGTACGACAGCGAGCCGGCGCGCGCGTTCGGGTGGAGCGACGGCGGGCCCATGGCCGTGTACAGGGTCGACGGCGACGACGGCGCGAGCGGGCTCCCGTGCCGACTCGACGTCGTGCCCGTCGGGCTCGCGGCGACCCTGCCGAGCGCACTCGGGCGTCGCGAGAGGCCGCCTGCGGCTGCGGCAGCTGCTGCGCCGCCGGCGCTGCCCGAGTTGAGCTGGGTCGCGGCGAGGTACTTGCCGCGCAGCTGGCGGATGGCGACGCAGATCTTTACGCGGTCGCCGACGCTGCGGACGCCCATCTCCTTGAGCGCGCCCTGGTCGACCTCGAGGAGGACGGCACCGCGGATGTCGTTGGCGGCAAACAGGTCGGCGTGGGGCTGGGTGGCGAGGTTGGGGAGGGCTGCGGCGAGCCACAGGGCAACGGCCGTGTCGTCCCAGCTCGGGAGGGTCGCGTAGTCGACGCCGTCGGTGCTGCCGGTCGAGGTGGGCGCGAACGAGGGGACGCTCGTCGAGGGGGGCGACGCGAGGTGGCTCGTGCCGAACGAGGTGCCCGGTCGCAGGGCGAGGTTGATGCCGTGCCCGTTGAGCGCGCTGCTCTGGGCGTGGCTCGGGAACGCCGGGCTCGAAGGCGACGCGGCAGCCGAGGTGAAGCCGCCGGGGAGCGCGGTCGCGGCCATGCCGAGGTCGGTGTGCTCTAGCGGTGCACTGTGGCGATGTAGTCGGGGCTCGACTCGAGCTGGCAGGCGAGCTGCGAGGAGCGAGGTGGACGACAAAGGGCTTGGCTCCTCTCTCGTCGCGCCGGGCGGGGCGGTGAGCGACTCGACGTCTCGCACTATCCATTCGACTGCGCTCGAAGTAGCAATCAAAGTGCATTGCCATCCTCGCACTCTACTCGCGCAAGTCGACCACCGCACCGACCACCGTGAGCCAGCTCGCGAACCACTCGTCGTCGTCCGGATCCGACCTGCGCTCGCCCTCCCGCTCGTGTCCTCGCTCCGCCCGCCCGCCCTCGAGCACCTCAGCCACGATGCCCTCGGTCTCGCACGGGTGAAGGAACCAGCTCGGGCGACCGGTCGCCGGGTGGTCCGCCTGCGAGACGAACGGCGTCGCGTCGCCGCTCGAGAGGCCGTGCCCGTCGTGAAAGAGTGTCGAGCGCAGCACCTGCTCGAGGCTGAGAGGGGTACCGGCTGCACAAGGCGGGACGAGAAGCACTCAGCACGGGCGAGGCGAGCGGGAGAAAGGTCCGGGTCGAGGAGGGACGCACAGCTCTGGTGCGCCTCGAACCACAGGACCGGGACGCTGAACGTCGGCGAGTAGCAGATCGAGAGCAGCACCGTACAGCCGAGCTCATGCGACGCCGAGGAAGCCGACTCGACGGCGACAGTCGCCGCGTCGTCGTCGGCCGCAAGAGCGAGCTCGTCCGAGTCGTCGAGTGCGGTGTGCGGCGGCGAGCTTGCCACACGGGTGTAACGACGGTGGAGCGGTGCACGCTCGAGGTAGCCGACGCCGGGAGTCCACTGCGGGGTCGTGCTCGAGGTGAGCTCGGGGTGGGCGAGGAGCGAGGGAGGAGGAAGAGGAGGGACGGACCTTGGACGCGCCGCCGACAGTCCAGCGCCAGCCGGTCGCGAGCGGGTGCCGGACGACGAGGTGCGAGTCGGGTTCAGCGCATTGACGGTGGCGGTCGAGTGTGGCGCGGGCTGCCGCCTCGAAGCTGGGGCGAGAGAGGAGCTGGCGGCGATGAGGGGGAGCCACGGTCGCGGTCGAGGCGGGCGGGCGGGTACAGTTGGCCGAGCCGGGTTGGGCGAAGGTTGGGCTGCGCTGAGCTGAGCAGCAGGGCGGGAGAAAGGGCGGGTGCGCGTCGGTAAGAGCGGAGCCGGTCCGGTCGTCGCAGTGGGGACGACCGCCTCGTCGCTCCTCCTCCTTCTCGCTGTCCTCTCCCTCTCCTGCTACACATCAGATACTCGACAGCACACCATGGACAACTCGCACCCCGTCGTCGCTTACATCGGCCAGGCGTGCGTCCCCTCTCCATCCCTCCCTCCTCCCCACCCCTCGCCGCGACTCTCGATGGCTGACTTCCTCGGCCCCTCTCTCCACCGGCACCTCTTCCTGCAGCGCATGGGCTTTCGTCCAGCCTCACTTCAGCTCCCAGGCCAAGGACCTCCTCACCAACCTCATCTCGTTCGTCGAGGTGCGCCACCTTCTCTCTCCCTCCCCCCTTTCTTCCGGCTCGTCCGGCTCACTCCCGAGCTCCCCGCAGGACGAGTGCATGCCCGCCGAGAAGGTCTTCCACGACCAGATCTCGACCGACCCCAAGCTGCGCTGGAAGTCGTACCCGCAGGTCATCGAGGACCTCAAGGACAAGGCCAAGCAGCGCGGCCTGTGGCAGCTGTGGATGAACAAGGCCCAGTACGGCGAGTACGGCGGCAGGCTCAGCAACCTCGAGTACTCGGTCTGCGCCGAGGTCATGGGCCACGCCATCCGCATCGCCCCCGAGGCGACCAACTCGTCGGCTCCCGACACCGGCAACATGGGTGCGCCCGACTCTCTCTCCCTCTCTCCTCCTTCGAGAGCCTCACTGACTCTCAACTCGCCCCCACGCAGAGGTCCTCGCGCGCTACGGCAACAAGGAGCAGCAGGCCAAGTGGCTCAAGCCCCTCATGGAGGGCAAGATCCGCTCGTCGTTCGCCATGACCGAGCACGGCGTCGCCTCGTCCGACGCGACCAACATCCGCACCTCGATCGTCCTCGACGAGAAGACGAACGAGATCGTCATCAACGGCCACAAGTGGTGGATCTCGGGCGCCGGCGACCCGCGCAACAAGGTCCACCTCGTCATGGGCAAGTCGTGCGTCGCCCATCGTTTCCTCCTCTCTCGTCCCTCCTTGCGAGATACTGAAGCTCGTCGCTCTACAGGGACCCGAAGGCGAGCAAGTACAAGCAGCAGAGCATCGTCATTGTCCCGAGCGACACCCCGGGCGTCAAGCTCGTGCGCCCGATGCAGGTCGTGCGTCCTCTTTCGCTTTCTCTCTTTCTCCTCCCCGTCGTCGCGCCACGTGCGCTTTGGCGTCGAGGCTGGACCGTCCTCGTCGAGCAATCCCGACTGACTCGTCCTCCTCCATCCTCGCGCAGTTCGGCTACGACGACGCGCCCGAGGGTCACTACGAGGTCCTGTACGAGAACGTGCGCGTGCCGGCGTCCAACATGGTCCTCGGATGGGGCCGCGGGTTCGAGATCATCCAGGGCCGTCTCGGTCCCGGCCGCCTGCACCACTGCATGCGCTCGCTCGGCCTCGCGAGTCGCGCGCTCGACCTCGCGCTCCTGCGTGCGACCGACGAGCGCAAGAAGACGTTCGGCAAGAGGCTGTTTGAGCACGGCTCGGTCGTGCGCGAGTTGGCCGAGAGCCGCATCCAGATCGACCAGGGCCGGCTCCTCGTCCTCTCGGCGGCGCTCATCGTCGACCAGCACCCGGAGCGCGCCAAGGGCGCCCTGAGGGAGATCGGCATGGCCAAGGTGCGTCGCCTCGTCTCTCTTTTCTCGGCGGTCGAGACCGTGAATGGCCGTCCTGACCCGGTCGTCCACCCTCCTCCTCCTTGCAGGCCATCATTCCTCGTGCGGTCAACGAGGTCATCGACCGGGCGATGCAGCTGCACGGTGCCGAGGGTATCTGCCGTGCGTCCCAGTCTCTCTCTCTTTCCAAGTCGTCGCAGCGACAGCCTAACTGACCTTCTCAAATTCGCCCTCTTCCTCCACTCTCCTCGCCTCGCCACCTCGCCACCTGCAGAGGACACGCCTCTCGCGCAGATGTGGGCCGGTGTCCGCACCCTGCGCTACGCCGACGTGCGTTCCCCTCTCTCTCCCTCTCTCCTCATCTCCTCCCCGCCCCGCACGGACCTCGCCTGACGCGTCTCCTCGCTCCTCGACACACAGGGACCCGACGAGGTCCACCTCGACCAGCTCGGCCGGACCGAGCTCAAGCGCCTCCAGGTCGTCAAGGACAAGTACAACAAGATCGACAACAAGGAGAAGAACCTCCGGGGGAACAAGCACTCGAAGCTCTGAGGAGCGGCCTCTCTCTCTGTCTTTTTGGGGGCCAGGGCTCTCTCTCTCTCGTGGAATGCAGTACCCAATTCTGTGCATCTCTCGGAGCGAGTGCGAGAGCCGAGAGCGAGAGCTGGACGTCCAAGAGCGACACGACCTTCTCGACGAGGACGAGTGGCCCCGACTCGACTTGCTCGCCTTCTCGCTGCACGCCAGACAGCAAGTGGCTCGATGTAATATATTAAGGTCACCACACAGACTCGGCAAGACCTCCCGCCTGCACTCGACCCTCTCGCTCTCGCGCTCAGACGCCGAAAACTGCGCGCGACGGCGAGAAAGAGGCGTGAGCTCGTCGCTCTGCGGCCTCGACCGAGAGATAGAGAGAAAGAGGAGACAGCCGGGACGCACCCTTGAGGTAGTTGACCTCGAAGTAGGCGTTCCTGAACGCGAGCGGGTCCGTGTTGGCCGAGGCGCAGGATTGATACTTTGGGTAGACCGGGCCCGACGCGTCGTAGTCCTGCCACACGTACTGGTTGCCCGCCCAGTCGCCGCACGTGCTGTGTCCCAGGGAGAGGGAGAGTCAGGAACCCGAGAGGAGAAAGGCTGGCGAGTCGAAAGGAGAGGAGGGGCGACGGACGTGATGTCCTGCGAGGCGAGGCGCGAAGGACGGGTTAGGCTTTGGCTCGGCGACGCCAGAGAACGAGAGAGAGAGAAAGAGGACGCACAAAGGTGAGCTTCTGGTTGCGGAAGAACGTCCTCGTGTCGCACGTCGAGCCGTCGAAAGCGGCCACCGGCGTCCCCCACGTGCTCCACCTTGGCGCGCCGCTCTGCACGTCGGCCGGGACGTTGGCCCTCTGCCAGCGCCAGATCGAGATGCTGCGGAGCGAGGCAAGGCGGGCGGCGCGAGAGGGTCAGTCGACGACGCCGAGGTGCGAGAGGAGGAGAGGAGGTCCAAGCGGACGCACCCAGTTTCGGCAAAGAGGACGGCAAAAACGCCGCCGCCGGCGCTGTTGAAGCCGCGACCGTACGAGGTCGTGTCGTAGTCGTACACGGTGCAGCCTGCGAGCGACAGGCACCGAATCAGTTTGAGAAGGGCCTCCTCGCGCTCAGGAAGGAGAGAGAGGGAGACGGACCGAGGCCGCCGTTGCCGGCGTTGCAGTTCGGGTCGACGCCGTTCGTGACGCCCGTCATCGGGACGTTCGAGCTGCGCGTGCAACCAGGCGACGAGTCTGCGAGGGAGCGAGCCGTCAGTCGAGGAGTCGCCGAAGAGGACGGGGCTCGAGCGCACGCAGCGTGTACTGGTTGAACCTGCGCCAGTTGACGCCCTCGTAGATGTCGATCTCGCCCGACTCGGGCCACGGGTAGTTGTACTGCAGGACCGAAAAAGGTCAGGGTCCTCGTCTCCGTCTGGTCGAGAGAGAGAGAGAGAGCGAGACGCACCATCCAGAACGCCGGCCATGTGGCTGGGCCGTCAGGTGCCCGCTTCAGGTCGAGAATGATGAGGTTGCCCGGCTGGTACACCTCCATGCTCTCGATGCGCACCGAGTTGCGCGGCTCGCCGAGGGCGAGGCGGCTCTTGCGGTCGATCGAGATGATGGCCGTGCCGGTGCTCGACACGGTCGTCAAGTTGAGCGCCTTGGCCGTCGCGGCGTTGACGTACGTGACGCTGCCGTGCGTCGGGTCGGGCTGGTCGAAGAAGTTGAACAAATCAAAGAAGCCGGCGCCGGCGTAGGTGCGCCTGAGGACGGGCGTCGGGTTGGGCGCCTTGGGCCCGACAGGCGTCGCCGCTGCAGCAGGCGAGGTCGTCGACGTCGACGAGGACGCGACGCGGACGCAGGTGGAGCCCGAGGCGACGTAGTTCTGGTTGCAGCCTGCGGAGCGGACGAGGAGAAGGTCAGCTCGCGCCTGGACCCCTCGGCGCGCCCGGACCCAAGAGAAACAGTCCTCGACGCACCCCAAGTGCACACGCCGCGAGCGCGGTTGCAGGCGTAGTGCGAGTTGGCCGGGATGGCGTAGCCGGCGGCCGTGCACTGCGTCGTCGCCGTGCACGACACCGTCTGGCGGTCGACGAGCTGGTGGGCGCTCGGGTCGTCGAGGCCGACGACGCGCTCCTGCAGGGCGCCGACGTTGTCGACGAGCGAGTCGAGGATCGAGGCGGCCGTGTCGCTCGACGAGGAAGGCGAGGTTGCGCGCGCCGGCTGGGCGAGGAGGGCCGACAGGAGGACGGGCGCGGCGGCGAGGACCGGGAGCAGCATCGTGCGAGGGTGTGCAGCTGCTTGCAAGCTGTGCAGAGCGTGCAACAAGGAGCAGGAGGGAGAGAGAGGGAGAGCCAAGCCAAACAGCGACAATTGCCTGGCCGGCCGGGTTCAACGATCGAGTGTCGCGGTCTCCGCACCGCCTTGCAAATTGCCCGAGCGCTGGAAGCTCCGCGGACAGCGGACGAGACGGCGGACGCTCGTTACGAGGAGCGTGCGCTCGCGTCGCTCCTCTCGCAACGAAAGGCTCTCGCTCGTCACGCAGCACACGCGCTCCTGCTCTCTCTCGCGCTGCAAGGCAAAAGACCATGCGCCCGCTCGGCGACGAGGTGCTGGCCGAAAAGTGCGGCGCTCCAACGTCCAACGAGCAGATCCGGAAGGCGGCTCCTGCCCACAGTCGGCGCTCGCGAGGTGAACGGCGCTGCGCAGCGTCCTCGAGAGGTCGACATGGACGTCGAGGAGGTGCAGGAGCTGCCTCGGGCGACGCGCCGGGCGAGAGAAGCGAGAAAAGCGGCTCGAGCGGCGCGGGCGCGCAAGTCGAGAAGGCGAGCCAGTCACGCAGCGCAGCGCGCTCGGGAGCGCAAGCGTACACTCGGTGGCCGTGCGGCATCGTCGAGCCGAACGAGCGAGAAAGAGAGCTGCTCTCGGCGACGCTCGCGCCCGTCCTCTCCTCTAAGACTGCGTCGGCCTCGCGAGCGAGATGGTCGTCCACAACACTCAAGAGTCACGCAGTTACACGCACTCTCTCTCTACGCCTTGACGAGGTACTGGCGAGTCGGGAAGTGGATCGCCTTCTTGTGCGCGCGCTCGGTCGTCTGGGTGCGCTCGTGCTGCGGGTGGCCGAGCGAGGTGGGGGAGGGGGGGGGGGGGACGAGAGCGGTCAGGGCTCGTGCGGGCGAGGGGCGCTTGGCCACACGAGGGGAGGGAGCGGCGAGGGGACGCACCTTGGTGAGACGGCGGCGGATGGCGCGGGTCTTCTTGGCACGGAGGTCGAGCGGGAGCTTCTTGCCCTTGTAGAGCTCGCGGAGGTTGGCGCGGGTCTTCTGGTTGATGACCGTGAGGACGCGGGCAATCGACTTGCGGACAGTCGAGCTGCACGATAGGGGGGCACGAGGACGAGGTCAGTGCGCTGCTCGGCGGACGAGAACGGGGCTGAGTAGGGTGCGCGGGTGGGCCGGCCGGGTGCAGGCGAGGAGGGTGGCAGCTCGCGGTCGGCGGCGGGGCGGCGGGGCGGCAGGTTCGGAAAGGTCGGAAGGGACGCAGCGGCAGAGCGCGCGGGCGAGGAGGGAGGAGGGGGACAGTGGTCGAGGGCTCGAGGTGGTCGGGTGCCGAGGTGTGCGCCGCCTGCCGCCTCGCCGAGGTGCGCCGCTGCCGCATGCGCACCGCAAGCAGCGGCATTTCCTCCGCCCGCCGCGCCGACTGCCCCTGACGCGCAGCCATGGCTCTGCGTGCCGCGCCGCAAACGCCGTCGCCCTGCCGCGCCTCGTCCCTCGCGGCGGGCCTCGCCCCGGCACGCGCAGACCGACCCATGCTCCCGCCTGCGCCCGACAGAGCCCGCGACGACGAGAGGGAGCGGGTAGCTCACATGCGGGCAAGCTTGGAGGCGTTGCCGCCCGCGACCTTCTGGACGCGGAGCGAGACGAGCTCAGTCTTGAGCTCGTCGAGCTGCTTGACGAGCTCGTCGCGCTTCTTGGACTGGAGCTCGCTGGCGCGGACCTTGAGAGTCTGGGACGACATGTCTGGCGAGGGGAGGGTAGGTCGGGCGAGGGCGGCGACGAGGGACGAAGGGTTTTCGGCGACGAGGCGCGACGACGAGGCGGCGGAGGGGGGCGAGGGTGGGACGGCCGAAGAGGTCAGCGTGGTGCCGACAGAGCTAGGTGGTGGACGGGTGCGCACTTGGTCGATGAGAGTACCGGCGAGGGGAAGGGCTCACTCTCGTCGTCGTCGAGCTCGCCTCCCCTCCCCGCGACCAGGCGAGGCCTCGACCGTCTCCGCTTGATCGCGCCCCCCCTTGAGTCTCACTCTCCAGTCGCTCGCACACTCTCATCTCCTCTCGCTCATCAACACCCCGTCATGGTCAGCTGGTTCTCTCGCTCGTCGGCACCGACTCAGTCCCGCATCTCGGTCCAGCAACTCTGGGGTGCGTCGACTCGCTCCCCTCCTCCCTCCCTCCCTCCCTCGCATCCGCCGCCCCACTTGCTCACTCACCGTCGTCCTCTCGTCCCCTCCGGCCGCAGTGTACCCGATCAAGGTGCGTCCGCAACCTATCTACTACGCGCCGCCACTGACACTCGACCCGATCAGAGCTGTCGCGGGACCCGGGTCGACGAGAGCGAGTACACCGAGGAAGGGCTCGAGGTGCGCACCCTGTCCGCGCCTCTTTCTGCGCCCTCTCCCGTCCCACCTGACGAGGTCGACCCCCTGCAGTACGACCGGCAATGGATGATCGTCGAGGCAGGGTCGCACAAGTTCCTCACCGCGCGGACCATCCCCAAGGTCCGGCTCTCCTCCTCTTCTCGTCGGCCGCAGCGGCACCCGAGCTTCTACTGACCCTCACCGTGCCCTGCAGATGGTCCTCATCAACCCCAAGATCAACCGCGACAAGGGCACGCTCGACATCGAGGTCCCGTCCGTCGACTCGGCCGACGCTCCTCCCCGATCCTTCTCCGTCCCCCTCGCGCACCCGACGACCTACCTCGACAACCCAGCAGACGACCCGTCCCTCGACCACGACTTTGTCGTGTGGGCGAGCGACCCGCAGGACGGCTTCAGCGTCGGGTCCGACGACCTGCGCGCCGCCCTGAGCGCCTTCATGGGCCGCGACGTCCTCCTCATCCGCAAGGGCACGACGCGCAGGTCCGTCGCAGACGTGCCTGGCGTCGTCCACAGCGAGGACCTCGACCCGGTGCTCGGGTTCGCCGACTTCTACCCCTTTCTCATCGGCGCAGCGAGGAGCCTCGAGTGCGTCCCCCTCTCTCTCTTCCTCCTTCCCGCGCCGACGCCTGTCGGTCTCACGACGTCGACCCTCGCCCTGACATACTCGTCACTCGTCGCAGAGAGCTCACCTCGCGCATCCCGACGCTCGCCTCGGACCCGCAATTCGACGCCTCTCGGTGGTCGCCCTCGGCAATCGCCTCGCGAGGCGGTCTCGAGATCAGCCGGTTCCGGGCCAACATCGTCGTCGAGGGCACGAGCGAGCCGTGGGAGGAGGACGGGTGGAAGCAGCTCGTCATTGGCGACGAGCCGGTCGAGGTGGGCTTTCGGTGCGCAAGGTGCATGCGTGCGTCCCGCCTTTCTCTCTCTTCCTCTCGCTTCGGCAGTCCCAGGCTCGTCGTTGCAGGTCGTCTCACTCACGCTCTCGGCCCGTCGCGCACCCTCCCACGCCTGCAGTACCGTCGGTCGACCCCAACACGGCCAAGCGCGACAAGCTCCTCCCGGACGGCGTCATGAAGGACCGCGTCGTGCAGCCTCTCTCGGCGCCCAAGGTGTGCTTCGGCGTCTTGTGCGCGCCGAAGAAGAAGAGCGGCGGTGCGTCCCGACCCTCTTTCCCCTTTTCCCCTCGTCCTTCTCTCTTTCTCTTTATGAGTGCCCTGACGAAGCGGCTCACAGGCACCCTGAGAGTCGGCGACACGGTCACGGTCCTCGAGGCGTATCCAAAGCCCGACAGTGGGCCGTACGTCCGTGACGAGGACCGGACGAATTGAGCGAGGTGCTCTCGAGGACGGCTTCTTCTTCATTTGAGCAGCTGCAACAACGAGTCTCTGTCCGCTTTCGCATTTCTCAGACCGAGAGAGAGCAAGAGAGAGAAAGCATCTCGTTCGTTTCATCGAGCTACAGGAGCGACCGAGACGTCGTGAGCCCGCAGGCTCGAGCGCTCCTCGAGGCACTCGTTCGCCGTGTCGCCGCCGAGCACGCGTGATGCGCCCCTCAGTTCCGCCGTCGAGGAACGAGAAGAAGTTGAGCGAGTCGAGGCGTCGATACCGCCGGACCCTGCCTGCTCAGCTGTACCCGCTCGGCCATCCTCCTCCCTGACCCTGCGGCGGCGGCGGCGCCTGCCCGAACGGCGAGGCGTACGGCGACAGGCCGGGCGGGACCGCCGTGCTCGCCCACTGCTGCTGCTGTGGCTGGACCTGCCCGGCAAAGGCCGTCGGGAAGCCGGGCGGCCGCGACGAGGTCGAGGTCGGCGGCTCGTGCTGGTGCGCGTGCGGGTACGCTGTCGGCGCGCCGCCGCCCTGCGTCGCCGCGTGCGCGAGCGGCGCCGAGAACGCGCCCCCGTACAGCGCGCCACCGCTCGCGGCGGGTGGCGGGAGCGCGCCGTGCTGCGCTCCGGGTGCGCTGGCTGGCCAGCCGGCGAGTTGAGCCGCCTGGCTGCCGTGCGTCAGGTTGGGGATGCTCTCGAACGAGCGAGGCGTGACGGACTGCTGCTGCTGCTGCGGCTGTTGCTGAGCGAGGGCGAAGCTCGAAGGAGGAGGGAGGGCGCCGAGGGTCGAGGTCGGCGGGAGGAGCGGCGAGCCACCGAGGCCGGGCGCGGTCGACCAGATCGAGTGCATCGAGTTGAGCGAGGGCGAGCCGCCTGGCGCGGGGCCGAGGAGGGACGGGCCGGCGGCCGATGGGCTCGTGTAGCTCGAGGAGGGCTTGAGGACGGGCGGCGCGGCAGGCGGCGTGTGGTGCTGGTGGAGCGGTGGGACGCCGCCGTGGAAGAGCTGCTGACGCAGGGCGCCGGGTACGCGTGCGGGACTGGCGCTCGGGGTGCTGTAGTGCGAGGACGAGCGAGAGACGCCGGGTGCGGGACTGTGGCAGGGCGAGCGTGAGTATCGTGTGCGCGCGAGGGAGAATGAGAGGGAGGAGAGGACGCACAGCTTGGCGTGAGGCTGCGGCGAAGACCTTGAGCCGCTGCCCGGGTACACGATCTGCTCCTCGTCGTCATCGTCGTCGTCGTCGTCGTCGTCGTCGAGGTCGTCGTCGAGGTCGCTCAGGCCGTCCATGTCGAGCTTGTCGGCGGCGTCGATGCGCATGGCGCGGTCGACAGGGTCGTCCTCGGTGCCCTGGTCGAGCATCTCCTCGTCCTCGTCGGCGTCGTCCTCCTGCGGCCGCGCTGCGGCGGCCGGCTCGGGTTGGTCGAACGACGTGTCCTCGTTGGCGTGCTCGCGCGGCGTGAAGACGTAGGCGCCGTCGATGAGCGACATGCGGGCGAGCTGCGGGCGTAGAGGTGAGTCAGGGACCGCTTTTTGAAGGGAGGGTGAGTGAAGAGGCCGACGCACCGGCGACTCGGCGAGAACGAGCGCGTCCTGCTGCCCCTCGACAACGCGCATGAGCTGCTCGTCGTTCGGGTGCACGTCCCTCCCGACCCTCCTGATCCTCGCGCCCGCCGTGTCCGCCGCCTCGCCGTCGGCCGGCCTCATCGCCCGGCGGAGCGGCGCGAACCCGAGCAGCTCGACGTCCTCCTCGAGCCACCCGCCGTCGGCGAGGAGCGCCTGCGCGTCGCCGAGCGCCGCCGCCGGGAACGCGAGCTTGACCGCGTTGGCGTAGTCGGCGTAGGCCGCCCACAGCGCGTCGAGCGCCGCCTCGAGCTCGGCGAGCGTCGCCCTGCCCGCCGCCGCGCCGGGCGTCGCGCCGCTCCCCCTCGACGCCGACGAGTCGAGCGACAGCGGCTGCTGCGCCTCGTGCTGCTCGCCCTCGCCCTCGTCGGCGCCGCCGCCGCTCCCGCCGCCGGGGCCCGACGTGCCCGTGCTCGTGCGGCCGCGAGCTCGAGCGCGCGCAAGGCGCTTGCGCTCGGCGGCCTCGAGGCGCAGCGTGACGCGCTCGACGTAGTCGAGCTGGGCGATGAGCCATTTGGTGAGGATGCGCAGGGCAGGAAGGGAACGGCGCAGGACAGCCGAGATGTTTTGCGCCGGGTTGGCCGATGCGGGCGCTGTCGTGCTCGAGGTGGTGGCCGTCGACAGGGTGTTGGCGTTGGTCGAGAAGAGCTCGATCGTCTCGGTGGCGCTGACGCGGAGGAGGAGGGAGAAGAGCGACAGGAGGTGGACGAGCGCCTCGGGCTCGAGGTTGACGCGCGAGGCGGGCGCCGGCTCGCCAGACGACGTCGTGGCAGTTGCAGACGCGAGTGGAGGAAGCGCCGTTGAGCCCGTCTTGCTGCGCGACAGGGTCGTCGACGACGAGCGCGAGATGCGCGCGTCCCACAGGGCCGAGAGCGCCGTGACGACGATCTTGGTGACGACGTCCGAGGTAAAGATGCGGTCCACGAGTACGACGCGGAACAGCTCTTCGACGCGGAGCAAGAGCGTCGGCAGCTCCGAGAGCCTGGAGGGAAAAAGGGAGGAGGAAAGGGTTCGTCTGTTGGTCAGTGTGGACGACGAGGGGGAGCAGGAACGACGGCGAGAAACGAGAGACGCACTTGTCCTTGGTGTAGAGGATGCCCTGCAGGACGACGAACGCCGCCCTGAACTTGACGCCCTCGTCGCCCTCGGGCTCGCCGCCCTCGCTCGAGAACCACCTCGCGATGGCCTTGGCGAACGTGATCTGGAGGTTGGCGCGTGCGGTAGAGAAGGGCGTGCGGACCGACAGGGCGCGGTAGTAGTGGTAGACGGACGACAGCGGGTCGGCGCAGTACTGGGCAAGGACGGCGAGCTGGTTCGAGGGATTGCCTGCGCGCAGTGAATCACGTCCTCGTGAGCGACTTGAGCTGCGGGGTGAGACGAGAGATAGGCGAGAGGGGACGCACCATTGTCGGGAAGCAGCATCCTTGCCTGGTTGTAGCACTCGGCCGCCTTGCTGTACGTCTTGACGCGCTTGTCCGCCGCCGCCGCCGCCATCGCCGCGCCGCGTCTTCCCTTGCCGCCTCGCCGCCCGCCTTCTCTCCTTGCCCCGCCGCCGTTGCCGCCGGCCGCGACCGCCGCAGGCACGCTCGCCTCGTTGTACAGCTCGGCGTACCGCGCGAGGTCGCCGTAGCAGATGAGCGCCTTGTGCGCGAGCGGGAGGACCGCGGCACGGCGCACGCGGCGCTCGTCCTCGCTCAGGTCGGCCGGCGCCGGCGCCCGACCGTCTGCGCCGCTCGTCGCGGCCGGCCCGAAGCTGTCGCCTCGCTCGCCGGCGGCGCCGCCGCCGAAGCCGTCGCTCGCCGAGAGGAAGTCGCTCTGGACGATGCCGACCGCGCGCAGCTCGAGCGCCTCCTCGGGCGACAGGCGGCTCGCGAGGCGGCCGCACAGGGTGCGCCAAAAGTCGTCCTCGCGCGACAGGAACTGGCGGAACGCGTGGACGAGCTTGCGGCGTGCGACGGGCCCGACCGCGGCCGACTGGACGTCGCCACCGTTGCCGTGCTGGTTGCGCGACTTGCTGGCGCCCTTGTGCGCCTTTGGCGCCGACGCGAGCTGCTTGTCGAGGGTGGCGAGGCGGGAGCGGTACGACTGGATGAGGGCGTGCGACGTGTCGAGCCACAGGAGGTTGAGGATGTCGAGTTGCTGACGTGCTGCCGAGGAGGAGGAAGAAGTAGACGACGCCGGGCCGAGCGTGGACGAGCGCGCTTTGAGGGCGGTCGAGCCGAGGGTCGAGAGGGCGTCGGCGGTCGAACTGCCGCGGTGCTGGAGGGCCGTCGCGCCCGGCTGCGCCAGGGCCGGCGAGAAGATGATGCGGAGGTAGGCCTTGCGGAGGCTGTGTACGATGCAGAGAGTGAGCAGGCGCGAGACCGGCGGGTGGAGAGGCTGGACGAGGAGGAATAGAACGTACGATTCTCGCTGAAACTCGAGGTCGCGGTCCCACGGCTCCCTGCGCTTGAGAATGCTCTTGAGCTCGAGCGCGAGGCCCTTTGCGTCTCTGTAGCGCAACACACGACGATCAGCGGCTGGACGCGGAGGGAGGGAGAGGAGGAGGAAAGAGAGAGAGAGAGACGCACCGGATCTGCGCGCTGATGCCGGTCGACGACGAGGCCGTGACCCTAAGGTCCCTCGTAGCAGGCCTGTCCATCTGGCTGCAGATGCGGAGGTCGAGGCGGGTTGTCGCGATGAGGCGGCTGATCGAGGAAGCGCGCGGCGAGAACGAGAGGCAGGCGAGCGAGACGAGGGCAGGGCGGTGCTAGCCGACTGTGAGCATTGCCTCGAGTGCTAGCCGGTGCTGCTCTGCTGCTGTAGCTGTGCGGAACAGAGCGAGCGAGGGTCGGCTCGCCGTTGCTGTCCGGCGTCATCGTCTCGACCTCGCCTGCGCCTCGAGCGGGTGCGCGGTGCGGACAGTTGCATTCTAGCTGGGGCTCTATGTAGTTCCATGGCTCGACCTGCGGCTCCCGTGGTGAGCGACTTGAGCCGGTTCGCGCTCGCGCTCCTCTTCCTCCCTCCTCCTCCTCGTCGCCTCGCGCCAGCCGCTGCCGACCATGCCCAGGGCACCCAAGAAGCGTGTACCCGACCCGCACTCGAGCGAGGTCGACGAGCTCGCAGAAGACGCCCCGACTGGCCTCACGCCTCCCCGCCCCGCTCGCTCCTCCTCGACTCGCACCGCGACCACACGCCCGGGCACTGCAGCCGCCACCACGCCCAACAAGACCCGTGCCTCGACCACGGCTGCGGCCAAGCGCGGCTTCTCAAGCTCCGTGACGGCCACGGCCGGCCTCTCGACCACCTCCTCGTCGACCCGCCTTACCGGCTTCCGCTGCCGGGCCCAGCCCGCCGCCGGCACCTCGACCCTGTACGAGATCAACTCGGTGTCGCCCGCCAAGCGCCGTCGCCCCGCCAAGGTCCCGCCTCGCGACATGCCCAACTCGCCCTCCTCCTCCTCGACCAAGCGCCGCCGCCGCGGGACCGACACGGACGAGAACGACCGCTACGCCCTCGAGCGCAAGGTCAAGCGCGAGGACGAGTTCGTCTTCGTCATGCCCGACCTCGACGAGGACGGCGAGCCCATCGTCGACCCGGACTCGCCGGCGCAGGCGACACGCACTTCCCCTCCTCCCGCCAGCTCGCTCGTCCACGTCGCCGCCAACTCGCCGTCGCCCACCAAGCCGCAGCGCTCCCCCTTCATCGCCAACCCCGCACGCCCGCTCCCGCCGCGCACCCCCTCGCCCGCACACCTCCCACCCTCGTCCTCGTCCATCGACCTCCCCGACGCGCTCGCCGCCCGCGTCTACGCTCACTCGAGCCCCGCCCCGCTGCTGCCGCTGCCGCAGGGGCAAAGCGAGCCGCACACGTCGACGACGCTCGTCGCGAGCGATGAGGGCCCAGGCGCGCCGCCGCGTGAGCGCTCGAGCTCGCCGCCGTTCGTCCCTCGCGGCCGTGGCGGCACGACCCTCGTGCAGCTCAGCGCCGCGCCGGCTCGGGGCGTCGCCGCGAGCCCGGGCACGACGCCGCGCGTGACGGCGAGCACGGCGAGCTCGCAGCGCGCGCCACTCACGAGGGAGGAGGAGCACGAGGTCAGTGCGCTGCTCGCCGCGCTCGAGGGCATGGGCGACGGCGAGCTGCAGGAGGGGGCGTTCGAGACGTATGTCGAGACGTGCGTCGAGCCGATGCAGGCGGGAGGGGCAGCGCGTCGTGCGCGCGAGGCGGTCGGGAGCGGGGGAGCTCGGGAGGAGGTCTTCGACCCGGACAAGACGCTGTACGTCCCTCCTTCCTTCTCTTTCCCTCTCTCGACGCAGCGAAGTAGATAAACTGACACGAGGTCGCCGGACCCCGAAACAGCGTCGATGCGTCGCCCGGACCACTCGCAGGCCTCGACGCTGTGAGCTCTGGCTCGCCCTCGCCCGCCGATGCCACCGCCAACCCGTTCGCCGACGACGTGCCTCTGCCCGCTCCCGCACCGAGCCGTTCCACCGCCTTCCTCCGCTCGCCGACCCCTCCCGCTCCAGCACCTCTCCCCTCGCCCCCTCGCGCACGAGCCGCCCCGCCGCACGCCGCCGCATCGCCCGCGCCCAACCCGTTCTACCGCCCTGCGACCCCTCCTCGCCGCCCACCCGGGTACCGCCTCGTCCCACTCACGGTCGAGGGCCTCGCGACTCACGCCCGCGAGGTCGTCGCCGCCGCGTCGTCGTCGTCGACCGAGACGGCCTTCCTCAGGGGCGAGGTGCGCCGCCTCGCCAAGGAGCTCGAGGCGCGCGACACGCTCCTCGGCGAGCGCGAGGCGGTCGTGCGCCGGGCGCAAGGGGAGCAGGAGCGCTTCGAGCGCGAGAGGGCCGAGTGGGCCGAGGAGCAGAAGGCGCTCGTCGCCAAGGTGGACGCGCTGAGGGAGGTCAGGAGGGGGCTCTTGCGCGAGCTGAGGGAGGAGCGCGAGAGGGCCGATGGGCTCGAGGACAGGATCAGGGCGCTTGAGGGCGTTGGCGAGCGGGCGGCGGCAGGCGCGAGCGACGTCGAGCAGGAGCCCGTCGTCGAGGTCCCGGTCGTCGCTCGGCGCGCGCTCGACGACAACGCCGGCGTCAAGGGTGTCGAGCCGGTCGAGCCAGTCGACGAGACGTAGACGGGCGTCGTCGTCGTCGTCGTCGTGGCGAGGTGACGTTCGGCCCGCTTGCGAGCTTTTGTGTACCCCTGTCAATGACGAATCCGCTTTACCTCGTCTCGACCTCGAGGAGGAGCGTCTGTTTGCGCAGCGATGGGCCCACAGCGTCAAGCGAGAGCGTCTGCGAGGGCGCGAGGTTTGGCTTTCGACCGGCCGGCGGCTCGATCGCCCGTGGGGATTGGCGGCCGAGTCGTCAATGGGCAGCACGTGGAGTCAGCTTCAGCGCTTCAGCTCAGCTCGCCCTCGTTCTCCTTCGACACTGGCACATGCTCGCCATGGCCACTGCGCCGCGCAAAGGCCCGCTGCCGCTCTCGTGCGACGCGTGTCGCGTGCGCCGCACCCGGTGCTGCCGACTCGCCGCGCGACCTCGAGACGACCGAGACGCACCGCCTCCCTGCGAGGGTTGCGCAAAGAAGGGTGCGCGCACTGCTCTTCCTCGTCCTATGTGCGCTCGCACACACCGGAACGAGCTCACCGAGCTTCCCTCGCCCACCTCGTCCCTCCTCGTCCACAGGCATCCGTTGCGTAACCTCCCGCCTGCCTCTCTGTGCGTCCCTGCCCTCTCGGTCGATCACAGCACGGGAGCTGACCCTTTAAGCACGTCCACAGCCCAGCGCATGCGCATCGGTCCCCGCATCGAGGCGGCAAAGGCGCTCTGCGGCTCGACCAACCTCGCGCCGACCAGCCCGCACCAGCAGCTCGTCGCGAGCGCACTCGCCGGCGACATCAGCTACGAGCTTCTGAGCCTGTACACCGAGGCGGGCGGCGGGACCGGTCCGCCGCTGTACGCACCACCCGTCGCCGACTTTGTCGGGCTTCAGTCTCGGTTCGACGCTGCGTGAGCCCTCCTCCTCCTGTCTGTGCGGCTCGAGACCGACACAGTCACTGACTCTCGTTGCGCGCAACAGAGGCAGGAAGGTCGCGGCACTGTCGATCGAGGATCAGGTGCGTCGCTTTGTCCGCCGCTCGGATCGTCGACGCCCTGACCCTCGTCCCCCGTCCAGCTCCTGTTCCGCGTCATCTCGGCCAGCTCGGCGCCATTCCTGTCGTCCAAGGCGGCAAGCTCGTCGTCCATGGCTCGGCAGCTCCTCGAGGTCGCCCAGTCGAGCGCCGACGCCCTCGGCGTCCACCGCAAACCGACCGTCGCCCACGTCGTCTCGCTCCTCCTCCTGCATCAGGCCGCCGGCCGAGGCGAGATCGCGACAGACGACGCAGACACCTACCTGTCGAGCGCGGCTGCGCACGTTCGCGCTTTGCGGCATCGAGCGCCGGTCGCCATCTCGGGCCCGACGAGCGAGAGCACCTCGGCCCTCGTCTGGGCCGTCACCATCTTTGACGCATGCTCCGCCGTTGAGCGCTCTGCTCCACCGTTCCTGTACGTCCTCCTCCCTCGTCCTCATCACGCCTGCAGCGTCACGAAGCTCACTCTCCTCGCCCGTCCTCCAGGTCCGGCGGCGACTTTGACGAGCTCTTCCTCGGCGGCGCCGGCTTCCTCACGACGCAAGATGCCCTCGAAGAAGCGCTACGACTCGACCCCTGGTCCCTCACTGGGTTCCTCGTGCAGAACCTCCTGTTCGCCCTCGTCCTCCTGCGCCGGCTCGCGCTCTTCCTCGACCATGCGCGCACTGTCCAGACGGTCCTCGATCGGTCGAGCGAGGTCGACGACATGATGGCGACGATGGACAAGATCTACGAGTGGGGCAAGATGGCGTTCGGCGTCGTCCAGGTGCACCAGGACCCGCTACAGCGTGTCGTCGCCCTCGTGCGTCCCGCTCTCCTCTCCCTTCCTCCTTCTCGTCCGGCTGACACACAAGGTCCCGTACAGATTTACCTCAACGGCACATACGCCTCGACCCTCTTTGCCGAGCTCGCGATCCTCAAGCATCTCGAGCGACTTTCGGAAGAAGACGGCCGCCGCAAGTTCCCCTCATCGCCCGCAACACTCGCGGCGCTGCACCTCGACCGAGGACGCGCAAGACTGCAACATTCGGCATGCACCTACCTTCGAGTCGCTCGAGTGCGTCCTTGTCTCGCTCGCGCCCGGTCGACCTCTTCGTCCCCCACGAGCCAACTGACCCCTGCGCGTCCAGCAGACAACGCCCGAGCCCAACTATGTCGCCATCCAGACCGGCACGTTCTGGTCGACGTCGCGCCTGTGCGACATCGTGCAGGCCGTGCTCTCCGCCTCGGTGTGGGACCAAGCTCTCTTTCCCGACGGCCCGCAGGACAAGCTCGAGACCCTCAACTTGTGCGTCCTCCTTCTCTCGCGATCCCTTTTACCCGGCCCCTGACCCTCTCGACCATCTTCAGTCTGCAGGCGACGCTCGACAGCCTGCAGCGCGCCTACCCCGACAGGCCGCTCGTTCCCGAGACGCTCAACTCGATCGCGTCTGAGGTGGTCCTGCTACAGATGCTGCTCGTCGGTGCGTCTTGATTTCGCTGTCTGCGCCCTCTCGTACCGCGTCCTGACTATGCCGCCGTCGCAGTCCCGCCAGAACCTCGACCAATCCTGTCCTCGAGCGCGTCGACCCTCTCGGCCCTGCCCTCGCTCACCCGGCTCAACTCGTGGGTGCACGTCAACGACTCGAGTGTCGTCCAGATCGTCATGGTCCCCCTCAAGCACCCTGTCGACGGCTTCGCGGGCCCTCTCGTCGAGCCAGGACCACCTTGCCTCGCCCCGACGCCGTACCACTGCATCCCGACGCCCGATACCGCCCCTCTCGAGCTCCAGCACGCCCCGACGTCCCCCTCAAGCTCTCCCGCACCTGTCGATCTCCTCGTCGCCTCCCTCGACCCGACCTCGCTGCTGCTCGCCACCCCTCCTCCCCCTCCTCCGCCTTCTACCGCCGACGTCGGCTTCTCGCCTCTCCCCCTCTCTCTCGGCATGCGCTACTCGTTGTCGAGTGCCGAGTCGGCCGAATCGTGGGAGACGGACTGGGTCGACCTCGCGGCGGCGGCGGGCATCGTCGAGCAGGCCTCGGACGCACTCGAGCGGTGGCCGGCGGGCGAGGTTCTGCAGCAGTTCTAGACTGGCGCTGGCGCCCATAATGAACAGACACTTCTTGACACAGCGCAGTGAGCAGAGTCGAGAGCGCCAGAGCTGTTGCCGATCCGACAGAGTCGAGCGAAAGCTGGGAGCAAAGTCTCGCCGTTCGACTCGCTCGACCTTTCGACTCTCGCAGCTGGACTCGCGCGAGCCGCCTGGCCTGCACACCTGCACACCTCTCCAACCGCCTCCCGCTACGCCCGTACCGCCGCAAGCGCTTCCCGGCAGCGCAGACCGCGCCGCGTCCTCATCAGCGACTCGCGCCGGCCGACCGTTCTCGACACGCGACGACAACCCGTGGACCGGTGGACGTGCTTTGAGAGGGCTACAGGGGGGTTAATGAGCGGGCAGAGCAGGGCGGCTGCGCTGTGCGGGACCCGGAGTGCTGGTGCGTCCCCCTCGTCCTCTCCTCCCCGTGTTTGGCCACCCTCTGCGCCTCTCCCTCTCACTCGCAGGACTCATGCAACGCCTCGGCGACGCGTCACTGACTCGTCTCTGTCCTTCCGCAGGTCAGACGGCTGCGCGAGGCGAGCCGGCGGTCAGCTGGCGCCGCGAGGACTGGCGGTCGACCTCGAGCGGGCCGTCTAGCTCCTTGTGCGTCCCTCTTGCTCTCCTCCTCTCCTCCAGTACACGCGCACGAACCCAGACACCTCCCTCAGCCGCGTACTGACCCTCTCGACCTCGCACCGCAGGTCAATCGAGCCCTCGATGGCACCCTCTCCCCTTCTCGGACTCGAAAGCTTCTGCTCGTGCTGTCCGGCTGGCCCCAGGCGCCGCCGCTCTAGTCGCACGAGCATTCTCGTGCTTCCAGAGCGAGCCCAGGCCGCTCAACTCGCCCGCATTGTCGTCACACTCGTCCCGGCGGCCGAGCGAGCCGAGCCGCCGAGGACGGGTCTTTACGAGGCCGCGCCCGCCCTCTCGTGCCCCTGAGGGCCGCGGGCGCGCTACGGTGAGCCGCTCGCACGGACGCAGCCCTTGCGGAGGCGTCCGTGCGCCCGGCCACCTACTCGAGACAGGGGGATCCTGCGCACCCTCTCTCAAACGCTATCTCTTGATCTAGAGAGGTTACGGCCACGTGCGCGCCATGGGTCGAACGAGGAGGAGTCTGAGGTGCAATTGAGCGCGTTTCTCGAGCTACTTTGTCGTGTAGAGCGCGAGCTGGCCGGCTCGTTTGCCTTCTCAAGGTCGAGGTCGGCGAGGCGAGATGCTCCTCTTTCTGCAGGCTCGATCTCTCTCGAGCTCTCTGTGGGTATTCGAGAGAAACGTGCAGGCCGAGAGAAGGTGCGCCGGCTTCTGTGCACAGCGCCAGAACGCCTTCTGCCTCAACCTCTTCCTCGAGCTGGTCCTCGGAGGGGAAGCTGGCTTTCGCTCTTGCTGCTCGGGTCTGGCGCGCTCGGTCGACGAGTCCCGACTGGCGTAGTAGAACACGAGACAAATTCCGCTAGACGAGGCACGACTACCGCCGCTTTGGCGCCCGGACCTCTTCCGCCATCCTCAGACCGACGACCGGTCGACGCGCGAGCTCGCGCCCTGCCACTTGTCCGCACTCTCGATCCTGCTCATCAGGCCCAGCTGGATCGGCGACCCACGTTCATCGGTCGGCGTGCTCCGGTAACGGTTGACGAGCGGGTCGACGGTGTAGAGAGGGTGGGTGACGCTGCGAGCGATCTCGAGTCAGTCGAGGACGGCAGAGAGAGTGAGACTGATAGTGAGAGCGTGGCTCACTTGAGAAGGAGGATGACGGTCATCATGGGGACCGCGTCGAGGAGGATGATGGCGGTTTCTGCGGAACGAGGACGAGGCGGGTCAGGAAGGTCCCGCTCGACGCCGAGTGCGACGGGAGAAGGAGCGGCTGCAGGGAGAGGACACGCACGAGTTCGAGACAGTCCGCTGTAGAGGCCTTCGGCGAGCTCGGCGGTGCGGAAGCCGCCTCTGCGCAGGGACGGAGGGGAAACGAGGTCAGGTCGGGCTTCTCGAGGGACACCTCGACGCGGCGTTGAACGCCTCAGAGCTCGTCGAGGTCCTGATGCCCTCGTCGCAGAGAAAGAGAGAGAGCTGGGCGTACCGCACGAGGATGAGGGCGGCCATGACGAGCGTGCCCCAAAAGACGAGGCCGGTCCTCGACTTGAGACGAAGGACGTGTCGATCCGGGTGCACGAGAGCGAGCCGGCGAAAGTAGAGCCCAAAGACGACGAGGAAGACGACCGTCGTCACGAGCTGGAGGATGATGCCGGCCAGCATGATGTTGCAGCCGATCTCGAAGGGCGTGTTGCCGTCCACCGTCGCCGCGAGAGCCTGCAAGAGAGAGCGAACGTCAGTAGCGGCCCTCACTCGACGACGAACATATGCTGCGCGCACTCCACCTGCGGCTTGTACGACTGCGTGGGCGAGAATCGCTCGTCAGTGAGGGGCCGAGACAAAGAGAGGGCGAGGGGACGCACGGAGCGTCACGAAATCGACGATGGTGAACGTCTTGAAGTACCTGTGGCGTCGAACATGTCGATGAGTGGTTCTCGGCCGCTCTAGAGCGCAGTGAGGGGACGAACGCGCGCGGCGTCCACCGAGGAAGAAGGCTCGCGTCCTGGACGGCGGCCGTCATGCCGAAGAGGGCGTCTGCAGGGCGAGAGGAGCCGTCAGTAGGCTCGACGAGATGAGAAGGACTTGGATGACGCACAGATGGCGGCCGAGAAGAACGTGGGCGCGATGGTGAGGACGGCGAGCTGGATCACGTAGCTGCGCGAGTCGGGGAACGTGCGAGGTCAGTGCCCGCGCGTCTAGTCGATGTGGATAGACGGACGACGCACCCGACCCTGAGGTTCTGCGACGCCATGTAGCGCTCAACCCAGCCAAAGACCTGGAGCGCGCCGCCGAGGACGACCGCAAGGCACCACCACCTGCGACTCTTGATGGTCTGGTACAGGTGAAACGAGCTCGACACGGCAAAGATGAGGATGGCGACGATGGCGAAGATCGCAGAAGGCGTGTCTGGCGGTACGGGGCAGTGTGAGTGTGCGCGCGACGAGACGAGGGTGAGAGACAGGGAGAGAGGGAGAGGACGCACAGCCGAACGCGTTGGCGACCTCCCAGACGTGTCGGGCTTCGCTCTTGAGGGTCGAATTGGTGCTCGTGTACTGGCAGTTGACGGCGGCGACACACTGCTCGAACGAGATCTGCTGGACCGTGAGCCCGACCGCCGACTCGACGAGCGCGACGAGCGTCGCGTTGCACGGAACGGCGTCCTTTGCGCTCGTCGGCCAGTCGTACGGCATGTAGCTCATGTTGGACGAGGGATAGACGTGAACGAGAGGAGGGGGAACCAAGTGGGCCGGCGCAGGGTGGTCGAGCGCGCTCGGAGGATGACGTGGCCGCCGAGGAAGCACCGCAGGGAGGCTCCTCGGAGCCCAAAAGCGGCGTAGCGCGTGGCAGCTGGGAGATAGAAGTTTGTGGGGCCTGAGAGGCGGCACGCTGCGACTGGGAAGGGACAGAAGAGTGAGTGGCTGTCGGCGACCGTGCAGGAGGTGGGAGAGACGCACCTGATGGCCCTCGCCGCTCGTCCACACAGAGCTCGAGCGAGTGAATCGGTCTCGACGAGCACATCTAGCAAGCTTGCGCCGGGCTTCTGAGAGATGCGCTTGCACCGGCGGGGAGCGGCAGCATGAGGGCTCGTTGGCCTCGGCTCTGAGCGGGATGCCCGGCAGCACACGCCCACACGCCGAGCCAACCGGCTGGGCGATGTCGGCCGTGGTCGACCGTGCAGCCCAGGTTGAGGCGCGAGCGAGGCCGGAACGCCGGGATGCGGCGGAGGAGGCGGGTCGAGGGCGAGCGGGAACGAGGGCGCCGGGGCCGGGAGGAGAGGCCGTCCCGTGCAGTGCAGCAGAGCAGTGCGAGCTCGCCACCGAGTCGTCCAGAGCGAGAGCGACAGCTGCCGGGGTTTCGCTCGACCGCGAGCGAGATGGCAGCGATCGAAACTCCCTCGTCGTCCTCAGCTCGCTCCTCACCCAGTCCAGCAAGCCAGCGCGCACCTGCTAGCCTACGCGCGCGCACCAGCCACCAAGGCCGCGCACCGCCAGACCGAGCTGGTCCTCGCTCGCGGCAGCAGCAACTCGACCCAGTCCAGCCTCCTCGCGCTTCCGCCATGGCCCTCAACAACGGCTACACGGGGCGACGGCCCTCGACACTGGGCGATCCAGGTGCGCACGGTTACGCCCTGTCCTGCGACCGAGCGCGACAGCCCTGACCCTCCTCCTCCCCCTCCCCTCCCTCCCCACCTCGCGCGTGCGCACCTCTCAGCCGCAGCGCCTCGGCCCGAGAACATCGCCATCCCGCCCTCGCCCTTCCTCAACGACTTCGCCCCATCACCCCGCTTCTCCACCACCCCCCGGTTCGGCGGCGCAGGGCCAAACACGCCCCGCCACGGCCGCAAGAACTCGGCCGGTCCCGCCTACCCGTCGTCGCCCAGCACCGGGTGGTCGAGCTGGATGAGCTGGGCCGGGCTCGGCGGTGGCGGCGGCGGCGACGACCACGGCGGCGCAGGGCGCGACTCGCGCGAGAAGGCGGGCACGCTCCCGACCTACGGCAAACGCGCGCCGCTCACGCCCCGGCCGTTCTACTCGGACGGCGGCGGCCGCAGCAGCGCAGGCGCTGCCACCGGCCCCCTCGTCCTCGTCCGCAACCTCGTCCTGCGGCCCATCTACCTCCTCGGCCGACGCGGCCCGATCCTGCCCATCGTCGGCTTCGTCCTCGTCCTCCTGTGCTACCTGTCGTACTCGACCTCGCCGTCGTCCCAGTCGGTCAAGCTGCGCGTCCAGGGCGCCGTCGGGCCCTACATCCCGCAACGAGCCGCCGACGCGATCCGGTGGCACGGCTCGGACGTGCAGCGCCCGCTTCCCGGCGGCGTCGGCGCCGGCGCGCGAGGCGACTTTCTCGACAGCGAGGGCCTCGTGCCTGTCGAGCGCAAGCAGGTCGTGCACCCGCTCCGCCCCGAGGACCTGCCGCCCGTCGGGACCGACAGCCGCCTGCCGCTCAAGGAGGGCAAGCCGCACCCGATCCCGGCCATGATGAAGCGGGCCAAGAAGCAGTGGGAGGACCTCAAGGCGCGCCAGAGCTCGACGTTCGCCGAGGCCGTCAACGAGTACAAGCGGCGACACGGGCGCAACCCGCCAAAGGGCTTCGACAAGTGGTGCGTCCCAGCGCTCGCCCCTCTCTTTTCCCTCCTCGTTCCCGATCGACCTCGTCCTGATGCCTGTCTTCCTCCCTGCAGGTACGCGTTCGCCAAGGCCCACGAGGTGCTCCTCATCGACGAGTTCGACCTGATCGAGAAGGACCTCCTCATGTACCGCGCGTTCCCGCCCCGCATCTTCCGCAAGCGCGTCGCCAACATCCCCGAGACGATGGACACGACCTGGACGATCCGCCTCGAGCGAGGCCGCATCCTGCGCGAGGGTCCGCTCGCGCACCACGACCGCGCAAAGGGCGTCGAGTCGCTCATGAACCGGTTCGCGGCCTACCTGCCCGACATGACCGTCATCTACAACGGCCACGACAACGCGCGCATCGCCGTCGCCGCCGAGGAGCGGATACGGCTCGAGAGCCTTGCGCGAGCCGGCGAGTGTGCGTCCACGTCTCTCCTTTCGTGCGCACGAGCAGCGGATCCCTGACCTCCTCGACCCGCCCGCAGACGACGACGACGACGACCCGCCGTTCGACCCCAAGGACCGAGGCCCGTTCCCCAACTGGGGCTACACGGTCTTCTGCCCGCCCGAGAGCCCGGCGCGCGAGCTCGGGTTCGAAAAGTACGGCTACCACGCCGACCTGTCGTCGACCGGCTTCGAGATGCCGCCGCACCCCGAGGGCTCGATCGGGTCGCTCATCGGCGACTTCAAGAACTACATGGACGTCTGCTACGCGCCGCACTACCGCCACACGCACTGCACGACGTCGTGGGTCTTCTCGCACCACCCGACGCCCGTCATGCCCATGTTCACGCCCGGCGTGCAGACGACGTTCGGCGACGTGCACGCCCTCATCGTCGAGCAACTCGAGCTCGAGGCCAAGCACGACCCGACGTGGGAGGAGCGGCCGTTCACGTCGCTCCAGTGGCGCGGCCAGACGTCGGGCCCGCTGTGGGAGTCGATCACGCCGTGGCGCACGTCGCACCGCGCCCGGCTCCACCTCCTGTCGCACCAAGAAGACGGCCTGCGCAACATCACGGTCACCGACGGCGACGACATCATGCACTCGGTCGAGGTCCCCAACTATCGCGTCAACCCGCTCTTCCTCGACGCCGGCATGGTCGGCCCGGCGGTCCAGTGCGTCGAGGAGGACGGCACGTGCGACAAGATGTTCGAAGTCTTCCAGGGCTACGACAAGCGCATCTCGTTCGACCGCGCGAGCCTGTACAAATACGTGCTTGGTCCGTCCCCTCTTGCTCTTCCTCTTCCCTCTCTCTCCTCCTCCTTCTTCCCGCCGTCGCTCACCTCGTCGCCTCTCCCTGCTCGCAGATATCGACGGCAACAGCTGGTCTGGCCGTTTCCGCCGCCTCATGATGTGCGTCTTGCCCTCCCTCGTGCCCTCCTCGCGGCCTCTTTCTTCGAGCACTCGCTCACGCCCGACTCGCCCGCCGACAGGTCCAACGCCGCCGTCGTCAAGGCGACTATCTTCCCCGAGTTCTGGACCGTGCGTCCCTGCTCTCCCTTGTCTTCTCGGCGTCCTCGACTGACTCGTTCTTGCCCTCGCAGGACTGGGCGATCCGTGCGTCCCTCGCCTCGCCCCACCTCGAGTTCGCCTTCTGACCCTCCCTGCCTCCTCTGCTGCAGCATGGCTTCACTTCATATTAATTTTATTGTTCAAACATGAGAGCTTAGTACGTGAAACATGAGAGCTTAGTACGTTAGCCATGAGAGCTTAGTACGTTAGCCATGAGGGTTTAGTTCGTTAAACATGAGAGCTTAGTACGTTAAACATGAGAGCTTAGTACGTGAAACGAGGGTGCGCATGACGCGCTCGGCAAGGAGATTGCGCTCGCGGGCAAGGAGTGGGTCCGAGAGTGCTACCGGTGGGCCGACCTCGAGGCGTACCAGTTCAGGTCCGTCCCGCTCTCCCTCGCCCTCTCTCTCTCTCTCTCTCTTGCGACGACGAGCTCACCGACATCGAGTGTGCGCAGGCTCATGCTCGAGTACGGGCGCTTGTACAACGACGAGGACGAGCCGGGCAGCAACGACTTTACGGGCGACACGTGCGTCTCTCTCTCTATCTCTCTTCCTCTCTCTCCTCGGCGTCGGACTGACTCTCTCTTCTGGCGCGCTCGCAGGTCTGTCGAGCCTCGATGGAACGGGCCCGTCCTCCTCAAATAGCCTTGCTCGCCTCTTCTCCCTCCCTCTTCCTCTCCCTCTCTCTCTCGCACCCACCACACACTCTGTCATCCCCTCACTCATGCTGCATCTCGCCTCCCTTGTCGTTTATCGGACGCATCTCATGCCTCTCGAGGAACTTAGACCTCGCCTCGCCTCTCTTGTCTTGATACTCGCTCGGAGAGAGAGAGGAAGCGGGAACCGTCGACGTTGCAGAAGCCGCAAGCGATAACGAGAGTGCGAGAGACAAGTCACAGAGGCAAAACGGCACGATGGGGAGAGTACACAGAGGGAGAGAAAGGAGGAGAGAGCGAGGGAGGGAGGGGAAAAGAAAAAAGCCAGGTCGACCCGCGCCTGCTCAGACTCGCCCACGCGCTCGTCCACCTGCTCAGACCACCTCGAGGAAGACGCCGACGCCGAGCGCGCCGACGATGACGGCGACCGTCGACACGGCCGCGCCGAGGGCCCGTGCGCTCGAGACCTGCGCGTCCGACGACGCCGACGGGTCGGTCGCGGCGGCGGTGCCGCCAGGCGCCGAGGTGGGCGACGACGGCGACGACGGCGACGACGAGGAGCCGTTGGTACTGGCGGCGAGCGCGTTGAGGGCAAAGTACTGGCGCGTCATGAGGGTCGACTCCATGGCCATCGGGAGGGCCCAGTCCTCGAACTGCGTCGTCTGCGTGTGAGGACGAGGGCGAGAGAGGAACGTCAGGGCCGAGTGAGGACGAGGAGAGAAAGAGAGAGAGAGGAAGGACGCACCGACAGGTTGTCGCCCCACGAGGCAAAGTCGGGGAAGTCGATCGTGATCTTGACCGTCTCGTCCCACATCTGCTGGTTCTCCTTGTTCCTGCAGGCGTCGAGGAAGTCACTGCGCGCTCTCGACGATCAAGGACGCGAGAGAGAGGAGGAGGAGGACGCACTTGGCGGCCCACGTCTTCATGTAGCTGCCGAACGACGAGTTGCCGTCGAGCGAGACCTGGCCCTGCAGGTCGGGAAGGGAGCGCGGCGAGATTCAGTCGACCACTCGAGGACGGAGAGAGAGGGGAGAAGAAGGACGTGAGGACGCACGTTGATGAGGCCCTGCGCGCACGGACCCCGAGGAAGGCGAGGTCAGTTCGCGCGTCCAGCTCGGCGACACGAGGAGAGGGAAACGGCGGCGACGCACGAACATGCCCATCTTGCAGTGCATGGCGACGGCGCAGTAGTAGAAGACGGGCTTGTCGTCCTTGACCTTGACGGGGAACGTGAACGTCGCGTTCTGCATGCCGCTCTTGAACGCGCCGTCGGCCTGCGACGCGTTGCAGATGCTCGCCGCCGACGACTGCGTCACCGTGTGAGGCTGCCGGTGGGAAGAACGAGGGCGAGAGGGTCAGTGAGAGGGTCGATGGAGAGACCGACGAGGAGGAGAAAAGGAAGGTGGACGCACACCTGCGCCCCAGACGAACTCGACCGTCTCGCCCGGCTTGACGGCGATGTTGAACGGGACCATGCGCTGTAGGCGAGGGCGACGAGATGGCGTCGGTCAGGGCGATCGAATCGGTCGACGAGAACGAGAAAGAGAGAACGAGGGGACGCACGAGGTCGCCCTTCTTGGGCGCGACGACGACCTGCCCGGGACCTGCGACGAGGCCAGTGTCGTAGCCCGCAGGCGGAGGAGGAGCATCGCCGCCCGCCGCCGCCGAGGCGCTCGCCGCCGGAGGAGCCGAGGCCATGCTGTCGGTCGCCGAGGCGGCGGGCCACGCCATCGAGCTCGCTGCGGACGTGAAAGAGCGAGATCAGTAGGCGCTCGTGACCAAGTGTGTCGAGGGGAGGGAGGGAGAGAGAGAGCCAAAGACGCACCGACCATGCACTGCTGGACGCACTGGTCCATCGCGATGCCGCCGCCGCCGCCCCACGCCGCACTCGCCGACGCCGTCTCGCTCGGCGCCCAGTTGGCCGTGTCGTACGACGACGCGCCGGCGTGGCCCGTCGCCATGGCCGAGTCGTGCGCCATCGCCGAGTCGCCGCCCATCATGCCCGACGACGCGGCCGCCGACGCCGACGACCACGACGAGGCCATGTCGCTGACGGCGGGCACAGCGGGAGCGGCCGGCGCGCCGTACGCGGCACCGTACTGGCGCTTAGCCGGAGCGAGGTGGCGACGCTGGGCGAGCGCGTCGTGCGCGAGGTGGCGGTCTGTGCGGGGGAAAAGGGGGCGCGAGGCGCGTCAGTGCGAGGCTCGAGGGGGTGGGTGACAGCGTACAGCGGAAGAAGGGACTCACCAAACGCGAGAACGAGAGGTGCGACCAGCGCGAGCGAGAGGAAGGAGGTCGAGAGCATGGTGGCGGGGGCGAGAGAGGGTGGGAGGGTACGGGGTGAGGGCCGTGGCGGTGCGAGGAGCTTGAGGAGGGTGAGGGCGAGGGATGGGCGTAGCGAGGGTCGCGTCAAGCGAGGGAGCGAGTGTTGACTGCGAAGGCGGGGTGGCGAGGCGCGAGCGGGCGAGGGAGAGGGGAAAGGGGAGGGGAACGGAGGAGAGGGTCAGGGAGTGCCCGCAGGTGGTCGAGGGGGACAGAGAGAGCCGACTCACCCTGCAACAGAGAGGCTAGCTCTCGAGGAAGACGAGGCGAGTCGGGACGAGGGAGAGGAAGGAGGGAGAGAGGCGTCGACCCACGCCGCGCCCGCTTTGCCTCGCCCCGCCCGCGCGCTCGGATCTCCTTCCTCGCCCCCGCTCCACAAGGCCCTGATCGACTTCTGGTCCAGCACTTAGTACCGCCGTGGCTCGCGAGACGCCCGCTGGCGACAGGCGCTGCGCCAGGGCGCGCGAGGTGCTGGTGGACGAAGGCGAAACCTGCGCATAGCGCCGCTCTCTCGAGCTCGCAGCTCTCTCTCTCGCGCCGTGCGACACAAGAGGAAAGGAAGTGCTGCAAGAGGCGACGTACAAGGGTCCTCGCGCCGCCCGAACCTTGCTCGACCTGCTCGACCTGCTCGCGAACCTCGCTCGCTCGACGCTGGACCGCCCGTGTGGCACATCTTGGCCGCTCGACTCGTCAGCACCGTCAGTAAGGCGACGCTGCGTCCCGCCGTCTCGGCGAGAGAGCGCCCGGCCGGCCTCGCGCTGCGTCGTCCACCTCGCCCCGTCTGCGCGACGCCGGCTCGCGGTCCTTGCCGCCCGAGGAACGACTCGCTCCGACACGGTAGCCGCTGCTGCGACACCTTGGGCGAGGAGAGAGTGTCCAGGACGTGCGGAACAGGTGGTTGGCGGAAGGAAGGGCGTGCTGGACTGCGGCGGGAGGTCGAGGAGAGGAAGGACGAGGTCAGGCTTGCGCTGCGCCTCGCTAGGCGGCTGTGGCGGAGGGGCGGGTCAGATGGATGCGTATGGCCAAGTGCGCGAGGCTGTTCTCAGCGTACGAGAGGATGCGGGCGCACCTGACGAGGGGACGAGGTGGGCGGGACCAACGAGGACGACAGCTCGGGGAATCAAGCTGCGAGTCGGGTCGCGGTCGAGCGAGTGCGCAGAGCGTGTTGCCAGCACAGGCAAGGTGCAGGCTAGCCAGCCGGGGGCTGAGCTGGTGAGTGCGACGAGGACAACCGAGGCTGATTGAGCCGACTCGCCTCTGGTTTCCCTCGTCCCGCTCACTCTCTCGCTCGAACCAGTCCAAGCACACGCACACCTGCACACCATGGCCGACGTGCGTCCCCCTCACCCTCTCGCCCCAGCCCCCTCACCCTCACTCACCTCTCCCTCCTCCTCGTCCTCATCGCTCGCTCCCCCACCTCGGGCAGTCGACCTACAAGTTCAACGTCGTGCGTCCACTCCCTCTCTCCCACACTGCACTCTCAAAGGACGCGACCTGACCCGATCGAGCCCTGCAGAAGATGACCTGCGGCGGGTGCTCGGGCGCCATCGAGCGCGTCCTCAAGAAGACCGAGGGTGCGTCGGCCCTCAGCTCCCTCGACTGTGCACGGTCTCGTCTGCGGTGAAAGCAGCACGACGAGCTCGTGCTCTGTGAGAGCAAGTCGGCTGACACGCCCGTCCTCCTTTCCCCCTCCCCTCGCCCACCTCAGGCGTCTCGTCGTACGACGTCTCGCTCGACACGCAGCAGGTCATCGTCAAGACGACCGTCCCGTACGACGACATCCTCGCCAAGATCAAGAAGACGGGCAAGGAGGTCATCAGCGGCGAGGTCGTCGTCGCATAGCGCGCGCTCGGAGGACGGCGGGAGCGAGCGAGGGGCCTACGCAGCGCTGGACGCTGTCGAGCATCGCAACGACGTCTTGTCTCACGAGAGTTCGTCGAGAGAAGCGCACGAGCAGAGAGAGGCGTGCGCTGCGAGTTTGCGTCTCTCGCTGGTCGAGGCATGTCTCTTCCTCGCCTCTCGCTCGCGCAGAGGGAAAGGAACAATGGACACAGCGCCCCTTACCGTCTACCGCTTCTTGCGCCTCCCACCTCGTCCGTCTTCCCACTCCCGCTCCCCGAGAGCCCGCACGACCGCCCATGCACCGAGCAGCCCAAGCGCCACCACCTGCTGCCGCTCGCTCAGTCGCGCCCTGCCGCGCTCGAGGCCGTCGAGCGGGTTCCCGAGGAGGGCGTTGAACGCGCAAGGGACGACGAGGCGGTCCTTGAGGGCGACGAGGGCGAGAGTCGGGAGCGGGTCGAGCGTCTGCGGGACGAGCGGGGCCGGTGGGTCAGTGCGCCGCCGAGTACGAGTGCGAGGGGGAGGGAGAGGGAAAAGGAAGAGTGGTGCGCACCGACGCGAGGTGCCAGAACGCCGAGAGGCCGGCGAGCGACACGAGCGCGGCGGCCGTCTCTCGCGCCCAGAAGCCCGGCTCGAGGAAGAAGGTGTGGTGGCGCGAGCGGCGGATGTTGGCGAGCTCGGGCGAGAGGAGGGTCGGGATGAAGAGGAAGAGGAGAGAGAGTAGGAGGTGTACGAGGAGGCTTGGGTGGGAGGAGGACCTGCTGGAGGACGGCGGGTGAGCGCGAGGCGACGTCTTAGGAGAAGGTGAGGGAGGCTGGGACGTACCGTCGCCGATGGGTGAGCCCGTCCTCCTCGAAGCCTTCAGCGACCTCAGCTCGCTCTATCCCGGCGGTCGAGAGGCACAGCACCCAGCCGAGTGCGCCCACCGCCCACGCGAGCGCGACCACCCCGGCGTCCCACCAACCCTCGAGCGCGACGCCTCTCCCCGCTCCGAGCACGATCCCGCACACGAGCGCCGCGCCGGCCTCAGCTCGTCGTGCGGGCCCGAGCGACCGCGGGACGATGGGCGGCGGGAGGGGCACGAGCGCGACGAGTGGGGCGAGGACGAGGGGCGCGAGGCGCACGGCGGCAAAGACGGCGGGGTCGAGGGTGCGGTGGGCGCGCAGCTCGGCGAGTGCGGTGAGCGTCGAGGAGAGGGCGGCGAGGAAGGCGCGGGAGGAGCACGAGGCGGATGGCTCGGGAGAGGAGAGAGGGCGGGAAGGGAGGATCGAAGCGAGCGAGTCGAGGGCGCTCGAGACGAGGGTCGGCCGGGGCGGCGGGACGTGTCGACGATGCCGCAATACCTTGGCGGCGAGAGAGGCGGCAACGAGGGCAGCGAGGGCGAGGGCGAGGTGCAGGAGGGTCGCGACGAGCGGGTGGGGGAACCTGCGGGTGCGAGCGAGGTGAGCCAGGGGTTCGCGCCGAGACGAGAGCGGGTGGCAAGGACGGACCTGTACTCGCTGGTGCTGCCCACCAGAGCCGCGAGGACCGCTGTTGCAGGCTGAACGACGAGGTAGATGGCGGCAGCTCGCAACTCGGGGCGGCGGGCGAGGCGACGCAGCGATGCGAGGTGCGCGCTCGCTCGAGAGGTCGAGAGCATTAGCCCGGAGCAGTACGAGCACCGCAAGGCCCGCCTGCAGCTAGACGCGTGGGCGAGGTCGACCACCTCGAGCCTGGCTTCATCTCTCGTCGTCCGAGGTTGACGCTCTCTCACCTCGCGCACTACCACAAGATGGCGTTCCCAGGTGCCAGCAGTCTGGCCAGGACTCTGCTCGTCCGGCTCAGCCGACCAGCCGTCCACCCGCCGCCCTTCTTCACCCCGACCCACCTCGCTCGCCGACACTCGCTCGCCACCTTCACCCCTTCGTACCGCCCTGCGACCCTCGTCCGGCCATCCGAACCCTTCCTCGCCCTCCGCCACGCCTTCCGCCCGGCCAGCGCCGCTCCACCCTCGTCGCAGCGCACCTTCTCCTCGTCGGCTCTCCTCCGCGGCATCCGCCCTTACTACGGCCGAGGAGGCGGTGGAAGCTCGTACGGTCGGCGCCGAGACCCCAGCTGGCGCGACAGGATCGACGCGGTCCCCGGGCAATATCTCGTCTACGGCCTCATCGGTGCGCCCGTCCTCCTCTCCTCCTCCTTCTCCCTCGGTCGCCCAGGTTCCTCATCGATTATCCTGTGCCTCGACTGACATTCTCCTTGCGAACCTCTCGCGCAGCGGTCAACGTCGGCGTGTACGGCGCGTGGCAGTACGGCAACGAGCTCGCGCTCCGGTTCCGCGACGCCTCGTGGCTCAAGTTCCTCCAGCGCAACTTTACCGTCTCGTGGCAGAACATCACGAGCGGCCGCGTGTGGACGCTCGTCACGTCGGCCTTCTCGCACGAGGGGACGGGCCACATCCTCGTCAACATGCTCTCGCTTTAGTGCGTCCCTCCTTCCCCTCCCTCTCCTCCTCTCCTCGACGACGTGGCACTGACTCGCCACGACCCACAGCTTCATGGCGCCCGCCGTCATGGCCATCCTCGGCAACACTGCGTTCCTCGGCCTGTACCTCTTTGCCGTGCGTCCTCACCCTCGCCTCTTCCCCTTCTCCTCGAGCGGCACTGACACTCCCTCTCGCGCGCGCACAGGGCGTCACCGCCTCGGCGTTCTCCCTCGTCGTCAACCACTTTGTGACCAAGAACCCGTTCTACGCCGCGCACGGCGCGAGCGGCGCAACGTACGGCGCCATTTCCTTTTTCGCGTGCGCGTTCCCGCGCACGACGTTCCTCCTCTTCTTCGTCGTGCCCGTCCCGGCGTGGCTGTGCGTCTCGGGCATTTTTGCGTGGGACGTGTACAACGGCTTGTGGAGGAGGGGCGGCATGACCGACTCGGCGGGCCGTGCGTCCATGCTCTCTCTCTCCCCCTCTCTCTTCCTCTCTCCTTCCGCCGATCCTCCTCGCCTTCCCTTCGACCGCTTCGACAAATAGTCTGACCCTTGCGCGGACCTGCAGATGTCGGCGGCGTTCTCGCCGGCGTGCTCTTCTTCCTGCGCAAGGCCGGTCGGATGTAGCGCACGTCCCTCGCCTTCTCGCCCTCTCGCCTCCCCTGCCCTCCTCGCCACCATCCCTCGCATTCTCGACCACCTCGCACAAGTCGTGTCCCCTGTACCTCCTCGTCGCAGCACGTTCTCGTCCCTCGCCCTCTCCTTTGTCTCGTCCTCTGCTCTCCCCCTTCCTGCTCCCCCCTTGTTGTCGTCCTCGCACCTCTCCTCCTCTAGCCCCTCGCACAGCTATACAGTCGAGCATCATGCACGACCCCGGTCACGAACGCCCTGCGAGAGAAGCGCGAGAGAGGTTGACAGCGGAGGAGGTCAAAGCGCGCGCGACCGCTTCTCGCTCGAGGACGCAGACTAGCTCTCGCTCGCTCGGCCGACGCTCTCTCTCAGTCGCCGGGCCCGAGAGCGGTATGTACGGTACTGCATTGACGATGCCGTTATGCTACATCTCCTCGCGCGACGCCCTGAAGCGCTCGCTCAGACGAGCCTCTCGCCGTCCGCCGAGTCGGCCGCCGCCGCCGACGCCGACGAGCCCTCGTCCTCGTTGCCAAACATCCTGCTGCCGTCGGCGACAGCGCGGTGCTCGTCGCTCATGTTGACGAGCTTGTCGTGCTTGACGTGCGACTCGAACAGGCCCTCGTTGCGCAGGCGCGACCGCTCGGCCATCTCCTCCTGGTGGTTGACGGCCTTCTTCTGCAGGCCCGTCCCGCTGCCCTCGCCAATGTTGCCGTGCGTGCGGATCGTCTTGACGCCGGCGTCGCCGTGCAGCGCGTCTGTGCGAGGAGAAGGGGGCGGGTCAGCGTCTTCCCCCGGGGTGCAGCAGCTTGCCCGAGCGCCCTGCGCTCGTCGCACGCAAACTGAGGGGAAGAGACAGAAGACGCACCCATGAGGCCCTCGGGCGCATCGTGGCTCGCCGTCGCGCCAACCGCCGCGTCGTGGTCGTCCCGGCCCGTCTCGCTCTCGCGGTTCGGGTATGCGACGTCGCTCACGACGCTCTTGATCGAGTCGAGGATGCCGCCGGACATGGTGAGATTCGAGAGGTGTGGGTGTGTGAGGTGGTGGGGCTGCGAGGGCGAGAGGGAGAGCGTGAGCCGGGCGAGAGGAAGAGGGAAGTGGGGACGAGGAGGACGAGGGCGAGACGCACTGTGTGGTGGACGTGTGCTGGGTTTGGGGTGCGGGCTTTCTTGTGAGTAGCTGAGGCTGGTGCAGAGCAAGCAGGAAGTGAGCCGGAACAGCGACCACGCCGTCGTTCGGCTCCTCGATGAGCGATGGTGGGGAGCTCGAGCGCGTCATGATTGTCCGCCCGGCCTCGCCACCCCTCTCTCGAGAAGCGCCGTCCGTTTAGCCTCGGACGCGCACACCCCACACTCTGTCTGCAGATCCCCCTCGCTCGAGCCGGAGAGAAAACCGCTTCTCATCGAGGAGGAAGAAGAAGAGGCTCGAGCGAGCGACGACGATCTTCTTCGCTAGCGAGGGCGACGTGCGAGCGCAACGAGCTGCTTCGTTACAGGAGAGGGACAACAAGGGGGTCTATAGAGGTATATGTGTGCGCGAGAGAGAGAGGGGGAGAGAGGAGGAGGAAGGGGAGGGAGGGGATCAACCGGCGAACGCCTTGTCGTCGAGCTCGACGCCGAACTCTGAGCGCGCCATTTCCTGCAGGTGCGACGAGTCAGTGTCACATTCACCGCCTTGAGCGGTACGCAGAGGAAGAGAGAGAAGAGGGACGAGGGAGAGAAAGAGGGACGCACCGTCACCTGCTTCTCGAGCAAGTCCTCCATGCGCTCGCCCTTGTTGCCCATGCGCTCCTGGACCCACGCGCGCATCCTCGTGAGGACGAACCCGACGTCGACAAAGACGAGGACGACGCGGAAGATGACGAGGCGCAGCTTCTCGACCGTGTAGGCGCGCAGGCCGAGCACGCGCAGCGACTGCGAGTGCTCCGGCGTCGACAGCGCGAGGCCGTCTGCCGCGCCGGCCGCAAAGATGTTGATGCGGTTTGACGGCGAGCCGACCGCCTGGTTGTTGCCCTGCATCATCCTCATCGCGCGGGTGATGAAGATGAGCGGGCGCGGGATGAGCTCCTCGCTCTCGAGCATCGTCTTGATGCGGTCCTTGAGGCCGGCCTGCTGCTCTTGACGCGCAATGGCGGCGCTCTTGCGCTCCTCGGGCGTCTGCTCCTCGGGCGGCGGCTTCTTGCGCAGGCGGTGCGGGCGCAGGAGCGTGAGCGACGCAAAGATGTCGCTGTTCTGGCGCCGGATGCCCCACGCGACGGCGATATCCTCGATCGTCTTGACGTCGCCGACAAACAGGCTGCGCCACAGGAGGCAGTACTGGTGGCGGAACTCCTCGGACATCTCGACGTACAGGCCGTGGTCGATGAGGACGACTTGCGGCTGCGACGGGTGCTTCGGGTTGGCGCGAACGAGGATGTTGCCCGGATGCGGGTCCGAGTGCACCTGCGGGCGCGAGATGAGGGTCGTGAGTTTTCGCCCGAGGCACCTCGAGAAGTGAAAGAGAGACGCACCCAGCCCCACCGGAACACCATGGCCGAGAACGCCTCGGTCGCCGTGTCCATGACCTGCTTGAGCGAGAAGCCGGCGGCGGCGATGCGCTCCTTGTCGGTGAGGCGACAGGCGTCGACAAAGCTGCGTGCGCTCGACATGGTCAGGGCTGCACGAGAGCGAGAGGAAGGACAGGAGAGGAGAGGGGACGCACTCGGCGGTCATGACGCTCTCGCCCGTCCACTGCCAGTTGACCTTTGGCACAGCGACTCGATCCCGCAGTCGAGGCTCGTCGGCGAGGTATCGTGCGGTGCGCTCGGCGTTGGTCGCCTCGGTCTTGAGGTTGACCTCCTTGCGCATCTGCTCCGAGACGTACTGGCTGATGAAGGCAACGGGCATGTCGAACAGGCGCTCGTACGTCCACAGGAGCGCTCGATAGCAGAACAGGTCGCTGCAAGAGAGGAGGAGGAGGTGTCAGTCAACGTCGCTGAGGGACGAGGGAAAGAGGTACGCACGCCTCCATCTGCTTCGGGATCGCCTCCCTGCGAATCTTGACAGCGACCCAGCCCTCGCCGTCGCGCCATGGTCGCCCGTCGACAGGCTTGAGGCGCGCGCGGTGGACCTGGGCGATCGAGGCCGACGCGAGCGGCTGGCGGTCGATGTACTCGAACGCGTCCTCGGGCTCGACGCCGAACTCGCCCTTGAAGACGCTCACGACCTCGGTCCAGGGGATGTTGGGCGCCGAGTCGAACACGCTGCCGAGGGCGTCGCGGTACGGCTTGGGGAGGATGGCGGCCTGGATGGCGAGCGCCTGTCCCAACTTGATGTACAAGCCTTTGTTGGTGTCGATGAGGGCGCCGAGGCGACGGGCGGTGCGCTCGTGGAGGGCGTCGATCTTGTCGGGCTGGCTCGTGTCAAAGTTGAGCTTGAAGTCGGCGGCGAGCGTGATGCCAAAGAGCGAGGTGCGCAGGCTGCGCGAGATGGCGTCGGCGTTGAACTGCTTGTCCCACGCGAGGACGCCGGCGACGCCGAGCCCGACTGTACCGACTGTGCGCAGCCGCCTCGTCGCCTTCGATCGCGGCTTGGCGGTGGTGCTGGCGAGCCGCGTGCGGATCGAGGAGGGCGGCGAGGGGGCGACGAGGCGAGGTGAGGGCAAGGCGGCGGCGGACCAGCGCGTCGCGGCTTGTCGACCGAGCATTCGAGTCGGCGGTTGCAGGCTTGACCGCTCAGCAGGAGCGGGCGGTAGCAGTGGTGGTGGAGAGCGAGAGCTTGCGTCGGCGGCCGGCTCACTGCTTCGAGCGATCGCAGCTCGGCTCTCCTCCTCTCGCTCACGCGGCGCCATTGCTGCTGGCCCAGTGCTCCCCGATGAGCCATGGCTCAGTCCGCACGCGAGCGCACCTGCGATCGGGGCCTCCTCGCTGTCGTATACGCTCGCGGCCGTGACGTTGTCATCACCGTCCGTCGACCGGTCTCGAGCAGGCTAAGTTACGCTGCTGCACCGGGGCCCTGGGCTCGGCGTGCCCTGCCTCCTCGGCCGTGCGCAAGGACGCTGGCGGCCGCGTGGAGACTCGGCCAAGCTGCCGGCCTGGTCGACCTCCACCTCCACCGCTCGACCTCGTTCCCCACCTCGACCTCCGTCCCTCGCCTCTTGCCTCTCTTCTCCTCACCTCCCGCAACCATGAACAAGCTCTTCGCTCCCGCTCCCGAGCCTCGCACCCCGCTTGGCCGCTACCGCGTCCTCGGGCCGCACTGCGGCCTGCGCGTCTCGCCTCTTCAGCTAGGTGCGTCCGCCCTCTCTCTCTCCCTCATCACCCTCACCAGCCTGTGAGCTGACCAGGCCTCTTTGTCCACAGGCGCCATGTCGATCGGTGAGGCGTGGGAGGAGTTCATGGGCAGCATGACCAAGGAGCAGAGCTTCAAGCTCCTCGACGCCTTCCTCGAGGCCGGCGGCAACATGATCGACACGGCCAACAACTATCGTCCGTCCTCCTTCCGCTCTGTGCCGTCCTCGCACCTTCCCTCTTGTCTGTGCGAGTCGACCAGAACTGACGACCTCGGGTCCCCGTCCTCCCCTGCTTCCTCCCTCCCTCCCTCCCTCTTTCACTCGCAGAGAACGAGGAGAGCGAGACGTGGATCGGCGAGTGGATGGCCTCGAGGAACGTGCGCGACCGCGTCGTCATCGCGACCAAGTTCACCACCAACTACAAGACGTACTCGCCCGACCTCGACCGCAACCAGGTCGTCCAGTACGGCGGCAACAACAAGCGCTCGCTCCACATGTCGGTCCGCGACAGCCTCAAGAAGCTCCAGGTCGACTTTATCGACATCCTGTACGTCCACTGGTGGGACTGGACCACCTCGATCAAGGAGATGATGGACAGCCTGCACATGCTCGTCGAGGCCGGCAAGGTCCTGTACTTGGGCGTCTCGGGTGCGCCCTGCTCCCTCCTCTTCTCGTACTCGTCGTGCGACGAGGCAACTAACTCGTTCGACGCCCCACGACCGACAGACACGCCGGCCTGGGTCGTCGCGGCCGCCAACCAGTACGCGCTCGACCACGGCAAGACGCCCTTTGTCATCTACCAGGGCAAGTGGAACGTCATGGTCCGAGACTTTGAGCGCGACATGTGCGTCCTCGCTCCCTCTTTGGCGGCCCTGCGCGCTCGAAGGACGTTCAACTGACCAACCTCGTCTCCTCGCCGTCCTCCCTCCCGCAGCATCCCCATGTGCCGCCAGTTCGGCCTCGCCCTCGCTCCCTGGGACGCCATCGCCTCGGGCCGGCTCCTGACGCAGAAGCAGCTCGACGAGCGCGCCGCTGCGGGCGAGCAGCTGCGTCGCGGTGGCAACGAGCGCTCGGACCTCGAGATCAAGTACGCCGAGTGCCTCGCCGAGGTCGCCGCCGAGCACGGCATCGAGTCGGTCACGGCCGTCGCTCTTGCCTGTACGTCGTCGGTTCTCCTCCCTGTCGCTCGCCCCGAACCCGAGACTGACACGCTCGTCCCTGCAGACCTCATGGCCAAGACGCCTCACGTCTTCCCGATCGTCGGCGGTCGCAAGGTCGAGGTGCGTCCTCTCTGTCTCTCTCTCCTCTCTCTCTCCCCTCCCTTGCCTGCCTCTCCTCCCTCGTGGCCCTCTCCTCGCGCTCGACCCTCGTCTCGCTCGTCGCCGGCCTCTGATCTCTCCCCCTCCCCCTCGTCGCGCTACAGCACCTCCACGACAACATCCAGTCGCTCTCGATCAAGCTCACGGACGCCCAGGTCGACAAGATCGACAGCGTCCAGCAGTTCGAGCACGGCTTCCCGCACAACTTCTGCGGAACCGACTCGAGCTTGCCGCCGTCGAAGCACCAGCCGTCGAACATGCTCCTCCCGTCGCAGGGGACTATCGACGTGCTGCCGGGCCCGAAGCCTTTCGGCAGGGCCTGAGCGCCGCGTCTCGACGAGGACAAAGAACCCTCTCGCGCTCTCTGCAACCCGGTATCTCTCTGTGTCTCTCGCCTTTCAGGCTGCGTCTCGAGAGAGGGATAGAGAGAGAACGACAAAGACTCAAGTGCACTAGAGAAGGAAGCTGCAAGATCTAGGCAAAGCGGATATGGCGAGGGACGAGAGGCCCGCCTCGCGAGGACTGGTACAGCGCCGAGCTCAGCTCAGGGTGACTCGGCGGGGGTCACGAGGCCGCTCCTCGCCTGCTTCCCGACGCTGCTCGACCCGCTTGCTCTACCGCCCTCCTCGCTCACCGCTGTCGCCGGCGGTGGCGGCGGCGCCACCGCCGCTGCCGCCTGCGCCTTCTTGTTGCGGTTGCGGGGCCCGCGCTCCTTGGTGATGGGCTTGAGGGCCCCGAGGCGGCACGGCGGGCCACCGGGCACCGAGCGCCAGAAGAGCGGGTTGCCGAACGCCGAGTAGTCGGCCGCCGAGAACGTCTCGAGCGTGCCGTCCGGGAGCGTGACGCACGACGCGAACGAGGTCGAGTCGAGGATGTTGAGGAGCTGGGCGGTCGAGGCACGGCGGAAGCCGTAGATCTGCGAGCGGAAGGAGCAGGTTGAGCGGCCGGGACGCGCAGGAGGGGAGGAGAGAGAGAGAGAAAGAGGGGGACGCACGTTGAGTTGGCGGATAAAGCTGCTCGTCACCGTGTGGCGGAAGAAGCGCTCGAGGATCTGGAGGAGGTGCGGCTTGGTGTGCGCGACGAGGAGGTACTGGCCCGACGAGTCCCACCGGACCCACGGCTCGAACTCGGGATGTTGGAGAAGGTACGACAGCTTGGAGATGAACGGCTGCAGGGGGAGGACCGAGAGTCAGTCACGCGTACGGTGAAGGAGTTAAAGGGAAAGGTGGGCGCACCGTGACGACCTCGCTCTCCTCCTCGTCGGTCGACGTGGGGGAGCCGGCAGCCGGGCCTTGCGACGGCGGCGGCGGCGGCGACGGCTTGTCGACCTGGACGTCCGTGTGCGGGTACTTGAGGGCGACAGGCACAGGAACGACTGGTGGCGGCGTCGTGCGGACGCGCTTGGCGCCGGGCCCGGCGCGCGAGATGAGGTCCTCGAGGTCCCACAGCTGGGGCGACAGCGGCGGGAGGACGTCGAGCGGCGGCGACGGCATCGACGACGACGGCTCGGGCACTGGGCCGAGGTAGGGCACCTCGAGCGCGTTCGGCGAGATGCCAAAGTCGAGGTAGTCGGCCCAAGACGACTCGTCGTTGGCGAGCGCCGACGAGACCGACCCGCCGACGCCGCCCGCCAGCTCGCTGAGGAACGCTGCGTCCTCGGCCGTCAGGTACGAGGGCGCAGAGCGCTTTGTCGAGGTCGAGGTGGACTCGAGCGAGTAGGCGTGGGCGGGAGGAGGCGGAGGAGGCGGTGGGGCGGGCGAGCACGAGCCGGCGCAACGCTGGTTCGGGTCGACGTCGTACGTCTGGAAGAGCGGGCAGCCTCCCGCCGTGTACGGGCAGGCGACGAGGGGCTCGGCGGCAGGCGCGGTGGTCATGGCTGGCGGCGGGGGAGCGGCGGCGGGGGGAAGCTGGGCGCTGCTGAGGGTTGATCGGCGCGAGGTCGGTGGCGAGTTGGTGCGGTGTGCGGCAGGCGAGGCTGGCAGTGCTCGGTGCAGGCGAGGGTCGAGGGTTGGTGTCGAGCGAGGAGAGGAGGAGGAGGAGGAGCGGAGAGCAGTCGGAGCAAGACGCGGCCGAGTCGCCTCGCTGCGCCCTGCGAGCTCAGCGAGTTGAGTCCCACGACCGGGCCCAAGGCCTCGGTGAAGAAGGTGCGGGAACGAGCACCATTCTCCAGGCTCGGTAGAGCGAGCCAACGTTGTCTGTCGCGCGGCACGCCGGCGGGGCGCCGCCGAGGCTTGTGCGGCGGTGCAGGCTCGCACGCAAGCTGTGCGCGTACGAGTCCGCACTGCTCTGTGAACGTGAGCCGCTGTGGGAGGAGCAGCCTTGCCAACCGGGCCGCTGCGGAGCCGGCAACGACGTGGCCGCAGCGGTCCTCGCACCCAATCGTCTGCTTGCCTCGCTCGCCGCTGTCTCCCTTCGTCCTCTACCGCTGTCGCGCTCCAACTCTCGCTTGAGCCGGCCCGATCTGCTCTCTCAGCCGACCCTCAGCTTGTCGTCCAGGCGCGCAACGATGCCGACCCTCGCCGCCCGCTGGCGCTCCCTTGGCTCGCACGACTGCCTCCAGCGCTCGTCGCACGGCCTTGCCGTCCACGGCGACCGAGCCTTCGTCTTTGGAGGAGAGCTCAAGCCTCGCACGCCCGTCGATGCCGCCGTCACGCTGCTCAACCTCGCCGGTGCGTCTTTCGTCCTCTCGTTCATTTCGAAATCGAGCGCACGAGAGACTGACGCCTTCCTCACCCTCCAGACGGCAAGACGAGCACGCTCACCGCGTCCGCGACCGACTCGAGCTGGCCAGCGTCACGTGTCGGCGCCACGTTCGTCGCGTGCGGCGGCAAGATCTACTCTTGGGGCGGGCGTGGCGGCAAGGCCATGGACCAGCTCGCCGACAACGCCGCCATCTGGGCCCTCTCGCCCGGCGCAGGAACGTGGGAGGAGCTCAGAACGACGGGCGACCTCCCCGAGCCGAGGAGCTTCCACACGATGGCAGCGCTCGAGGTTCGTTTCATCTTCCTTCGCGCCACTGTCCCTCTCGCTCCGAGTCCGACATTGACTCGATCGTCGTCGTCATGCCTCGCAGAACACGCCCTACCTGCACGCCGGCTGCCCCGCCTCGGGCCGCCTCGCGCAGCTGCACGCGCTCGACCTCGCGACCCTCACCTGGTCGCGCCTCGCCGACGCGCCCGAGCCCGGCCGTGGCGGCACGGTTCTCGCCGCGCTACCGAGCACGGGCAAGCTTGTGCGCTTTGGCGGCTTTGCCGGGCGCGAGCTCGACGGCCTCGACGTGTTTGACCCGGCGAGCGGGACTTGGACGTCGGTCGAGGCGGGCGTCGAGGGCGGCGGCGAGGGTCCAGCGAAGCGGTCGGTTCAGTCGCTCGTCGGGCTCGATGGGTCGCTCGAGTGGGAGGGCAAGAAGGTCGTCGCCGTCATGTCGATGGGCGAGCGCGAGGGGGCGCCGGCAGAGCTCGGTCACGACGGCGCAGGCTTCGTGCGTCTCGCTCTCTTTCTTCCTTCCCGATCCCTGGTCGACTCGTCTTGAGCGTTCACTGACTCTGGTTCCTCTCGCAGTTTCATTCGGACGCCTGGGCCCTCCTGCTCGACTCGGCGTCGCCGTCGTCGTACTCGTGGGCTCCCCTCGCGCTCTCATTCACCTCGAGCGAGACGCCCGAGGCTCGTGGTTGGCTCGCCTCGGCACACGCCGGCGGCAATACCGTCATCCTCCAGGGCGGCCTGAACGCACAGAACGAGCGTCTCAAGGACGCCTGGCTCCTCGAGGTTGTTGTCGAGTAGCTCGAGCGGGACAGGAGCAGGAGGAGGGCCGAGCGCGGGAGCTCTCACAGCAGTAGATATTTGTATCACTCGATCGTTCAGCATCGTTGGCGTTCCGCCTCGTCATGCATGTGCGCCGTCTCGAGCAACGCGAGAAAGTGCGAGTCCGAGTCTGCTCTTATCTGTCGCAGAGGCCGCTCGGTCTCCTGCTTCCCTGTCGGCGCGACGTGCCGGCTCTCCTGCGACGGTGTCACACTCGTCGCGAGCGGCCTTAGCTTGCGCAGAAAGCGGGCTCCTCGCGCTCGAACCCCTTCTCGACCTTCTCAAAGTCGGCTTCACGGCTCTCCCTCTCGATCTTGGAGCCGCGCAGGTAGCAGAACAGGCTCGTGCTCGCTGTGTTCCCACATTTTCAAACTCTTGGGCCAAAGGCGAGCGGGCGCCGAGTCGAAGCGAGTACGCCCACGCTCGAGGGCGGGAGTGCGAGCTGTCGAGCGAGCAAGGACGAGCAAGCACTCTCGACAGAGGCGGACGCAAAAGCTGGCAGGAAAGCGACGACGCAGGCCTTGGTTGCAACGACACGCAGAAAGAGAGAGAGAGGGGGGGCGAAAGGGACGAGGGAGAGACGAGGAGGCAAGGGCGGGCGTGTACAGAGGGTTGTGCAAGGGGTAGAGAAGAGGGGAGCGTACAGACGGCACTAGGTGACAGGGAGTACGGCGACGAGGAGGAAGGGCAGCAACAAGGGAGGGAGGGAGAGACGACACGGCGGACGAGTGGAACCCGAGATCCAGAGACGCCTTCCTCGACCTCAGTGCGCCGACACGGCGTCGACGCGCCTCGCCGCAGCGACGCCGCCATGGTGCACGGCGTCGACGTCCATCGGCGACGACGCAGCGCTGCCCGATGCCCAGCTCGCCGGCACGAGCGACGCCGCCGGAGCGCCGCCGGCACGCGCACGAGGGAGCGCGCCACGCCGCGTCGGCAGGGCGCGCACCTTGCGAGGCTCGCCGGGCGCCGAGCCGAGGCTCGACGAGATCGACGACGACGCCGAGTGGACGGACGACGGCGCAGCGACGCCCTCGGCGTCCGAGAGGTCGCCGGCGCCGTAGCCGGGGCCGGCGGCGGGCGCAGGCTGGCGGTACGCCATCGGCTGCGCGATGGGGAAGCCGCGGGCACGAACGTCCGAGGCCGAGGTCGACGCCGTCGCCGAGGCGTGCGACGAGTGCGAGTGCGCGTGGTGGTGGCTCGGGACCTGGCCGAGCACGGCTGCGGCCGACTGGCCCCGGCTGAGCGCCGAGCGGCCTGCTGCCGTGAGCGGGCCGTGCGCGCGAACGCCAGCGACGAGCTGGGACGCGGCCGAGTCGGCGACGACGGCGTACTCGGACGCCGAGCGCGACAGGCCCTGGCGCAGCGACTCGGCGGCGGCCGCGTCGACGGGCGACGGCTGAGGCGACGGCGACGGCGACAGGGTCGCGAGGCGCTCGGTCCACCGCTGAAAGTCCTCGGCGCGCAGGTGGAGCTGGAACTGGATGACCTTGAGGAACGCGCGCTCGTTCTTGTTGATCTCGCCGACGGCGAGGCCCGAGATCTTGGCCCACGCCCGGTTCGAGTAGTTGCGGTCCTGGAGGTACTTGCTCGCCGAGATGAGGGCCGCGAGGAACATGCGGCGACCGCACAGGACGGGCGAGTTCTGCGCCTCGACGAGCTCCGAGAAGCGCTCGCCGAGCTCGCTCGCGAGCGCCGAGGCGTGCACGGCGTGCGCGGCGTCGAGCTCGTCCGACGGCGACCGAGGCGGCGACGGGTACGACGACGACGAGGCGAGCGACGGCGACGCCGCACGGGCCCGGACCGCCTTGAGCTCCTGCTCGAGGCGGACGATCTCGGTGCGGCTCGCGTCGGCGCGAGCGACGGCGTCGCGGATCTCGCGACGCGACTTGTGCAGGTAGTAGAGGGCGAGCTGGAGGGTCGAGCACGAGGTGCGCGAGCGGCGAAGGACCTCCTTGACGAACCACTGGAGCGGAAGGACGCCCGGGTTGGACGCGGCGCTCAGCGACGACGGCGCAGGCGATGCCGACGACGCGGGCGACGACGGGCCCCAGATCGACTCGATGGCGAGGACGGACGCTCCTGGGAGGTGGGAGGGGAAAGAGTGAGTGACTCGGTCGGGCAACAGGGGAAGGCGGTCGTCGGCGACGGCGAGGAGAGCTCACCAACGAGGCTGGTGACGAAGCGATCCTTCTCGCCCGCAGGCTGCTGCTGCCGCTGCCCCGATGCCGTAGCCGCCTCACGACAAGGGCGCTCGAAGCCAGTCGAGGCGGCGGCGGCGACCGACGACGACGACGACGACGAGAGCGACGCGGCGCGCGCAAGCGCCTTGGCCGTCAAGTCGTCGCGCTTGACGAAAGCCGAGCGACCGGGGAGCGTCTCAACACGCAAGGGCCCCGCAACGGGCGGGAGCGGCGCGCTGCGAGCGAGCTCGTCGGCGCCCTCGGGCGACGACTCGGGCGTCGCGTAGCGCTCGCCGCCGTGCGCGCCGAACGACGGCTCGGGCGGTGCGGCGGACCACGCGGCGGTGCGGGCTGCGCGGCTGCCGAGACGACCGCTGTCGCCCACGGGGTACGGGCACGACTGCTGCGCCGGCGTAAGGGGCAGGTCGGCGACGCCGCTGTCGACTATCCAGTCGTTGACCGACGCGGTGCGGCGGCTCGACGACGCCGAGCGCGACGGGGGCGGGCGCTGCAGGCGCGAGGTGGACGAGGGGATGGCGGCGGCGGCGGCGGCGGCGGGGCGCGAGCGCTTGGCGTCGGGGACGTCGCGCTGCTGCGAGGTGTAGGAGCGCGAGCGGGCGAGGTAGAGGCGGGCGGCGTCGGAGAGGGGAGGGCCGTCGCACGCGTTGCGGGAGGAAGGGCGAGGAGGAGTGGGAAGAGAGGGAGGCATGGTTGGCGGTGAGGATGACGCTCGACGAGGCGGTGCACTCGAGGCTCGAAGGTGAGAGCGGGGCTAGGGCAGGTCGAGAGACGTTGCGGTCTGCAGTGGGGGATCGAGGGTCAGTGGGAGGGTCATCAGGGACGAGCGGCCACGGGGCCACCTGTTCGGGCGCCGAGTGGGGAGGGGACGAGGACAAGGCGACGCACAGCGAGGCTCGGGTTCGAGATCCGGGTGCGGTCGACTAGTCGAGAGGTCGGTGCGGGTGTGCTGAACGGCTTCGGGCTCTCAGGCGAGGACGAGAGGGCGTGAGAGCGGGACGAAGGCGGTGCTGGTGGCGACGGAGTAGGCGTGACCGGTGGCGGGTGAGGGACCTGGGACGTAACAGGCTGGCGAAGGCCTGCAAGAGGTTTCGAGTGGGGGTACGCTGGGCGTAGTGCGGTAGGCGTGGTGGACAATGTTGGGCGAGAGGTCGTGGTGGGTGGTCGGGTGGTGGTGGTGGCGACGGGGCTCGGGAGGTCGAGTCGAGGTCGGTGTGGGACGGCGGATGGTGACTGCGTTTAGCAGTGGAGCTGAATCGACTTGGCGGTGAACATGGTGGCGAGTAGGGACGAGTGGCGAGGCTGGGAGGAGGGCGCGAGGCCAGGAAGAACGCCGAGTCGACGAGTGCGGGGTCGACGGTGGCGGTGCGACTCGACGGCGAGCACTGTACTCGAGTCGACGACGGGGCCGAGGTGGTCGCAAGGACGAGCTGGACGAGTGCTGAGTGCGCCCACGGGACCAAGGGCGACGAGAGAGGTTGAGTCGACCACGGGTCCAAGTCAACCGATGCGAGTCTCGGCCGTTCGCAACGAGGGCGGGTCTGGTCGACGCTGTGGCGCAGCGACAGGGCTTCACGAGTCAGCGACGGGGTCCTGGCAGTGCGCCTGCAATGCTGAGAGGACTCACAGACGAGCACGGGCTGGAGGAAGGCGACCACGCGGTGCAGGTGGTGGTGCGGGGAGGTCGAGTCGGGCTGCCGGCGTTCGAGTCGACAGGCTGCTGCTCGAGCTGGTCCGGGAGGCTGCTCTGCTTGGTGGTCGAAAGCGTGCAGCCGCGTCGGGTAGTGCGAGGAGGAGAGCGAGCAGGAGGCGGTCAGGGAACGCCGAGTCGAGTGGGGATCCGACTCAAGTGGAAGCAGCTGCTCTCGCGCGAGATGGTGGCAGAGTCAATCCTTCGCGCAAGGCGCACAGTCGAGCACGGCATCGCAAAATGCAGCGCGCAAGTCGTTTCTAGAGAATGGCGGCAGTCCCAGCCTGCACCTCCTTCTTCCACCCCTGGATCCACTCCTCGCCGCGCTCGTCCTTGGGCACGCCCACCATCTCGAACGCCCACCCTTCCTTGAGCTCCCACCCGTCCGCCTGCTCGCCCTCCTTGACCTTGCCCGCCGCCGCCAACACCTTGCCGAGCGTCAACTTGGCCCCAATCTTGAGCACCCGCCCGCGCCGGGTCGCGAGGTACAGCTGCACGCTCTGCGGGTCCTGGTCCATCGACTCGAGCGCGTCGCCGAACGTCGCCTGCTCCGGGAACGCCATGATGAGGTCGCGCGTCGGCGGCGACGCGAGCGGCAGGAGGAGGAAGACGGGGAAGACGAGCGGCGTCTCGGGCGGCGCGGGCTGCCACGGCGCATAGTCGGCGGGCAGGGGCGACGGCGCGACGAGAGGGATCGAGGGGAGCGACGCGACGGGCATGATGTCGGGGTCGAAGTGTGGAGGCGTCACGTCGGTCGGGCAGTTGGCAAAGAGCGCCTTCTTGGCCGTTGGTCGAGGGAAGACGACGCCTCGTTGCTGCGACGTCGAGAGCGGTCAGTCCGAGAGCCCCTGACAGAGACATCGAGAGAGAGAGAGACAGAAGGCGCACCGTCAAGGCGAGGACGAGCGCCGCATCGCCGAGCGTTTTCCTCCGCTCCTTCTCGGCCTTCTCAGCCTCGCGCCTCCTGCGAGCCTCGACCTTCTTCTCGACCTCGTCGCGCCACTTCTTGCCAACGTCCTTGTCCTCCTCGCCGAGCTCCTTCTCGAGAAGCGCGAGCCGGCTCAACGCGTCGAGCGCCTCGGCGAGCTTGTCGAGCGCAGAGAGGGCGCGAGCGCTGCGCAGGAGCGCCTTCATCGTCGTACGGTGCGATGCGTCGGATGGCGGGTCCGGGTACGACGCGTTGGTCTGCGCGAGGACTTGCGAGCAGTCGCGTAGCGTCGCGCCGTTGTTGCCTGCGTCGTCGAGGAGCGGGTCAGACATGAGGAGGGCGAGAGGGAGAGGAAGGGCCGGCGCACCGAGTTCGAGGTTGGCGGCAGCACGGTTGCTCCACAGGGTGCGACGCTCCTCGATCGACAGGTCCTTGCCGACCTCGTCGAGCGCGCGCGTGTAGAAGCCAATAGCGTCGCGGAACTTGCGGCGCTTGAACAGGTCGTTGCCCTGGTTGCGAAAGTTCTCGGCGATCTCTGCGGGGGGTGCTCGACAGGGTCAGCTCGAGGACGGGAAAGGGACAGGGGCAGGGGCAGGGAGAGGTCGAGGGGACGCACCGGACGGGTCGCCGTCGTAGGCGAGAGCCTGGAGGGCGGCGAGGGTGTCGGACGGGTTGGTCTCGCCCTCCTTGATCTCGCGCTGCTTGGCGGTGCCGCCGAGCTCTTCTGGGAGGCTCTTCATGAAGAGTGGGACGGCATCAAACCCGGCGAGGATGTCGTCAGGGTTGGCTGGAGGTGGACTGCAGGAGGGGGGAGGTGGGAGAGGTGAGTTCAACACGGGCGGATTCGGTCACCATGCAGAAAGTTATAACGCACGCTGCGACTGCATCTTGGAGTGTCGCCATCCTGGCAGAGCGAGAGCGAGGCGAGAGAGATGAAGTGAGGTGACCCAGGTTCCGCAGAGCTGGCTCAGCCCTCGACCGCCTCGTTCACCACAGCACTACGCCTTGCTGGATGAGCTTGGCGAGGCTCAAGAGCGCTCTCGTGCGCCTCCCGTGCACCTGCAGCTTCTCGTCGAGGCCCCACCCTTTCGCCTCGCCTCGCCCCTCGACCTCGAGCGCGACCCTCGACGACCCGCTCCCCGACTGGCAGGACCTCGTCGCCGTCCCTCTCCAACCATCAACGACCTCGAAGAAGCACAAGGGCAAGAAGCGGCAGGCGGGCGAGGCGTCGGCGGGCCAGGGCACCTCCTCCCCCTCGTCGCGATCCAACCTGTCCCCCCTTCCAGCGCCGACCGCCGCACCGCCGCCCCAAATCAACCCCGCCAACCTCCGCCGACCGCCCAACGAGCGCACCCAGGTCTCGCCCTACCTCCCCCTCTTCACGCGCGAGCGCAACTTCCTCCTCTCGCACCTCCGCCTCGCCCTCTCGTCGCGCATCCCGACTCGCACCCGCTCGTCGCGCCCTATCCGCACCCGCAGGGCCACCAAGCGCCTCGTGTGGAACGCCGACGCCGCGTGGTACGCCCTCGCCCGCGTCCTGCGCTACCCGGACGACCTCCCCTCCCTCCCCCATTCGCACTTCCCGAGCTCGGCACGCGCACCGCCCTCGCCCTCGCATCCGCACGACGACCGCCCGACCGACTCGGGCTTCTTCACCGCCTCCCGTGTCGCGGCCCCGCCGAGCGCGACCGCCGAGCCTGTCGACGCGGCCGGGCGGCGCAAGGTCGTCCTCACGCTCCCCGAGCTGCGGCGCGCGTTCGCCGTCTTTGCCTCGGCGCGCCCGCGTACCCGCACCGGCCTGCATCGGCTTCTCGTCGTCGCCGAGCTCATCGCTCAGCAGGCACCGGGCGGCGCGGCAACGTCGTCGTCGTCGGCGGCGGCGGCAGGGGGTCCGGGCGTCGTCGACGGCGACGAGCCCGACGTCGGCCTGGAGCAGCTCCGCGGCGGCGGCGCAGGCCTGCGCGACAAGGACTGGCGCGCGCTCCTCCTCTTTGTCGGGGCATCGATGCGCGCGCCCCGTCACGCGCACGAGGTCAAGGACGCGCTCGACCTGTTCTCGTACTGGCTCAAGCTGCACGGCCCCGGCTCGGCCTCGTCTTCGGCGACTCGAGGTCGGCGTCCCACACGACGCGGCGAGCGCGATGTCGGCGACGAGGCGCAGCAGCAGCGCATGTACAACGCCGTCCTGTTCGTCGCCGGGCGGGCCAAGATGTGGGAGCTGTTCGAGCAGGTCCTGCGGCGCATGGGCGACGCCGGGCTCGAGCCCGACCTCGCCACCGTCGTCGAGATGATGCGCAAGGAGGACCGCCGAGGCGCGCCGGCGGCGGCGGCCTGGCGCACCTTCGAGGACGCGCTCGCGTCCCGGGCGGCGGGCGAGGGCGTCGACGCGCTGTGGGCGGCGATGGCGTGGGTCCTCGCGCGCCGGGGCCTGCTCGAGGACGCCATGCGCCTGTACGAGGCGATGCAGGCCGGCGTTCCCGTCGCGCTCGACTCGCTGCGCCCGCGCCAGGAGCTCGACCCGCTCGACGCCGCCGCCTCGCCGCCGTCGTCGACGCGACCAGGGCTCGTCGTTCAACCGCCTGAGCTCAACGACCGCGTGTGCACGGCGCTGCTAAAGGCGTTCGCGTACCGCGGCGACCTCGCCGGCGCGCTGCGCATCGTGCGCGACCTCGGCGTGAACCCGCACGGCGGCGTCTCGCCCTCGGTCCACCACTTTGCGCCCCTCTACCACGCGTTCGCGCACCACGGCGTAGCGCCTTTCTCGTCGGCGGGCGGCGGCGCCTCGTTCGACGTCAACCCGACAACCCTGCGCGGCGAGCACCTGCGCGCGCACGCCTTGCGCCGCGACGCCTCGCCGCTCGCCGCGCTCTCTCGATCTCGCGCACCTCGTTCTGCTGTCGATGCGAGCGGCGGCGCAGGCGCCAACCCGTTCACCCTCGACGCGCTCGACACCGTCCTCGCGACCTTCCTCGCCCTCCCCGCTCCCTCGTCGACGACGCACCCGACGCTCCCCTTCCTCGGCTCTCGCACGGCGCCGTCGTCCAAGGACCTGTGGTGGGTCCTCTTCGCGTTCGACAAGCTCTCGGGCGGCGACAGCGAGCTCGTCGTCGCCGTGCACGACGCGCTCGAGCGCAAGTTTCGCGACGAGCGCGCCGGATGGACTGGGTTCAGGGAGGACAAGCGGACGGCGAGGCTGGTCACGGCGCACCGGGACAAGGTGGACGAGAGGAGGAGGCGCTGGGAGGAGCTGCAGTAGCGGCGTCGCAACTCGGACTTCCTCGCGCTCGTCTCGACTTCTCCGTCGTTGCCGCATCTCTCGAACGCGTCT